ATGCTTATCTGAGCATTAAATGCTTGTACAATTTAAATTCAAAATGCTCAGAATTAAAACGTGGAGATATCCTGTTAGACATTTGGTTTGAATGTTTCCTGAAATATGAATTAAACAGTTTGATTTCTGACTCTACCATATGATATCTGGTTATTGCAAACTTTTCTTATTTCATATCATTGATATCTTTTGAAAGAAATCATGAATTGTCCCTGTTTACAAACTAACATATGTCTTTATACTGTCATCGTTTTTGTGGCTAATACAACCTGTTTTGTACTATGTTAGCTAACTGTTCACCTTCAATACGCCATAAACGGCAAGGAGCTGATCCAGCAAAGTGCAAAGTTTCAACCTCAAATTCCATACACTGCAGGGAGGGTGAGTTGGGTACAATAGGCTTTCTATTGCTGAAGTTTATGTTGTGTGTTATAATGAAATATTATAAAACCATGCAAGTCTATTGATGGCTTGAAGTACCCTTAAGTACACCATAGGTTCAATAATTTTATTCTATTCCGTAGCGACGTTTCAAAACCGTTCCTATTCTAATGCAGTATAACCAACCTATACTTGTTCTAACATGCTCCTACCTAACATGTGGCAGAATTTCCAATTAACACAGGACAACACATTTTCAGAACATGAGCTGAACATCTCTTAAGATAGATCAATGACATTAACTCAGTATTGTAAAAATGAATATTGGTGGTGGAGTAGGGAGGGGAACAGTCATCTGCTGTATAATAAATACTGAACTTATAATTTCATATGTTGAGAGTAAAACAAAACCTATCTGTATGTAGATTGTTGTATGTCAGGAAAGGGAGAATAAAACACACCTGTATGGATTGTAATGTATGACAGAGAGAATGAAACACACCTGTATGGATTGTTGTGTAAGACAGAATAATACACACCTGTATGGATTGTTGTGTATGACAGAATAATACACACCTGTATGGATTGTTGTGTATGAAAGAGAGAATGAAACACACCTGTATGGATTGTTGTGTACGAATGAGAAAATAAAACACACCTGTATGGATTGTTGTGTATGAAAGAGAGAATGAAACACACCTGTATGGATTGTTGTGTAAGACAGAATAAAACACACCTGTATGGATTGTTGTGTATGACAGAATAATACACACCTGTATGGATTGTTGTGTACGAATGAGAAAATAAAACACACCTGTATGGATTGTTGTGTATGAAAGAGAGAATGAAACACACCTGTATGGATTGTTGTGTAAGACAGAATAAAACACACCTGTATGGATTGTTGTGTATGACAGAATAATACACACCTGTATGGATTGTTGTGTACGAATGAGAAAATAAAACACACCTGTATGGATTGTTGTGTATGAAAGAGAGAATGAAACACACCTGTATGGATTGTTGTGTAAGACAGAATAAAACACACCTGTATGGATTGTTGTGTACGAATGAGAAAATAAAACACACCTGTATGGATTGTTGTGTATGAAAGAGAGAATGAAACACACCTGTATGGATTGTTGTGTAAGACAGAATAAAACACACCTGTATGGATTGTTGTGTATGACAGAATAATACACACCTGTATGGATTGTTGTGTATGACAGAATAATACACACCTGTATGGATTGTTGTGTATGAAAGAGAGAATGAAACACACCTGTATGGATTGTTGTGTACGAATGAGAAAATAAAACACACCTGTATGGAAAATGAGAAAATAAAACACACCTGTATGGATTGTTGTGTATGAAAGAGAGAGAAACACAGAATGAAAAACACACCTGTATGGATTGTTGTGTGAAAGAGAGAATGAAACACACCTGTATGGATTGTTGTGTAAGACAGAATAAAACACACCTGTATGGATTGTTGTGTTTGACAGAATTATACACACCTGTATGGATTGTTGTGTAAGACAGAATAAAACACACCTGTATGGATTGTTGTGTAAGACAGAATAAAACACACCTGTATGGATTGTTGTGTATGACAGAATAATACACACCTGTATGGATTGTTGTGTACGAATGAGAAAATAAAACACACCAGAATAAAACACACCTGTATGGATTGTTGTGTATGACAGAATAATACACACCTGTATGGATTGTTGTGTATGACAGAATAAAACACACCTGTATGGATTGTTGTATATGAATGAGAGAATAAAATACAACTGTATGGATTGTGTACATGTGTGTCAAATTGAAAAATACACCTTTATGAATTTTTCAGTGTGTCAAAAAAAATCAAAACAAAAAAACTACATCTATGTTGATTGTTGTGTATGTCAGGAAGAGTAAAACACACTAGTTTGGTTGTGTGTGGGTATCATTGTGTCTATCACAGAGAGAAACAAATAATTTCCATGGGGGGATTGTTGTATCTTTTTTTTAATAGGAAAATCAAGCAGTCCAACATGCAATGAATTTTCCCTAATACAACTACTTTCTTTTCAACACAATATAGTTGTGTTTAATAACAGGAGCAAAAATTAAAATGAAATGCTTGAAAATAAAGCTTTTTTCATTACTCAGGGGAAAAAAAATTTAAAAATTAAAAAAAAAAAAAAAAATAAACCAATGATCTTTGTCTCTATTTGAATACATATGTGTTTTATAGCAAGGTTTGGTCTCCATCCTCCTCATGTTGCTTATGCTTGTTTGCTTTATATATATTGTAAAGCCAGTAAAGGTTATAATGAAATATGATAAATGCCTTAATCTTTTAGTATCCAGGCAAACGCTACTGCATGCATTATGCTTTGAACTAACTGCATCATTCTCAAACAACTTATCTCATAGAGCCTTTTCTCATGTTATTTGAAATTTTAAAATGTTCTGAACAATTGTTAAAGAGGTAAAAAAGATATTACAGAATAGTACATATGAATATTACCTTAAGAATTATGCCAAAGTGATATGCCCTGTTCATCTAGAAGACGCTTCAATGAGAAAAAATGTGGAGACAAGGGCATTAGGACATACCTGTCAAAATTTTATTGCAGAATTTTGCTGCCTTTTGGAAAGGTTTTCCTCAATATTTAATTAAAACTACATATATTAGAATTTATTGTGAGATTGTATCTTCAAGATAAGGATGTAACAAAAAAAGATCATTTTTGATCAGAAAAAATAGGCTAAAAAGACAACCTATAAGAAACTAGGATCTGAAAAAAATAGGGATGTGAATAGATAGACACTGCGATATGTAAGTAACACATGGGGATGTGGTGATAGGTAGACACTGGGATATGTAAGTAACACATGGGGATGTGGTGATAGGTAGACACTGGGATATGTAAGTAACACATGGGGATGTGGTGATAGGTAGACACTGGGATATATAAATAACACATGGGGATGTGGTGATAGGTAGACGCTGGGATATATAAATAACACATAGGGATGTGGTGATAGGTAGACACTGGGATATATAAATAACACATGGGGATGTGGTGATAGGTAGACACTGGGATATATAAATAACACATGGGGATGTGGTGATAGGTAGACACTGGGATATATAAATAACACATGGGGATGTGGTGATAGGTAGACACTGGGATATATAAATAACACATAGGGATGTGGTGATAGGTAGACACTGGGATATATAAGTAACACATGGGGATGTGGTGAATAGATAGACACTGCGATATGTAAGTAACACATGGGGATGTGGTGATAGGTAGACACTGCGATATGTAAGTAACACATGGGGATGTGGTGATAGGTAGACACTGCGATATGTAAGTAACACATGGGGATGTGGTGGATAGGTAGACACTGGGATATATAAATAACACATGGGGATGTGGTGAATAGATAGACACTGCGATATGTAAGTAACACATGGGAATGTGGTGATAGATAGACACTGGGATATATAAATAACACATGGGGATGTGGTGATAGGTAGACACTGGGATATATAAATAACACATGGGGATGTGATGATAGGTAGACACTGGGATATATAAATAACACATGGGGATGTGATGATAGGTAGACACTGGGATATATAAATAACACATGGGGATGTGGTGATAGGTAGACACTGGGATATGTAAATAACACATGGGGATGTGGTGGATAGGTAGACACTGCGATATGTAAATAACACATGGGGATGTGGTGATAGGTAGACACTGGGATATGTAAGTAACACATGGGGATGTGGTGGATAGGTAGACACTGGGATATGTAAGTAACACATGGGGATGTGGTGATAGGTAGACACTGGGATATGTAAGTAACACATGGGGATGTGGTGATAGGTAGACACTGGGATATATAAATAACACATGGGGATGTGGTGATAGGTAGACACTGGGATATATAAATAACACATGGGGATGTGGTGATAGGTAGACACTGGGATATGTAAGTAACACATGGGGATGTGGTGGATAGGTAGACACTGGGATATATAAATAACACATGGGGATGTGGTGATAGGTAGACACTGGGATATATAAATAACACATGGGGATGTGGTGGATAGGTAGACACTGGGATATATAAATAACACATGGGGATGTGGTGGATAGCTTTATTATGGGAATGAGATCGGAAATACGGTGACATGAGATTAGGTAAGATTTTCTAGATGTGCTGCTACTGCTTTAGTACTTCCCATTGTATTAGTCAGAAGATAGAACTAGAAAATGATTTTATTACAAAACATTTGATATAGGTAACTGTTAATACATTTAAACACTTTCTGCATCAAACATATTTTCCCAAAAAATATAATAAGGAAAAAAGTTTAGAAATCTGAGAATACTTGTGTCAACAAACACAAAATATATTTGTTAAATGTGTGTATAAGCAGTTTATACTTAAAACTTAGTTATATTGCATGTTGAATGTTTTATTGTTTATGTACAACATTGGAAACAATAACATTTCATAATTCATTGTACGTTTTCATATGAAATATGAAGTGATTTAGATGGAAAGTTCTTTATCATATTGAAATGTTGTTTTCAGGTGCTACAAACTACTTTTCCTGCTACAATGATACAGGAGCAGGTACTGTATCCACAGTGATATATTCTACTGTCATCTCCTCAGCAACTGCCACTAGCCAACAAATATGTACGGAGGAGTGTTTCCAAGTGTCCACTACTTATGCTTTATACACAGACAGCTTCTGTCTGTGTGGTAACAGCTCCTCAGATTATAATTGTGGATGTTCTATAAATACCAATTATGCAGATCAGGATTCTGAAACATGTACAGATTCTGGAGGGAGTACTGATTCTAAAACATACCTAGCAAATGTCAGCACTGTATCAGCAGGGATCTTCATCCACCCCATTGCCCGTCTCACAGCAGGCCAAAGCCACACATTTACTGTCAACGTCACTTTAAACATTATCAATATGTTCATGTTCCACTTTGGTGATACATCCAACGTCATATCTGAGGGTGTTACAGGTAACACTTTCAGCATATCATATACCTATCTTGTACCAGCCCAGTACACTCTCACTGTGTCTGGATGTTACACTGATGGTACTAATGCTGCTTGTGAATCTGTCTCTGTACCTGTTCTGGTCGACCCACTGGACAGCCAGGTGTCAGTCTCCTTGTCCTCATCATCTTACGAGGGCTCCATTAATACAGCATCCATCAGTGCAAGTTTCACCATGGGTCAAGATCTTGACTTCTACTGGGTCAGGTCTCCTGATAATGGCGTCACATCTAATACAAGTAAGAATAATCTTATATCTGTTTTCTACAGCACTAACAGGAAACTGTAGTATTTTTTGTTGATGGTCCAGTTATAGTTTACTGAAAGCTTAGATGGTAAAAGTAATGAAATATGAGCCTTTTCTTTGAACATATTTCTGAAGGTGTCTATTTGTTTGTGGTTATATATATTGAGAAAAAGAAATTTCTAGTTGATACACTTAATCATCATTCATTGAATATGCAATATGCCTAAATGTTTGAACCTTGAAACCGTCCAAACAACTCGAAACTGTTGAAGAACATACAGTTGTATTAGTTATAGAATAGAATAGTAACTATGTCTTCAGTCAAGGATTTAAAGACAAATTCACACTCACACATTCAACGAAATGAGATCCACAAGATATTGATCTACTCAGATTTCATTTGTGATGAATAATGTAATTACCATTTGAAGGTTACTCCTGTGAGACATCATGGACATTTGCACGAGGACGATGTTTACAAATGAGCAGCTCTGCCCTGGACTATGACACAGCCAAGACATCCTGTACAAATTCTCTACTCAACACCATTCAACACTCCACAGAAGTCACAGAGTTTGCCACCGAAATCTTAGCTGTGTCATCATCACGTAAGTTTGATTCTAGATGTCCCTCTATATAAGCTTTAACATTTCATTACCAATATTAATTCTACATTTCCTCCTTGCCAATGGTCTTATAAGACATGTAATATAGTAATCGGTAAGAGTTTTACATTGTTTTGATGATCATAAACTGTCAATGTTTGGGTATTTTTTTCAGTCACATCTGTGTACATAGAGGCCAAAAAGAATGGTAGTTTCTACCAATGGGCAGATAACTCCTACACATACTTCTCTGTCGATGATTTGGTGGACAGTTCTGTAGGAGACTGTGTTATTATAGACTTAACAATCAATGCTCTCAAGGGTGCTGACTGCAGTGCCACACACAACTATGTCTGTCAAAAACGTGAGTATCAACTTCATTCATGATTTACATACTTTATGCAAAATTTAACTGTTTCCATGACTGCAAAATCATATATTGTCGTGGGGCTCAATTTTGTGGTTTTCCAAACATACAGATTTTTGTTGGCACTTAATTTTGTGGATTAACCTTGCTCACAAAATTGGTAAGTGCTGTAATTTTGTGGACATATTATTTTCTGGATTTGGAGTAACCACAAATTAGATGAAAATAAGCCCCACCCCTTACAAAAATAAATGATTTCACAGTATCGTACAGCTTAATGTTAATACAAATAAACACATACCAGTTTACTGTTGATAAGTTTGGTATTGGAGGTAATGATGACTACATACTATTAAATTTTGTCTTATTGATCAAAACAACTACTTTTTTATGAATGATTAGATTATATTGTATCATTTACTTTTGTATTCAGCTCCTAATAATGCTTGTCCACATGGAGGAGTGTATTATCCTACAACCAGAAACTGCTACCTTGCTGTCACTAGTTCTCCTGTCAGCTGGTCCAATGCATCCACAGCCTGCCAAGCCATTGCCACAGATGCCAGCTTAGCTACCTTTGATAGTGCACAACTAGTGTCCCATGTCACCTCCACTGTGTTGCCGTATGTATATTTCTGTCACGTCATTGAAAGCCTACTACCAGTAGTCAGATGTTGGGTCTCAGCTTTCACCTTCTGTGTTCTTTCAGATAAATTCAGGTTCATTTGTCAAGTTTTAGTCTCTGTTGTCAAGTTCTGTGTTGATCTTTATTTGATTTCTTCACCTTTCAGTAAGTCTAGTTTTAGTCTCTGTTCTCACCTTTTGTGTTGACTTCTAGTTTTAATCTCTGTTCTCACCTTTTGTGTTGACTTCTAGTTTTAATCTCTGTTCTCACCTTTTGTGTTGACTTCTAGTTTTAATCTCTGTTCTCACCTTTTGTGTTGACTTCTAGTTTTAGTCTCTGCTTACCTTTTGTGTTGACTTATGTTTGTTTCATCTCATTTCGGATCAGTCTGGTTCCATCACCTTTCTGATCAGTCAGTCTAGTTTTATTCTAGTTTTAGTCTCTGTTCTCACCTTTTGTGTTGACTTCTAGTTTTAGTCTCTGTTCTCACCTTTTGTGTTGACTTATGTTTGTTTCATCTCATTTCGGATCAGTCTGGTTCCATCACCTTTCAGATCAGTTAGTCAAGTTTTTATTTTTGTTTGTGAGAAAAGAAAAAAGAAATCACACACATCTGATGATCATATAACATTGTAACATTTAAATATGATAAATATAAGTCTTGGTTAACAAGTTTTAGCTTTTTGATTCTTTGAAATGGTACTTAGACAATGATGAGTCTCCTACTGATGAAACCAAGGGTATGATTGTTGGGACAAAGTAAAAAACACTGTTACTTTCTTTAGAAAATCATCAGCATTCCAGCAGCTTTGTTCCTACAAGTTGATCAAATCTCACACACTTACAAACAACTGTAGTATCTTGGACAGGTTTGAGTTATAGGGTTGTTGATACAAGGTCACTGCTACTATTTTTAGAAAATCACTATCAGTGCTCTAGCTGCTGCATTCATTGAGGGACTCTGATTAAACTTCACACACATAAAAAGTGAAATAGCTTGTGGGGACTGGTAGGGAACATGTTTCCCTTTGGCAATGCTCAATTCGCTTGTCCTAATTGATGAAAGATAATTGAGTGAAAAAAAAATTGATGTACTTATATGTATAATGTATTTGTTCTTATTACAGGGCAAACACTGAAGCTTGGGTAGGCCTGCGATACATAGATGGCTATCAACAGTGGGTGAACTCAGAATCTGTGTCAGCCTATACACCTTCGTCTTCCTCTACAACTGGGGACTGCTTCAGTCTGTCTCAAGATGGTGCCTGGAAAGGTTATCCATGCTCCACCACCCTCTCCTATATCTGCCAGTACTCTGTTGTCAAAGGTAGTCTTTCACTTATCTCCACATTACTGATGGTTTTGGTTTTATGCCAGCATCTTTATATAATGTTTGCCGTAAATTTTTGACAGAGTATATCGTCACTGCCATGTGTAAACATTGATTATGCTAAGATGATGTGTAGTGTACCAAATTCATGGCCCACAACCCCTTAATTAGCAAGTTATTGCCCTTTGTTAAAATTTTGTGTCTAGAGCACAACATTAAATTGCTTGCATTTAAAGAACGATTATGAATCTTGGTGGATATATTGATCACACTAAGACAATGTGCAGTGAACCAAATTCAGGGCCCTCAACTTCTCAGTTACAGAGTTATTACCATTTTTTAAAAAAACATATCGAGAGCATAACTTTGCTTGCATTTAACATAGGATAAAAGTTGTTGTATACAATGATCATACGAAGACTATGTGCAATATACCAATGTCAGGGCCTGCAACCCCTTACTTACAGAGTTGTTGCCCTTCATTAAAGCATGTGTCTGAGGCATTACTTTGCCTACATTTAAACTAGGATATTGAAATGTGATATTTACATCAATCACACAAAATCAGGGTTCACTGTAGTAATGTCAAGGCCCTTGACCCCTCAGTTACAGAGTTATTGCCCTTTATTAAAATTTTGTGTCAGGAGCATAGGTTTGCTTGCTTTAAAATTAGGATCATGGATCTTGGTGTATTCATTTGTCATACTAAGAAAATGTGCAGTATACCAAATTCCTTAATTACAGAGTTATTGCCCTTTGTTAAAATATTGTGTCCAATATTGTCGTTTTCAGAGAGCATTCATCAGTTTCACTGATTCTCTTGTTTGAAAATTGCGGTTGTGCTTATACAAAATCTTTTTTAAAATGTTGATAAGTACTAAGGATTTTCCAAGTTTAAACCACATGGATGAAACAAATTTTTTTTATTGTGATGTGATTTGTTAAAGATGATAATAAATATTAGTGATAAGTCAAATTCATGAACAAACAATTTAAGATAGATTTTGATTTCTGCAATAGTTTATTCTTTTTTAATATTTTTGTAGACACTGTGACTGTAGAAGCATCTGGAGTTGGAACCATGAATCTGAACCCTACTTCACATACTTACACACTAAATAGCCTTTCAACACTTTCTTCCACACCATCATCAGCAGCTGGAATTGTGACCATCTTCCCAGGTACATAAGTAATTTATCATTTACTGGCCTGGAGAATGATTATGGCAACTGTCAAATTCTGTATTTTTATGGCCCAACGATTCTTTTTGATATGATTAATATTATATGCATTGGTAAATTAAAGTCTTGTTACTAAATGTTCTTCCATTCATGTGAATGTCATTATATTTTTATTTGGTTTAAATGTCACGACATTTGATTGATAGTAACAATGAATAAATGATTTTGCTGGTCTTGTTTAAGTGAACAATAAGTGAAGATTTTCATAAATCACATCACAAATGGAAACAAGTTTAAAATCATTTATATTACATAATCAATTTTCAAGCAAATATGGTATGAAGGTATGTTTCTACATCAAGTCATGTTTGCTCTATATCTTTGGTCTCCATTGTTATGTCGCAATGTCATTTTTGAACGTAATGCCATTTCATTATCTAGAGTGATGTCACAGTAAGTTAGATAACACATGTGTAACACACAAAAATATGACATTCACTGATTAACAAGGCAATCATGTGATTTACTATTCAATAAATTTGTAGGTCATACAGTTTCAACACATAATGCCAATGCCAAAGCAATAGCGTGGAATTTTAAAACTGCAAACCTGACCACCTCACAGACTGTGGCCTTCCAGGTGTGGCGCCCAGTATGCAAGGCCAGCGAGACCTTTGTAACACCAGGTGAGGATAGACAGTTTATTAAGAGTCCTTTGGAGTATTTTGGTACTTTTTCACATCTTTGTTGTTCATCTGCAACACATGTCTACAAAGATATCATCAATTGTCATTTTGCCTTGTGAGTCTGATGTATTATTTTTCTTAAATAAATTTGTAGATCAATTTGATTTCATATGATATTATTAGATTTGTCAGAAATGAAAAGTTGAAATGTGTCCACCAAATTATTTTTGATTATTTAATTCAATCTCATATGTTTTCTTACAGCCACATCAGCACAAAGCTAACTAATTTTTTTATGTTATAGGATGTAACGGAATTGGAGGAAAATATGGCTCTTGTAAAACAACTACCACTACCTGTCCAGCGGTGATGTCATGTGCAGAAGGGACAAAGTATTGTTTCCATGATGACTCGTGTAAGCCTGTGGGAGACGTTTGTGATTGTACTGGGTGTACAGAGTCCTATGTGGAATCTGCTCCTACTTATGTGCTGATAGGCCAAGCTTTTGTAGTTATACCAGCTGCGGCTTTTCAGTCTTACACCATTTTGGCAGGAGAAACTGATATACAGTCAAATGATATCATAGGATACCAAGCTGACACTGGGAATGATGTAGTTTTATGTGAAACAGGTGGGGATTGGGCTCAGAATACACAGCAGGCAACAGTTTCAAGCTGGCTCTCAGTTGGTGACACATTCAACGTCACTGCCTGGAAGAATAACACCATGTGCTATGTCAATGTCATCTACTCTACACCAGTGAGCATGACAATGCCTAGCTCTCTAGGATATTTTACGACTTCAGGGCAAGTCGATTTTCAGCTGAGCGTTCCAGATCCTGTCATTACTCGGACAAAAGCGGTGACATCACAAGAGATAGTTGGGAGCCTGGTGTGGTTGTGGCCATCACTACAGGTTGGACAGACCACGGATACCATCTTTGTTGAGGAAGCCACGTCCATTGATCTTTTACTTGTGACAAACTTTGGCACAGATCTGACTGCAAATTGGACCTTTGGATCAACATCGACCTTGACAACATTCACAAGTGCCTGTCCAACAAGTTTTGTATCTTCCTCGGTGTGTTCTCCATACACAAACTGGCCTGCTCTTCCTTTCAGTACAACTTCTCATACTTTTGACACTGATATGGATGTGTATGTCGAGGTGTTTAATCAAGTGAGTTCGACCAATCTTACTGTTGCTGTCCGAGTGTTTGAGGTAATCAGTAGTGTATCCATTGCACTGACTTCTGCGCAGAGCAACAACTATGTTGCCTATGATGAACAAACATCCTTCTCTGTGACTGTCGGCACTGGTACACCAACCGTCTACAATTATTATGTGAATGGTTCTTTGGAATATACTGCAAATACTGCCTCATTTTCACACAAGTTCCTCAACACCTCTGTGCCATACCATGTTGTCACTGTCAATGCATCTGATGATTACAGCTATGCTTTAGCAGAGATAGGAGTCACAGTTAAAGTTCGAGCAAACTTCCAGAATTTTCAATTCACCAACGTACCTAGTATTCTGGAAGAGAATACGCAATATGAATATGGTGCTTCTGTTGAGGCTACTATTGGTGCAGAGGTTTCTGTTATGTGGATATTTGGTATTGGGTCTCCACAACTGGTTACTACCACAATAGCATCATCCACTCAGCAGTTTAATCTGAACTTTACCTACTCTCAAACAGGTTCCTATTCGGTTGCTATATTCTTACAGGATGATTCATTTCTAAGTGCTAAATACATATCATCATCCATTGACATTGCAGTGGCTATAACAACTGTGACATTATCTACAAGCACAGCAGTAATCTTGGAGGGTGATAGCATAACATTCACACCATCTTTACCAGGACCAAGTTACTATGGTAGGACAATCTATTACACTTACGAATTCCAAGATGGGACGACTCTAATAAATCAAACAACCACAAGTGTTTCTCATGTGTTTAGTACAAAATCGTCTCCTGTGGACACTGTTACTCTCACAGCTATGAACGGCATCAGTTCAGGCAACACATCTGTTGATATAACAGTTGAAGAACCAATAACCAGTCTGTCTCTCACAGGACCTTCACCCATACTGATCAACACAACACAGCAGTACACAGCTGCTGTTGTGACTGGGTCCCATATCACTTACAGCTTTCAGGAGCCAGCATTGGGTCTAGCCAGCGCCTATATCTCTGCTGACAACTACAACTGGACTATTTCTACAGTGGGAGTCTACAACCTCACAGTCATCGCTAACAACACCTTTGCTACTCTCTCTGAATCCCTGGAAGTTCGTGCTGTTGACTCTGATACACTTCAGATCCTATCTTTCACCCATGATAGATATATTGTTACATCAACCTCTGTGGTGTTCAAAGTAGATGTGCTTAGTCTGGACTCTACATCTGTGTTTTATTTGTGGGAATTCGGTGATGGTGATACCACGACTGGTACAGGCCTGACTGAAACGTCGCACTCCTTTGTCAACCCTGACAATTACACAGTAACAGTGACTTTATATGATAATGTAACAAGTGTTCAAACATTTCAATCTAGTCCAATAGGAGTTCAAGATACAGTGACAAACTTGAGAGTTGTTGGATCTGGTATAGGAAACATTGTGTCTGGAGCAGCAGCAACAGTAGTGCTTACAGCATCCGTAGATACAGGAACAGATGTCTGGTATACTTACACTTACGCTGGTTCAAACTTCAGCACTTCAAACACGACTTTTGGCCTGGAATATAGTACAGCCACAGAGTTGATGGTAGATGTTGTAGCCGCCAATCAGATCAGTTTTCAGAATATCACCATTTCCGTCACATTTCAGGAGACGATAGAATCGCTGGCAATCAACTGTTCAGAATGTACAGTGGCAGGTGGCAACAACTATCTTGCCACTAATGCCACATCTACCTACACTGCTACTGTTGGGGTAGGTACTAGTGTTACATATACCTTTTCAGTGGCAGGACAACCAAATTCAAACAATAACCCACTGTCTCAAGTCTTCTCAGTGAATGGTGATGTCTTTGTGAATGTGACGGCTGAGAACAAGGTGAGCTCTGCCGAATACAGCCTACCAATTGTGGTTCAGGACACCATTACAAGTCTTGAGTTTGACTCCTCCATTACAAATGCCATTTTGATCAACACGAATCTGACCATGGATACCATCATTGTAGGTTCCCATGCAACATACAGCTGGAGGATGTGTAGCACTTGTAGCGTGATCACTGGATCTTCTAGTAGTTATGTGAACCCTGGTTACACAGCCAGTGGATCCTACACGGTCACTGTTGTTGGTTCTAATCAGATCAGTAGTGCCACCGCCACCCTGGCCTTAACAGTACATGAACCTGTCACCGCTGTCAACATCACCTCTAACGATCTTGTCAATGGCATGTATGTACCCATTGATACAGTAACCACGTTCACAGCCACATCCAACATCGCCCTACATGTTTACTATGATTGGACAATTTACAACTCAACTGGAATGACTGTATCAACTGTGTTCAATACTGATAATCTGACTCATAGCTTCAATGCAGAAGGAGAGTACTATGTTAAAGTAACAGCATTAAATTCAGCAAGCTCAAAGGAAACCAATTTGACGGTAATTGTTGAAACACCAATCTCTGGAGTATCTATCAGTAACAACAACACCTCCCCTATAGCTACTCTTGAAGGGCTCGGCCTTACAGCAATGGTGACTAGGGGCTCAACACTGACATACACATGGAATCAAAACAATACAGCATTAGGTGTTACATCAGCTGACTTGGCTGTTGCTATAAGTCCATCAGGCACCTATGTTTATAGTGTAGTTGTCACAAATCCTTTGGGTTCTGTCACAAGCACTGTAACCTATGTAGTACTGGACGTGATAGAAAATGCGACCATCATATTACCAAGTGGTCTTGTGTATTACCCATTTGCTGCCATTAACAGTGCTGTGCAGTTTTCAGCCAGTGTTCCCAAAGGAGACCAAGTTACCATTGCTTGGGAGATGCAACAGGCAGGAGTTATCAGTAGTACTGGATCAACTACAACCTTTGATTACACGTTTGCTTCTGTGGCCAATTACACCTTGACAATGAATGCAACAAATGATGTTAGCTCGATGGTTGAGACAACGGAAATCTCGATCCAAACTCCACTGACAAGTCTTTCTATGACTGCCAGCTCCAGTGCAGCCGAAACCAATGCAACAGTCACATTTACTGGCGTTCACAATGCTGATGCAGATCATTTGACATATGAGTGGACAATCGACTCTGTGATTAATACTACAACAACAAATAGCATAACTCATTCATTTTCAACTGCCCGGACCTATATAGTATCGCTTAATGTGTCCAATCAAATTTCCACTTACAACACCTATGTGAGTGTGGAAATAGAAGATCCCATTCAAGGACTGTCAATTTCCAATTGCAATACTACAATCAATGTTACAGACTTGGCTCAGGCAGTTGCAGTGATAACACAAGGCACGAATGTGACATACTTGTGGTCTGTCGATGTTGACAACGGCACAATACAACAGAGTGGTAAAACATTTGGATATTCCTTTACACAAACAGCTGTTTACAACCTCAATCTGAATGTAAGCAACCTTGTGAGCACTGATGTTGCCTCTTGTTGGTATACTATCACAGGACCCATATCTGATGTGACGATTACAATGTCCGATGACATTTACCTGTTTGTGAACTACACTGTTGACTTTGCTGTAACAGGGAACAATCTGGTTGGAGTGATTTACAACTGGAGTATTTCTCCTATCAGTTACAGCACAACCACGGAAACAGGTGCTCTTTCAAAAATGTTTACTGTGAAACAGAGCTATGTGTTAACACTCACAGTTTCAAACAACATCAATTCAGTGACTGTAACAAAATCTTTCTACATTGATGAGTTGTCGTGTACTTCCCCAGTCATCACTGCAGGAGGAGTAACTTCCAAGACAGTATACAAAGCAAATTCAGTCATGTTTGAGGTGTATATCAACAGGTTTACTTGTGACTTCTATGATCTGCAGTACAACTGGACAGCATACAATCTGACAAGCTCTGGTGAGCTCCTAGATAACCCAGTCACTCTCACAGATGTTATTGTCACAACACCAAAATTATTGCTTACCAATGGAACGCTCGATTATGGAGAATTCTGTATTGTATTAGATGCTTCCTACAGCAGCACTCCTCTGCAGCAGAGAGTCATGTTTAATGTGACAGTGCTGAAGACTGAGTTAGTAGCAGTTATAGCTGGGGGAATAACAGTTAAAATTCCAGCCAACACCTCGTATCATCTTGACGGGAGTTCCTCCTATGACAAGGATCACACTTCTTCTCTCACAAACAGCTGGTCATGTTCCAAAATCTCGGGGGTAAGTGATACATCATTTAATTTTCCTTGGAGAAATATTAAAAACTTCAATGTGGAATGTAGATTTAATGATTTGATACAGAATCATTCCATAAATGTACAAATCTTTTCTGTCATGTTTATTTGAAAGGATTATTGCTATACATAACTGATGTGCCTAGACATTTTGGAACAGAAAGTGAAACTGCCCATATCCTTGAAATTATGACCTGTGACATTTACGTTAGTAATATATTTGTTTATTTCTTATAGTCTGCTGCAGCTGATGCCTGTACATCAGTATCAGGTAGTTCTAGCTCTATCAGTATACCTGCTAGTAAGTTGATAGAAGATCAGATATATGATATCACACTGACGGTATCAGCCACTGACAGGACGTCTGGATCCTACACACAACGGGTGAGTACAATGATTTGCTACAAGACTGAAAGTTATAAGGATCAAATCATATAGAAGCTTTTGCTATGAATATTATTTTTTGATTTTATCTTCAATCAATCAAAAAAAAAAAAATTTGAATTACTGTGCAAAGATGGATACTCATTATAAGAATTTTGGAACCTAGAACATAGATTTTGTTTTAAAAGTTAAAAACTCTAAGTTTATTTTTAATATTTCTTTTTTGAATAGTTAATTGTTGGAGCATCTGAGGCACCATTAGTGGATATAGTGTGTGTATCATGTCTGGCGAGCTACCAGAATGTGATCAGCTCTGCCACACAATTGGCTCTACAGGGTAGCTGTGCTAACTGCGGATCTGCCACAGTCACCTACAGTTGGACTGCTACATACATAGACAGTGGTATCACCCAGACTTTCAGCCTGACTGATACATCTACACACACTGGTGACTCTGTGTCAAATCTTGTAGTCAAATCAGGACAAATTATTAACGGCAAGACCTACACATTCACACTAACAGTTACGAAAACTGAGAACTCTGTGACTACAACATCCTATGCTGTTATCGAGTTACAAGCCAATTTACCACCTTATGGAACAGATTGTACTGTGTCAAGTACAACTATCACAGTATTCAGCACACTGTCCGTTGACTGTCAGGGTTTCTCTGACCCAGATAGCAACTCCACTGAACTGATGTATGAAGTGATCGCCTACAGTACAGACTCTGCCTCTGTTGGTCAGTATGTCATTATCTACTCTGGACCTAAGTCCCAGGTGGATGTCTACCTTACCTCCTGGTCAGGAGTGTCCAGGGCAACAGTCCAGGTGAAGGTGTTTGTTATTGATAGCTTCAATGGTGTCTACGAAGGCCTTGACACGTAAGTGCAGATATTGCCACTTTTATCTGGAAAATATTGATACCATATAGAATTCTAGTGTTGTATTTAAGTGGCTTAAATGCAAGCATTATAATGACTTTTGATAGCAGTAATAGTTGTAAAATTTTTAGAATGATAATTTGCAGTAGATTTAGTTCAGGATTTGACTTGCATTATTAAATTGGTATGAAGATGTTTGATATTAAATTTGCCTTTTGTGAACAGGACCATAACTGTGAATGGACCAACACTGACCGCAGGACAAACGATGGCTGATTACTTGTGGGAAAAGGCAAATGGAGAAATGTTAGGGTTGGTCAAGGAAAACAGTCCCACCTTGCTGTTACAATATGCTATCACTATGATCCATGAGATCAATGAGTTGTCTCGTGTGGCTACTACTGACACAGAGAAGTACAGGCGGGCTTCACTGAGGAACATTCTTACACTGACAGTATTAGGACTTCCATTAGAGGATAGGGTGGCTCGACAACAGGCTGCATTCTTCATGGATCACTTAACGGTAAACTTTATGTATTTTCTCATGCGTATAAAATTTGTATGTAGGAATATTATATGTTTAATGATAATTATTTATGGTATAATCGCCAAAATACAACGATGATGACGATGATGATGACGATGATGATGTTTGGAAAGATGTTTATGCATATATTTAAATGAAATGGAATAGAATACAAGTTTGTAGTTCAAAGACTTTTGTATCTCACTTGGTTAGAAAAAGACTTCTATCATTTTAGTAAATGAAATACACAATGGATGTGGTTGCAGGTCACACACTTCATGGTTTCTCATGGTTTCTCATGGTTTTTCATGGTTTCAGGTCTACTCCGATGAGTTTCAGACAAGTGCTTGCCAGGACCTAGTCCTGAGTCTCACTCAGACCTTGAAGGCAGTTATGGAAAGTGGAGTTAGACAAGGTCTTGAACAGAGCAGCGTCCTGACCAACCATCTTCTAGGTGCTGTCGCTAATGTCATGTCTGGCGTTAACATGGCTGTGTATTCAAGTAGTACGTCCCTGGTTTCAGGCTGGTATAATGACACCATGCAGATATATATTCCATCTGTGAGCTCCTTTACCAATGTGTTCTCCTCCTCCTCCCTCTCTGGGGAAAGTCACCGTAGGTCTGTTGTCACCAAGGCACTGTCACAGGCTGAAGGAATTATTGCCCTCAACCTCAAGTCAATGTTGTTAGGGCAAGCCCCATTGGTATACACAATAAACAGTATGGCAGCATATGGAGTAAGGACCACCAGTGATAACCTAAACCTTGATTATGTTGGGGCAGATAGTGGTATCACAGTCAGCAGTAACACTCTCACAGGCAGCAGTATAGTTGCTGGCACAGAAATATTCCAGATCTACATTAACAGTGACCCAAGCCCATTTACCTGGGGCTATACTGCTGATTTTGTTGTGGACACTAAAATGGCCAGTCTTACTCTTAAAGACACAACAGGAGCTGACATTTCTGTCAGTGGATTATCAGATGCTGACAGTGTCCAACTGGTTCTGACTGACGAGGAAGAAAATGTAAATATAACAAATGCTAGTATAGTTGGAAACACTGGATATGATCAGACAAAGAACCTCAATTACATCTACTCCAACGTTAATAGCGATACACCAAAATTGATAACCCTGACTCCAAGCTCAGGTGTGGATGGTTCTGCACTTTTTATCCAAGTCGCTGCCAAAAATATTGATAACGCTTCTCCCGAAGCTAAAGCTGCTCCATCCCAGGCCTCTTTCTACCTTGGAATTGATATTGCCAATCCTTCGGCATCAGAAAACACTCAGGCCATAGAACTGATAGCATCCGACACACTGCCAGCTGATCATAGAGACCACACCTTCTATATCAAGTGAGTCAGTCTGTTTAGCTTATTTTGTTTTGAGACACAAACTAACAGCGAAATCATGGCACAACGTTCTATCAAATCAATGATATTAGATTAAATGAAAAATGTTTGAAGTAAAATTGTCTCAACTATTGAAAAATTAGTAACTTGAACTATCTTGTACTTAAATCTGTATTATTTATGTTGCTAGAATTCTAGTCTTTGAAAGGTTATATCAAAACCAATTTAAATTATCAATTTTTGAAAAGTATAGCTGGAAATGCTGTGAAATTTATCTTATATTATTAACAGAAAATTACTTAGTTAATGTTTTTGTCACTTTTGTGAATGAATAATGATAGTTATGTTAATTATTAACTGTGCATTTCAGAGCCAAGAGAATTAAGCCTTTGTAATAATAATCTTCTGGCTGTTATCTGACTTTATACCCCACTGAAAAAAGAATTACAGTTTGCAAAAGTACACAATATGGTATTGCTTCATTTTTCAGTAATTTTGACTCCTCAAAAACCTACAGGATCTCTGTATATGTCAACGATACCTACATGTTGAATGTGTCTTCAGCAGTGTATATGGGTTCCTGTATGTACTATGATACCACAGAGTTGGCTTGGTCTACCTCAGGTTGTCAGCCTACATCTGAGTGCATTGCCATAGCCCTTGTGTGTAAATGTAACCATTTGACAGCCTTCGGTGGAGGAATGTTGGTGCCTATTGATGCCATTAGTTTCAGTGATCTTGAGGTTTGTATTCAGACACCTATTGATATCATTGGGAAGATCAGGGGATGTTTGAGTAACACCATATGGAAATTGAAAAGAATTAATGAAAAAGAGAATCACATACTTCAAAATTGAAATTTTTAATTGATAACTTTTTAAATTTAATCTTATTTGTTGCAGTTTATTGATCTATACACAAATCCTGTTGTGTTTGTGACTGCGACAATCATCTTCGTGGTATACATTGTGGCAGTCATCATCAGCAGACGTCTTGACCTGCGTGACCTTGAGAGGATTTCTTCTGTGCCCTTGTGTGGAAAAGATGGTTCCTTCAAATATGAGATAACCTTAGTTACAGGCAGACAACGAGGTGCAGGTATGTATTATCAAATGTACCTGGCAAGTTATATCTTAAACAAAAATATCAACTTAACCTCATAATAAAAAAGAATGAGGGTGATCTTCAGTGGTGATGTCAAAAAAAGTCTTGAAGTTTTCTTATGTCGTCAGAGCACACCTTTGTTGTTTTTTTATTGAGAGATTGAAGAATAATACAAAACAAACCCTGTTTTTATTTCCAGGAACTTCTGCTCATGTTGGCATTAAATTGTATGGAGACTATGGTAAAAGCAACAGAAAGCACCTATCAAAGAAAGGAGCATTCCAAAGGAACTGTCAGGATTCTTTCATTATTGCACATGACACCAACTTAGGGGATATCTCCAAGGTATTTGTCTGGCATGACAACCATGGTCTGGACCCTAACTGGTACTTGGTACAGGTCATTGTCAGAGACCTACAGACAGACCAAAAATACTACTTTTTTGGAAACGTTTGGCTTACTCTGGAAAAGGAGAACGGATACATACAGAAGGAAATCTATGCTGCTGGTAGGTCTTTATCAAAAACTATAAATGTTTTGTGGTTTACTGAGATTTTAAGAGGTATATATGTACATTGTATATCTACCTCAAAATTGGTTATTCTTTTGTAGATCAGAATTTTGTTTGAAAGTCCTGAAACTAAGTCTTTAACCATAATTTTCTCAAACTCAATTTGAATTGATGACATGAATTTGCTTTTCTTCTGATAATAAGGCTCTGCAGAAATTCAGCGATTCACAAGGATATTTGGCCATGCTTGGTCAAGCTCCGTTGCTGACCGCCACCTGTGGGTGTCCATTATGGATCGCCCTGCCAATAGTCGGTTCACACGAGTCCAGAGGACCACCTGCATAGTGACAATCCTGTATGTGTTCATGTGTATCAACATCATCTGGTATGGCATAATCAAAACAACAGATTCCAACTTAAACACAACCAGTTTTGGGTGGCAGGAAGTAGTTGTTGCCCTGGCAACCAATGCTGTGGTCTTCCCTTTCAGTATCATCCTTATTGGCATATTCAAGAAGAGTCGTTCAAAAGTAAGTCATGGTGTTACCATTTAAACTGCAAATATTTATTCAATAAGCTTTAAATGCTCTCACTTGCATAGTTTTATAACTCTTCCGGAACACCTGGTCTTCTTTTCCATGCACTTTTTCAGGAGTCTCCATATAAATATTTCTTTTGTCCATATTTTGCCCTAGTTTAATTTGAATTATGGTTATGTTCATGTGTTGCTATTTTCTTGCTTTTTTTTCACTTTAATAAAAGCAAACAAAAAGATAAATGTGTTTTTTCTCTCTTGTAGAACAATGTGTTTGAACAAGGTAACCGGTTGGGAACTGCGGAGACTATTGAGATTGACAACAATTGTGACAGATCCACCTACTCATCCTTCCAAACAAATGAGGACCTCATATCCTACCTTGGAGAAAGGGAGAGCACTTCAGAATCAATTCGGGTACCATCATTTCTCTTAGATCACTCATTACTTTAGAATTTTCTTCAATAGAATTCTTCACGATATCTTGATTTCTGATTTTGTTTCTTACCTCTGATCAGATTTTTGGAAATCAATTTCAAGGTATTTGAGTGCCAATGATTAAGCAACCCTGATATACTAGATTTCTGATGTGCGCTCTTTTGATGATGGTTGATGATTAAAACAGTAACGTTCATGTTTATTTATACAGACTGCTGTTGCTGCACCCCCGAAGATTTTGGGTTTACGTCGTACACAGACATTGAAGACATCACTTAAACTGGATAAAGTTCCATCATCGGCTGATAGCTTTAACAGTAGTATAAATGGAGATAAGAATGACAGGAAGGTATATACATTCTAAATACTGTATACTGGAATATTTTTGCCCTTGTACCAGTATACCCAAAGTCGCCTCATGTTCATTTTACCCTCGGAGGATTATATAAACATGTCATATAAGTTTATGTGTAATAAATTTTTGTTCCCATCTTAAATTCATCCTTACTGTTCATGGATGAAAAGGACAAAAGTTAAACAGGCAGAATGTTTCTTGTTATTTTTCTTTTACTGATAAAGACAATTATAAATGATGAAAAGAGACTTTAAATTTGCATATTCCTCTTCATCTATATTGCAAAGTTATCCAATAGCATAATTTTATACTTTTATCTCAATAAGGTAACTTAAAAAAACAAGCAACAAAAAAACAGATAATTTCAAATGTTTTGACTCTGATTGTATTATCAACAGCTGGAGAGGACAAATAATCCTGGTAAATGGGAACAAGACAGTTTCAAAGAAAGTTGGCACAAACGTTTGAAACCAAAGTCATCTACAGATGAACCACAGCCAAATACCAGTGCACCAATCAAACAGGACAGAGCTGCTGTGAGAGCTGAGGTAGGATTCCTCCTGTTGTACTATTTAGTGAATGCCAAATTAAGGCAATTTTATTTGAAATAAATGTAACCTTTTTCGAACAAGACCTTTTGATAACAATTCTTGTCACAAATTTGGGTGAAGGACTATCAAAGATGGTTAAATGAATTACTTTAACCCTTCCCTGAATAACCAAGATGTTTAAATTTAAATTTAACTTCTGGTGTGAAGAGCTGTTGTACCAAATTGGCTAAACAAATTTAAAACAAGTGACCAAGGCTCCCACTATTTGACTTGTAGCATGTTGAGTTCTGAGCTGTAAAATGTGTTCTAAGAAATGACGTTGATACTTGTGTTATGAATCATCTCCTATGTTTTCTGTAGGTCGAAGATGCAGCAGATGATATTATGGAATACCTTGACATGGTAGAAGCTGACATGATTTCCAAAGAACAGATGCTTCGCAAAAACAAAGATCCAAGTAAACTTACCCTAGGCCTCTCCAGGTTAGTATACCAAATACAGGTGTATGTGTTGCCCTACAAGGCTAGCCATCTCGCAAATACTGGCCAATCCCAGAAAATATAGTTCATGTATTAAAAAGATAAATCTTTTGTCAATGATCATTCAAAATGTTGCCTATGTGGAGGTTAATTCCTTGGCTGTGTCTTGTGAATGAAAGAGTTTGAAAATTTCAATAATGTATCAATTTTTTCTGTACATCTGGTCTGGACTTCCTTTTTGTGGATTAATCTTTTAGACTTCACACAAAAATAGCGGAGATCCCTAACCTTTTATTGCTTACCATGAATATGTGGCAGGTCATGAAGAAAGTAACACGATTGTGCTACTTTAGCTGAAGTGTCTGGCACTCTATGAGATGACTCACAATATGAACAATGCTAAAGTCCCAGCCAATTTTTATACTCTGAACAAAATTAGCTATGAAGCATTCTTTGTCCTCGTCACTGTGGGATCTTTATAGACAAGAGTATAACAGTGAGATGTGGGTATCTTGGAACAGAAACTGGTAAATAGTACAGGTCTTAAAAACTTGTAAGAAAAGTGCTGGTTTATTTTCCCATCAAATCAGTATAAGTCTTAGGTGAAAAAGTAAGATAAATCATGGCCTGTGTTTATAATTAGAAAACCACCTGTACATCGTCCAAGTACGGATGAGGGTAAGCATTGGAACAAGGATAAGAATACTATAGAGCCAAAGAAGGGAGCTTTAAAGAGGAAGGACTCAACCCACAGTGTAGGGATATCGGCGGTTTCCTCCAACTCTTATGCCATCCCTTCCTCTTCTGGAATGCAACGCAACTTCACACCAAGGGAAGAACCAAGTCTTGCTGACAGGTAAATCCAGTCACGCTATTAACTTCTACAGTGTCCATCCTGTTTTTTTTATATCGGTAATTTTTATTGTAAATAACAAGCTAAATTTGCAAGATAAAACCAAACTGGTTAAGAAAAGTTCCACTCAGGATTGTTTTATAGACCTGTGTGATCAAATATACAATACATTGTAGGCCAGATAAAACAATTACTTCAGTTCTGGTATGTATGATTTTCATGAGATGAATATAAAATAGATACATAGTGCATTATTGATCTCTTCTCCATTCTCTATGCTAGGAAACCCACCTCTGCTGGTAGTGTAGCTAAATGGGTGTCGAAACTGAAGCCTGGCGGGATACGCTCAAATGACATGCCCTCGGTAGAACATACCAATACATTGGGAACCCACCCACTGCGACCAAACTCCATGTTGGCTCGTCAGATATCCCAGCCAGACATTATCACTCGTAAGTATTCACAATATTTAGGCATCCAGATCAATGATCTTATGTTTAACAAGCTATGTCTCTGAAGGTTAATCGTCCATCTCAAGGTACATTTGTTCCTTCAGAAATTAATGAAAGCAAGTACGTAGAGGTTACAAAAAAGTGAAATCTAACACATGGTGGAAGTTATCAGATAAATGCTAAACATGTTTAGAGATATATGTAGAAAAGTGTTATTACAGATGTGTATTTGATATTCATTGGTGGGTGTGTCTCTCTACTTTAGATGGTGTTGTCGGATCCTTTACCATGGAGGGAAATGACATACGTAAGAAGAAGTCGGGATGTACTCTGCCTCCCTGGTGTGTGTATGTGGGATATTTCCTGTGTTTCTGTCTCAGTGTGCTATCTGTCATTGTGGTGATGCTTTATGGTTACCAGTTAGGAGCTGAGATTGCTCTGCAATGGGTCTTAGCCCTGCTGTTCAGTGTAGCTTTCTCCTTCCTCATGTTTGAGACCCTCAAGGTAAGTTGATATGATACTGAAGTTTTGATGACATTTAAAAATGCTAATAAGCGAAAAAACATGTTTGATCTAGAATAATAAATGAAAATTGATGTCTTAAAAATATACCAGAGGAAAATTATAGGGAACATATTCATTTCCTTAGTGAATTGAAAAAATTCACATGTGGTAAATCAATAAATTAATGTGGTAAATCTATAAAAATAATATTTATAGTCCCTGATAATTTTCAGTATATATTTAAAATTGGATAAATGTCTGATATCAAGAAACTTATGAATTCATCAATAAATTTTGCCAAATTTTCAGAATTTGGATACAGACTGTTTCTGTAAGGAAGATTTGATTAGGGTAGAGTGTGATTCTTTTACAGGCTCTCTTCATGGCATTATACATTGCTGGTATTGAGAAGAAAGTGGATCCTTATGATGAAAATGATGTTATTGATATTGAACCAATCGTCGACAATGCTGTGGAAACTGTCAAGGTAATATGCTTATAGGGGAACATGGCTTGTTAAGTTACAGTTATGTCCAAATATTTGTTTTATATCTTAACTTAAAAATCACTTATTTCAATTGATGAATTTTTTTTAAAAAATCAAGATAGATTTAAGGTCTTGATAAAATCTGAATAATTCAGTGTACCATTAAAGTTTGCACACCTTTTGAGTTTAAGACAACAGTTACACCGTTTTCACATATTGTCACCTGTGTATCTGGATCTATATCTTGATCAGGCATTTGTTATTTATCAACACATTTTGGCCCACAGGAAATGAAGTTCAAACCGCTGGCTGGTTTCTCCTTGGTGAAGGCCAGAGAGGAGGGCCAGAAGGTCCAGAGGATGCGTCTGATGCTGCGCCAGTTTGTGGCTTACATGTTCTACCTGTGGCTGCTCATGGTACTGTGTTATGTGAACTTTAGCTCCAGCCAGTACTACTTCACCTACAGCACAGAGAACCACTTCATCAAGACCACTGTATCCAACGACACATACTCATTCCAAAATATGACCAGGTCTGTTTATTAGGGTCTTGTAAATTCAAAAACCTTTTAATTAATCAAAATAATCATTGAGATTGAAAGATAATGCACAGAGTTTGTTATTAAAGACTTCCCTGAAGTAGAAGTTGTTCGAAAAAGAGTATGTGAAAACAATTTTATTTAGCAATGATTATTCCATTAATGATGACAAAAATGACATTTCAGTTGAAAATGAAATTTTAGTCACAAGAAAGCTGGCTTTGTAGTGTTTCCCTACTGGAGCTGTATATTCTCACCATACATCAATGCTGTTACAAAGTTTTAAGAAAACTGATAATGCAACATTGCTGCCAGTTTCTTACTGTTCTCAGTCTGTAAGTCTGACGTTAACCTATAACTTTAACTCTACTTGTTTTTGATAAAAGACCAGAATATTTGTAGAAAGTATGTGGAACATGATAGACTGATTAAATTTTTCTTATAGTATCGAAGAATTCTGGGTGTGGAGCCAAGAGGTCCTTTCTCCAGGGCTCCACTGGGAGGAGTTTGAAAACTACACAGAATATGCCACACTCCTAGGGACTGCCCGACTCAGACAGGTCCGCAGTCTGACAGAGAAGTGCATGGCCTATGATTCCTTAATAGTCTTAGGCAGTCCAGACTTTCTGTCAGGAAAGACCTGTGTTGGGTCAGGCAGCTTTGACGAGGACCAGAACTCATACGGAGAAACATGGACCAGCAACCAAGCACAGAACCTATCTTGGAATTACTACACCTCGGACCTGACTGGCAGGTAAGTATCTCAGTAATCACGACAGGATGAGTCGATCACTGTATCAGAGCAGTAGAGTAACATATTATCACTTGTTATGGCATACAGCATTGAATGATCCATCCAATTGACTCATGTGATTACAATTACAACTCCTTCACTATGTGAAAGCAGATGTCTCAAATGTAAGTTAAGCTTTTTAGTTTGGGTTATTTATTAATTAGATATCATTCTTAATTTTTCCTGTTGGTTGAGTTAACACAATTTAAATTCAATTTTCCTTTGGAAACAAAGGATAAAGAAAATATTCATATTTATCATCAGTGATGGACACATTACATTGATATATAATTGTACTTGTATTGATGTGTATATATGTTCTAAGACACCTGAAGAATTGTTTTACAGTGGGTTTTTAATATCAATTTACTTTGTACAATTTATAAAATGATATGGAAACAACTCTGAATCATTTTTGGATAGGAAACTTAATGTGTTTTGGTTATGCATCCATCTGGTTTGCAGTCTGTCTGTCAATCTGCACTTCTTGAATAAAGAATAGAAGAATGCAAATTACATGCATATAATTATTGTTAAGACAGTTTGTGATCAAAATTAAAACCTTTTTCCTGCAACTTTCTTTTTAGTATATATGAAATAATTTGCAAGGTACATTTCAAAGTAGAAGTAAATGTGATCACTTGGCCCATTCTCATGGAATCAATAGGATGGATCACACAATGATGTATTGTTTTATGTCCTTATATAGACATCAATGCTAATAGGGTTTTTTTTGCTATATTTAGTTGTGAAATTAAAAACTGCTGCAAAATCATGATGAAAGCAATATATATGTAGAACATTTAAAAATGTTCAAGATTTATAAAGAAAGCAATGTTCCTTATATTATTGATTACATCTATATTTGCTGTACTTTCAGTAAATGGCGACAGGGAAACGTGTTCTCATACAGTGGTGGCGGGTATGTGCAGTTCTTAGGCACAAACTACACTGAGACCCTGTCCATACTACAAGACCTACAAGCCAAAGACTGGATCAACCTTCATACCCGTGCTGTATTTGTAGACTTCACCATGTACAATCCTGCCACTGACCTGACTACCTATGTGAACCTCCTCGTAGAACTTCCTCTCACAGGTACTTTAACTTATCAGTCTCACAATCTAATGCATCTCTCAGGTTTTTAGACAAAATCATCGGCTCATTGTCTTGTTGCAGCATTGTAACATATTGCAAGACTAGATATTTCTGCTGATTGGACTGTTGTGAAGTAGATAGTTATCATGCCAAGATCCCAGTATCCAGGAACTTGAGGGTTTGAATAGCAATACATGTATTTGCAAAGAAATGTATAATGTATACACAAAAATCATTAAAAAAAATGGTGAAAAGGACCATTATTTTGACAATACATACATGAGCATACATCAAAAATCTGCCTAAGTCATATACAAAAATCATTCAAAAACTGGTAAGAAGAACCATTGACAACACATACATGTGGCTAAGTTGTATTTAGTCTGGTTTTTTATTGATCTTAGGTCCAGTTAATAAAAGTTTAGGTCATTATTCTTTGATCTGTAGACACCATAGTCTTAGCTCACTCAATCGTTTTCAGATATGACATAGTTATATTCAGTGTTAGATCAGCTTTCTGTTTTAAGTAGGCATAATTACTTCATATGTGAGATAACATTCTATCACAGAAAGATCAATTGTCTTTTGTAAGTAGGGCAATATTCCATGACAATTAAGTTCCCTCAGGAATAAGACAATCCGCCCTTACAGGTAGGTCAACCTTCCCTCAAGGATAAGTTAATCATCCCTTACAAGTAGGTCAACCTTCCCTCACAAGTATGTTAACCTTTCCTCACAGATAAGTCAATCATCCCTCGCAGGGAGGGCAACCTTCCCTTATGGATAAGTCAGCTTTCCCTCACAATTAGTTCAACATTTCTTCACAATAAGTTAACCATCCCTCACAAGTAGGGCAACCTTCCCTCATAGATAAGTAACTTTCCCTCGCCAATGGTAAAGCCTATCAGTTGTTATTTGTCTGATTGTCTGTTAAAGGTTCTGTCAACACGTCATATGAGATACACAGCCAGAAGTTACTACGGTACATTGATGATATTGTGGACCCTTTGCTGGTGTGTGAGGTAAGTCATGTTGTGTTAAATTTATTATTGGATGATCTTATGGCAAATCCTTCCCTTCAGTATTGTCTTGCATTTTCAGTCATCTGTAGGCAATAAATCATTGATAAGGTTGGTGCCCTGAATTTGGAAAGTTTACAATAACTGACATCACATAGAAGGTTTCCATTTGAACTTTCTTCTCCAGGAAATCACACCCATTTAAAACTGTGCTTACATTGGTATTTACATACTCAAAAGCACAAACACAACTTCCAACCCTTACACAAACATAATCACACACACCCTATCTCCCACCCACATGATACATTCATTAATTCATTCAATCAATAAATATACAGTTTCCTTTCTATATCATTTTATTGAATTTGTCATTTTTTATGATTATGTACAGGCAATCCTGTTTGTGGTAGTAGTGTACCTGTGGATACATATGGCCCTGTTGATACGAGATGAAGGCTGCTCATTTTTCACCAAAGCCTGGAACCTTTATGAGCTACTCACCACAGTGATGGCAATGGCAGTCATTGGACTGTATGTGGGCTGTGTGGTTCAAGCAACCTTCACCTTTGATGAGTACCTGGCTAATTCCTCCAGCTTTGTCAACTTTGAGACCACCATTGATGTCCATTTGTCCATGAGATACACACAGGCCTGGCTTCTCTTTCTACTCATGTTTAAGGTATGACACAGTGGGGCATCAAATTCTCAGGACAGAGCACAGGGCTATTGTAATTACATTGTACTGATTACTATTGGGTATTGGTTTTCAAACTTTCACTTTTATATATAAACTTTCAGACTGAATGTGAAGTAATTAAGACAATGAAATAACTAATATTGTCGAGAATCATACATCAATTTAGTTGCTATATTCAATTTTTATTTATTTTCAGGTCGTGAAGCAATTGAGATTCATTAAGGTCCTGTACATCTATGAGAAGACACTCAGTGAATCAGTAGGCAAACTGTTCGGTGTTGCTCTTATATTTGCCATCCTCTTCCAAACACACGGAATGCTTGCCTACTTGGTATGAAAAAAAATATATGTTTTTCAAATATACTTTCGTATTGACGAATGTAAGTTTCTTTTCTTCTCATAAATATTCATCGGCATGAAGGGTTGAAATTAAATTAATGAAAACATGTGATTGATAAGAACATGTATAAAGGTGCTGGACTGTAGTCAGTACATTGTTTTATGGTTTGTAAACATTTTATATAAATAGCGCAACAAAAGTTTTCTTACTGTTTTCCTGTTGGTACTATGATAATGTATGTGCATTGCAGTGGTATGGACCTTATGTTGGAGGGTTTGAGAGTTACTGGCATACACTGACAACACTACTAGGAGCCATCCGAGGCACATTTGATTTCTGGTTGCTGTTTGAGCATAGCCGAGTCTTCAGCCACTTTTTCTTCTATTCCTTCTACATCTTCGTGTATGGTTTGACTATAGGCTTCATTGTGGCCATCTTGTCAGACACATACAAAACATTGCGCTCACAGATGTTCTTCAAGTCCACACTAGACATGCAGGATCATGAAATGATTGACTTCACCATGAAAAGGTTCAAGATGTGGGCGGGGATCACAAAGCCAAAGCCGGTGAGTAAAACCAGTTCTGAGTGGTAACATGACTTTGCATGGACGTTGGCTTTGAAATGTACAAAAAAATTCTGTAGGATCTGTACCACCAAAGGTTAATTACTGACATAGTTATCTAATATTTATGAGTCATAATGATTCTCTATAATAGTGTACTACAGAGGAAGACCTGGAAGCTCATGAGTCCATTTTCAGCCATTGGATGTCAATTTCAAAATAAAACCAGGATCAAAGAATTGAAAATGTTAAGTGTCATGGATTGAATTTTTTATACTGAAGTGATTTATCATTTGTGTGGTAGGAGTTTCGTGCAGTGCGGTTCCCCGGCCTTCCCTCGGTATCCAGCAGATGTACATCGCGAAGTTCCACCAGATCGTTCAGCGAGACTTCAATTAGTTCTGATGGTCTGAGTATGCTGTCGACAGGGGGTTCTGCCAATGCTGCTGCTCGCTTGTCTTCTACCTGGCAGGATGTGCTCCGCACAATGGAAAGAGTAAGTGACACATTTTGTAAGCTGCCAAAAGATCATCGCACAAATGGTGATATGGTGACATCACTGATTTAAAGGAAAACAAAATGTCCTGGTGTATTCCTTGATTTAACCATTTAATGGTTTATATACAATTATTGTACATACTTGGTCACATTTGTTATAACACTTTTTCTACCACTCATCTTTTTGTTTTGCTGATATTTCGATTGAACTGTTTTTAAGGTGACCCATTTAGATGTTATTGAAGAAGATCTTATAAAGAAATGTCAGCGAGAGATTGATGAATGGAAATGGCAGAACCGTATCAGTAGCATGGAGAAAGAAAATGATGGTCTCTTGAATTGGACAACAAAAAAAACTCCTACTACTCCCAACACTCGTACTACCAAAATACACAAAAGAGTTCCAACACAACCGCGCCTGACTGCAAAGTCAGAAGGAACAGCCAAAACACCACCTTCAAAGCCAGTTAAGGGAAAGGCAACACCAAGGGCATCTCGCCCCCTCAGTGATCAGGGGGGACGAGCAGCACAGAGGATGGAACAGCCTGGCCCATCACAAGACAGAAAGTCAGTATTTGACTTCTTCAAAAGTGTAAAACCATCAAAACCTGCATGGTAAAAACCCTGTACTTGCTGTGCAGTTCATATTGTGTTCAATATAAAGTTATTTGTTCAACTTATTATTTTTATTAGTAGTGTTATGATTAGTGTATTATTTATAAGAAGCATCATGGATTTTCATCATTAGCTATTTTTACACAACACACAAGTTTGTTTCATTGTTATCTATCTGTGATAGATATCACTTTGAATTGTTGTTTTTTTGTTAATCTTCACGGAATCAGCTCCATTATCTCACATTGTTTAATTTCACCTGTGCCAATTTTTAATGGATTTGAGAAAATTCAAAAGAAGAAGATTTCAAGCGACAGTATAAATGTTTTATTGTGAGACAGAGACTCGCTCTAAGCCACAGAACTGGGGAATTACCTGTGGAAAAATGCTACTAAAGCTGGGAAATGTGATTCATTTGATGTGTGAACGACAAACGACAATAGTGAAGGATTTTCATTCACACAATCAACTGCCTTTAATCATGAGGAAAATCGGTTGACATGTGGTGTGTACTGACTTGATATTTAAGACATACAGTTTTGTATGAGTTTGACGACTGCAAATGACCATTGAAATATCAGTCCTACCTGTAACACATGTAAGAGCTATGATAGGGATGAATTATAGTCACTACAATGATTTAGTCGCATATTCTTTCATGTAAAATAGGCTTTTATGCACATTGTTTCTAAAATTTGAAAGCATGAAATTTCAATGTTCAGATGTTAGTTTTAAAATTAACAATTTCAACTTTGATCGCAGTTATGAAATGTATACTTTTAAAAAATTTGATTAGAGTTTTGTTGATAAAGTTAATAAGCGTAATTGAAATGTGAGTTGTTGTAAACGATGATTCATCTCGGCTCTGTTACAGATGTCAGTACAGATGTTTGTACCCACAGTTATCCTGGTGCTTGTGTGGGTGCTGATTTACCTTGTCAGTATTTACTGAAAGGTTACACAAGGTAGTCAGTAGTTGTTACAGATCTATTACACATATTTTGAGCAGTGCACTTAATATAGTGTTGTAAAAACATGACATTGATATATTGAAAAATGAAAAATATTTGTATATACCAAGATACTGCCTAGACAATCATCAAGTTTGCTGTGACTTATCTCCCCTTAGTAGACCTTGTGTGGTAGGTATATATCATAGCCTAAGGTTATGTTTTATCATCCAATGGCCTTACATATTAAACTATAGTGAAACATATACTTTCTAATATGAACTTACAATTCAAGTGACTTATTTCTTGTGCCTCGAGGTAGATTTCCTTGCCAAATATTATAAAATTTGGCAAGCTTGTTATATATTTGAATTCATCAAATCTTTCCATTTTCAGCGACCAAAAACAAAAATTCCAAAACACTATCCACTGACTTATTCTTATGGTTTGTGACGTGACATCTCCATCAACAATTAACTCTGAAAATTAAATAATTAATGAATACAGATAGTTTCTCTCTAACAGATGTTTAAGATATGAATTTTTTCGTACATTGTTGAAATATTTTGAAAATGACTATCAATTCTAGCTTAAAGTTAGAGATTTGTTTGTAGTAAAATATTAACCGTCCAAACTTTAACCAATTCTACAAGGTGCACTGTTGTCCACCGTTTGATTTACACCGTCCATATAAGATATATATGCCGTCCAATGATAAATTTTGTAATGATATTTTATACATACTCTGTATCATAAGTAAGTATTATCAGTACATGATATGATAATTATAGGTTTTATATATTTATTGTTCATTATCAGGGGATGTAGGGTTTACTGTCCTGTGGTAAAGTATATATGCCGTCCCTGTATTTAGACTTGTTTTTGTGTTGGGTTAGGGCTACCTCCATGTCATAGATCATGAATTTGTATTGTAGAATAATGTGCCAATTTTTATGGCTAAGCTGTCTGTTAATGTATTGTTATAAATCTTATGTATTTTATTGAACCACATTCCGAAAACAAGTTGATGGTTGATGTCAGTCTCATTGAAATTCTAAATAATGTGTAATTATACCTTGTTTAGTTAAACGATTTGATATTATGGATGAGTTTCATTTTTATATATGTTTCTTAGAGTGGGAGGGTATTGATGAGAACCCCTCAACAGTCAGTCGTGTCTTAAATTACTCTGATGAAATGAATGAAGGGAAATCCTTTATTCATTGTTTTATGTGCTTTACACCTTCATAATAGGAGAGTAACCTGAAGAATCACTCACTTTTCTATCTATGAATCTGTTCAGCTGAAATGGGAAAGTATAGATGAGAACATTTTTTGTGTACATCCAAAACATCTTGTGTCATTATGGTGGAGAGAACAGATAAGTTTGAAAAGGGATGGGGACCCTTGATTCAGTATAATGTGTATTTCACTGTTATAATGAGTGTAGATGAGAATCCCTGGCTTCAGTGTAAAGGTGTCTTACACTTATTATGAGTGTAGATGAGAATCCTTGGCTTCAGTGAAAGTTGTCTTACACTGCTATAATGGGAGTACTGGTAGATGGGAACTCCTCACTTCAATATAAATATGTCTTAACATCTTGCACTTTAAAATGGGAGAGTATCGAAGAAAGTGTTTTTCATTGTTATAAAGGTGGGATCAGATAGGCACCTCTTAGTTGTCTGTTGTTAGTGTCTTACACTGCTATTATAGGAGGTTATGGATGGGAACCCCTTAGTTCTCTAAAACTAAATTACAGTGCTATTATAGAATGTGCAAGGAAACCCCCAGTTATCTTTTAAGTGTCTTCAACTGTTATAATGGGAGGGTGTGGATGGGAACCTCTTGATTGTTTATTTACAAGTGTCTTATGCTGTCATAATGAGAGTGTGGAAGGGAACCCTGCAGTGTCTTATACTGTTTTTGTGGTAGATTGTGGATGGGAACCCCTTGGTTGCTTATTTACAAATGTCTTATGCCATTATAAAGGATGGGTGTAGATGGTAATTGCGTTTTACAAGTACCGTATATATTATGCTGTCGTAGTAGGAGGGCAGACAGGAACCATGCACTTCCCATAAATAAAGTATCTTACACTGCTATATGGGAAGAAGTGGATGGGAAAACTGCAATGCTGATAAAGTGTCCTGCACTTTTTTTAACAGAGGGTGGGGATGGGAACCCCGCAGTTCTCATAAAGTGTCTTGCACTGTTTTTAACAGAGGGTGGGGATGGGAACCCTGCTGTTCTCATAAAATGTCTTGCACTGATTTAAGAGAGGATGTGGATGGGGAACTCCTTAGTTGTCTTATTTTTCAAAAAGTGTCTTACATTATCATAATAGGAGGGTGTGGATGGGAATCCTTCCGTTGATCTTTTACAGGTGCCCTGCTCTGGTATAATGATGGGAGGGTGTGGATGGGAATCTTTCAGTTGATCTTTTACAGGTGACCTGCTCTGTTATAATGATGGGAGGGTGTGGATGGGAATCTTTCAGTTGACCTTTTACAGGTGCCCTGCTCTGTTATAATGATTGGAGGGTGTGGAAGGGAATCCTTCAGTTGGTGAGGTAGAGGGAGGGGGGGTTCAATATGATACTTAGGGTGGTGAGATGTTAGTTTTTTATTTATCTCTGTTGGATTATTTTGTTCGGGGGTATTTGCAACCATGATGGAATTTCCAATGGTATTGACTTAACCACAGATGCCAACTTGGTAGATGAATTGCCAAATGTGATGACCCGTTGATGTTCATTCATATTCTAACACTGTGATAGTTCCTTCATATCTAGATGCTTGTTCATGATCTTATCCTAATTCATATTTAAGTCTTTAGCATACCTGACACAATTTTAATCAGAATAAAAATCAAAATGCAATAATTTCTGCTTTCCCATTAATTTCTGTTACAATGTGTGTAGGTTAATATGGAATGTGCCAACACCCATTATCACCAGAATATACCCTATCCTATTACAATCACATGGGTAATATAGGGGATAAGCTTTGTATGAATGTATGCTCAATTTGTTATTATTATATTGTTTCTCTTTGTCCTTAGAATTGTTGATTTTATACAATTCATTAGTGCTATTGTTACATTTTGTTATTGTCAGATGAAGATGTTCAGTTTCAACATCAAACTATTTTTTTCTGTTACTAGAGTTTTTATAACATCACAACTGGAACAACTTATCCTTCAATATTTGTCAATCTAAAAATAGAAAGAATGAATAAGATTTAAGAAAGGAATCTTTAGCTATTGGTACCTTTTAGGGTGAAAATGTGCCGGTAGAACTTCCAGAACTGAACATCTTCTATAAGTGGATGGCAGTCTTCCACGGTAGTGTCTTGTTACCATAGTAACATTGCACAACATGTCTGTCGTCCTAGATCTGGCACTGGTTGCCGGCTGGCAACATTTACCTAACCTATTGTATATATATTTTTATCTACATCAAAAGAGTGATTCTATTTTTAGGTGTATAATTTATTCATTTAAAGGCATATTTCTACAAAGATACTACCTGTTTGACGAATGTCATTAAAGCCTGTGCTTTTGACTGAACCTTAGAAACGTGTTGTGTTATTTCTGTTATCCCGTCCGCTCACACCCTCCACATCATCGTGAACACATTACTTCACTGTCCATCCACACACTTTGCATTAAAGTCCATTTTTTTTTTAAACTATTTATTTTGTACATTTTAATGACAATGGTCTAAAAAAAGGAGAGGCAGATTATTCACCAACACAATACATTTGTTTTCTCTTTAAATTAAGAGAATATTGTATATCCACCAATGACACTTCACTTGATATTAAATTTGAAAATATCGTCTTGTTCAAAAATAGTTATACCATGCTTTAATCATCTTGTTAGATTCATATCTCAAGTTGGCAGATTAGAAAGAATGATGTTGTTTAGCTGTGCCACCTGGCCCCACTTGTGTAAAACATTTCAACTTGAGATTTCTTCAAGTCGAGATTTTCCTCAGCCGATATCTCCTCGAAAACGGCTTGTATAAAATTTTCTCATGGAACAGGAGGAAGTCATCAGCCTGAAATTTCTTGAGGAATTTTGATACAAGATATTTTCAAGAAGATATTAACTGAGGAAAATATGGGCTTCAGGAAATCTTAAATTGAAATGTTTTATACAAGTGGGGCCTGGTCACTTGAAATTTTCCTTAGTTCTTGGTTAATCCTGAAATTTATTCCATCTGTTACGGGATATCATAGACATCAATTTTTTTCAAATTTTGTAAAGCACCACCGAGTGGTTGAAAATAAAAGGAAAAGTATAATTTGAAACAGAAACATTCTTTACATACCGAGTACATAGACAAAACAAACGAAAGCAGTATTCTGCATATATGCTACTCATTTTAATATAATCTAATATGTAATCCTGACACATCATCATTTGATATATATATAATACTTAATGGTTATGTATTTAAGTAGAACACTGGATTTGACATGACAAGGAAATAGATGGGATATGAAGTGGTATGATTACAATATTGTGGTCAGTTCTGGACAAATGTAACCAGCATCCTGTAGCTAATACCCAAATACTAATTTTTTCAAGTATTATTTTTTTTCTAAATCTCTTAAAACAAATCTCTGAAAAAGTCAAGATCACTTGTGGTGTTCAAATGACTTATGGTTGTCAAGAATATCAATTCTGGACTTGAAAGTGGTAAGGCTTGACAAAGATAAAAACTAGGGCAGCATTGCTTTTTACTTTACTCAATAATGACACAGCATTGCTTCGTAAAGAATCAAAGGTAACACTTTCAAACTTGATATTGTCAAATGTTTCAAAAAGCTGACCCCAGCAGTCATGATTTGAACACTTGGTGAGATTTGGACAGAATGAGAAGATATATCAACAATTTGTCGGTGACCTAATTACCAAGTTCTTGGACATGATATTTTGAAAATGTAAGTCAATAATGCAAACACAATCTGTAAATAACAATAAAATGTGTGGTGACTTCTTCAAAATGTGCCCATACATGCAAGACATCAACACAAAATGTGTTTATGAAATGACTACAATTTGTCAAAAACATCACCAAATCATCATCACAATGTATCAATGTTATCAATGAAATCAAACAAATGATTAATCAAAATGCACTAAAACTACTGAAATATTACGATAATCATTTCAAATATGATTTCATACTCGTATATTAATGAGTTATAATGAATGAATTCTCTCCAAATATAGCAATGGTTTAATTATATTCAAGCTATGCTGTGTCAAACACCATGTTCATCTGGATGATAACTGGTCCCATGATATTTTTCTGTATAAACTCTAGTACCCTGAGTATACATTTTTTCATGGTCTCATCATATTGCTTGGTTTAAGGTATTAAAAACAGCTCATTATAACTACAAGGAGGACAAAGTTTATAACTACTGATAATTGGAATATATTACATTTTAATTAAAATACAATCATTTATAATTACAATTAACTCTGGATATTCTTTATAATGACACAATTAACTGTGGATCTTCATTTAAAATCACACAATTAACTCTTAATATTCATTTATAATGACACAATAACTGTGGATATTCGTTATAATGACACAATTAACTCCGGATATTTATTTTTAATTGACAATGAACTCTCTTGATATTTCTTCACATCATGTATAGATAGAATTTGTAAGTGTTATCAGACTTTGTACCATCACTGAAGATTTGGAATTTTCTATGAAGAGTCTCCATTTATCAAATCTAAACCACAGTTTCAGGCCTCATCAATTATAAAGTATCTGTAGAAGGTTCTTATTTCAGTATATAATAATTTAGAACTGGGAGTGGCCATATTTTTCCCCTAAGGGATCAACAATTTGAACAAATTTCTGAACACAAATAGGCAATAATAGACAATTAATTACCAAGCTACATATATGTCAAAGTAATAGTTAATCATATTGAGGTTGGTTGAAAAAAAAAATCTTGTTAATAGAAAAGAGAAAATCATCCGGAGCAATGGTTTCCCATATGCAGTAGGTCATAAGCACCAGAAACATTAAGTGGTGGATGAAAAAATCACATCATTGACTCACTAATGCCTCAAAAACTTGCCAACTATTAAAAAAAGAACATTTACAGTAAACAAAGATTTGGCAAAGAACACGCAGGATAGGGATACTGCTAAAAAGGTTATATAGCAAGCAATCAAAACGTTATCAATAGATGTCACTAATAAAACATGTTTACACTCGCTCTAGTATATCCGATTATACTATATCTAGCATACTTACAAAAGTTAAAATAAAGCTCTTTATAAAATGTATCCACAGTTCAATATGTAAGAAGTTGTCTTATTACATTTAAACCACACATTCTAAATCTTTATCATTTCACACTCTCTGAAAGTGACACACTCTGACATTGACACACTCTTTGACAATGACATGGTATCTTACAGTGACACACTGTCTGACAGTGACACACTATCTGAGAATGACATGGTATCATACAGTGACATAGTGTCTGACAGTGACACACTGTCTGACAGTAACACACTATCTGACAGTGACACACTGTCTGACAGTGACACACTATCTGACAGTGACACACTATCTGACAGTGACACACTCTCTGACAGTGACACACTGTCTGACAGTGACACACTCTCTGACAATGACATGGTATCTTACAGTGACACACTGTCTGACAGTGACACACTATCTGACAGTGACACACTCTCTGACAATGACATGGTATCTTACAGTGACACACTGTCTGACAGTGACACACTATCTGACAGTGACACACTCTCTGACAGTGACACACTATCTGACAGTGACACACTCTCTGACAGTGACACTATCTTACAGTTACATGCTCTTTAACAGTGACACACTGACAGTTACATGCTCTCTGACAGTGACACTCTCTGACAGTTACATGCTATCTGACAGTTATATGCTCTTTAACAGTAACACACTATCTGGCAGTGACACACTCTCTGACAGTGACACTATCTTACAGTTACATGCTCTTTAACAGTGACACACTGTCTGACAGTTACATGCTCTCTGGCAGTGACACACTCTCTGACAATGACATGCTATCTGACAGTTATATGCTCTTTAACAGTAACACACTATCTGGCAGTGACACACTGTCTGACAGTGACACACTATCTGACCGTGACACTATCTGACAGTGACACACTATCTGACAGTGACACTCTCTGACAGTGACACGCTCTCTGACAGTGACACTATGTGACAGTGACACACTATCTGACAGTGACACTATCTGACAGTGACACACTATCTGACAGTGACACAATCTTTGACAGCGACATGCTCTCTGACAGTGACACTAACAATTCCAAAATGATTAGTCTGAAGCTGTTATATATTCGATACATCTCATAACAGCATCTGAAGATGTGATAACAGCTAAAGTTACATGACAACAGTTAAAGTATGACAATAGCTAAGGTCATGTAACAGCAGAGGTCAAAGAATGTATGTCTACAAAACATGGACCAAACAACAGTTAATATTAGAGTAGGTGATATGATTTCAAAACTGTCCTGAGCATAAGACCACACACAATGGCTAAGGTCATGCAAGGGAGGCAAATTTAGATCAACATCATTGAGGTGCAACAAGTAACTTGTTCACTAGGTCATATCAGGAATGAAGACCTACAAAATGGAAAGGAACAGAGAGCAACAAGGACAAAACCCTCTGTGACCAACACTACTATGATTATAATTACTTGTCTCCTATCAATTAATTCTGTTACATGTCTGGACAGACTAACATTTTCTATGAACAATACAGTTTCATACAATAAGATTAATATTCCCGCAACTTCCCCCACCTCCATTCTGTATGAAATAAAAGTTAAAAGCTATCAAAGTCAACTTTGGTGATAATTACATTTAACAAAATATTGCAATCATTTGTAAATAACCAATTATACAAGAGAGAAATTACTTAATTTAAAGACCTTGAAAAAACAAATTTTCAAAACAAGTCTCCCTTTCAATCTATTGTCATCTCACATTAAAGATATTAAAAGCTATGTAAATATAAATCAACAGTTGTAGTTAAAGTATAGAATAACGTTATAAAATTATCACTCAACAATAACAGCAGTCATATAACTTGTGTATAATAGTAGAAAGTACCGCTTCTGTGTACTGTGAATGTTAGGGACTGAATTACACTGACTAGTCTTTCTGTGCTCGACCTGACAGCGGACTCCAATTCTCACAAAATCTTCACATTCTAATGCATCTTCACTGGAAATTGCAAATAGACCTCTTTGGCACATCTCATGTGAATGCATCTGAAGAATTTCAGTGAGGAAATGTTGATTCAATGTGAGCAATTTTGTAACTATTTTGGATCATCCCCAAAATTCATACGGATCTGCTCCAGGAACATGAAGGTACATACAGTGTGTGGTCCTAGTCGTACAAAGGCTGGAATAAATCCCTGTTAACAAAGAAACAAATTTTGACAACATTGTTACAAATTCAGGCAGCAAAAATTGTCAAAACATGGTAACAGATTCAGGCAGCAAAAATTGTCAAAACAACAGAGTCCTCAAAATAGAATAAAACAATATTTAGCAGCAAGAATGATAAAAACAAGCACATAGTACTTATTGTAATGATTACATCACAGGGATGTTAGAGTGTTTAATGTTGATCCTAATCACTCTGTTCATTGATGACATCACAAAGATGTTAGAGTGTTTAATGTTGATCCTAATCACTCTGTTCATTGATGACATCACAAAGATGTTAGAGTGTTTAATGTTGATCCTAATCAATCTATTAATGTATTGTCAATATATCAGGCAATAAACCCAGGACTGAAATAAATTCACTAATGTCTATTGCTCTTCAGTTTCATTTCCAACAGATGCTTTTCACTGTCCTATAAAAAGTCCATGCTGTAATTTTGAGCCACATGTTATGTGTTGACCTGCTGGGCTTACTACTGGACAAATACATTAATACTGAATAGTACAGTGTATTGTTGTGGCCAAAACAATCATCTTCTATACAGTGTACAAATTCAAGAAATCTTACCTTAAAGAAACCTAGAGGTCCATTTTTACCAATGTCTAAAGCACAAGCTGCTAAACCCTGCAAACATCAACAGATATCAGTTATTACCAGATCAGGTCACTGTGTACCAGACTAACATAAAGCTGTTAACTACAGTTAAAAACACTCATATGAAATTACATAATAACGAAAGAAAGGTCGTAAGGGTATATACTACCTTAACATTATCTATTTCAAAGAGTTGCATCATTAGGAAGTCATTAACAGCAAAACACATTTCAATGTATTTGACCTGATTACAATCTTCCTGTTGCTTACGTCACCCGAGGTCTTTACTAGTTTACTTGTATGGAAGATGAAGTTGTGTACAGTCAAAAGTACACAAAAATATCTTAATAACATTCCATTAAATAAATGAATTACTGCCGTTAAAGACTGAAGTTCAGGCATTCTTTACATTGTATACATATCTAACTCACAGAGTAGGTCCCAGGAGGTGCATTCATCATACGTGTCTTCATCACATCCAACGGCATGGTAAGGAAGGTTGCTAGTGTCCCCTACAAAATATTCACATCTGCTTAATCCAGGAACTTTATTCCATATGATGAAAATAAAAATGTCTAGGGTCTTAGTCCTTATGGTGAGAATAGAATGTCTAGGGTCTTAGTCCTCATGATGAGAGGAAGATGTTTAGGGTCTTAGTCCTTATGGAGAGAATAATATGTCTAGGGTCTTAGACCTTATGGTGAAAATAAGATGTTTAGGGTCTTAGTCCTTATGGAGAGAATAATGTGTCTAGGGTCTTAGACCTTATGGTGAAAATAAGATGTTTAGGGTCTTAGTCCTTATGGTCTTAGACCTTATGGTGAAAATAAAAGGGTCTTAGTCCTTATGGAGAGAATAATGTGTCTAGGGTCTTAGACCTTATGGTGAAAATAAGATGTTTAGGGTCTTAGTCCTTATGGAGAGAATAATATGTCTAGGGTCTTAGACCTTATGGTGAAAATAAGATGTTTAGGGTCTTAGTCCTTATGGAGAGAATAATGTGTCTAGGGTCTTAGACCTTATGGTGAAAATAAGATGTTTAGGGTCTTAGTACTTATGGTGAGAATAAAATGTCTAGTGTCTTAGTCCTTATGGTGAAAATAAGATCTTTAGAAAATTCATCCTTATGAGGAGAATAAATACAAGATAAAAAAATTCTCTCAAAACTTTACTGGATGTACAGAATCACAGAGATAAAGGATTACTAGGTTGTTAAGGATCACATTCCACAGGTACATAACTTACCGCCATTGTGCTGCAGGTAAAATGTGTGACCAGGTTGTCCTTGAAGTAGCCTGAGCCCATCAATACTTGTTTTATTTGATCATAGCCAGCAAGCTACAAGAGACAATCACTTCGTTAATTCAAGTCAGTTATACGATACATATTTACATGTTGGATGAATAATCTGAAATGAATCACAACAATAAAAATATAAAGGTGACAATGTTTGAAAGTTCTATCTTATTACAGAGGTGACCTTGTAACTATAGAGGGGAACCATAAACTACAAGAGGGAGTATAGATAAGAACCTGGAGGGGACCATATAACTAAAGAGGGGAACCATAAACTACAAGAGGGAGTATAGATAAGAACCTGTAACAACAGAGGAGACCATGTAACAATAGAGGGGACCATGTAACAATAGAGGGGACCTTTGACTACAATGAGGAGTATAGATAGGAACCTGTAACTATAGAGGGGAACCATAAACTACAAGAGGGAATATAGATAAGAACCTGTAACAATAGAGGGGACCATATAACTAAAGAGGGGAACCATAAACTACGAGAGGGAGTATAGATAAGAACCTGTAACAACAGAGGGGACCATGTAACAATAGAGGGGACCATGTAACAATAGAGGGGACCGTGTAACTATAGAGGGGAACCTTTGACTACAATGAGGAGTATAGATAGGAACCTGTAACTATAGAGTGGAACCATAAACTACAAGAGGGAATATAGATAAGAACCTGTAACAATAGAGGGGACCATATAACTAAAGAGGGGACCATGTAACAATAGAGGGGACCTTTGACTACAATGAGGAGTAACTATAGAGGGGAACCATAAACTACAAGAGGGAATATAGATAAGAACCTGTAACAATAGAGGGGACCATATAACTAAAGAGGGGAACCATAAACTACGAGAGGGAGTATAGATAAGAACCTGTAACAACAGAGGGGACCATGTAACAATAGAGGGGACCATGTAACAATAGAGGGGACCGTGTAACTATAGAGGGGAACCTTTGACTATAGAAGGGAGTATAGAGGGGAGCCTGTAATTATAGAGGAGAGCCTGTAACTATAGAGGAGAGCTTGTAACTGTAGAGAGCCTGTAACTATAGAGGGGAGCTTGTAACTATAGAGAGCCTGTAACTATAGATGAGCACCTGTAACTAAAGAGGAGAGCCTGTAACTATAGAGGGGAGCTTGTAACTATAGAGAACCTGTAACTATAGAGGAGAGCCTGTAACTATAGAGGGGAGCTTGTAACTATAGTGAACCTGTAACTATAGAGGAGAGCCTGTAACTATAGAAGGGAGCTTGTAACTATAGAGGAGAGTCTGCAACTATAGAGGAAAGCCTGTAACTATTGAGGACAGCCTGTAACTGTTGAGGAAAGTCTGTAACTATAGAGAAGAGCCTGTAACTATAGAGGGGAGCTTGTAACTATAGAGGGGAGCTTGTAACTATAGAGGAGAGCATGTAACTATAGATGAGCGCCTGTAACTAAAGAGGAGAGCCTGTAACTACAGAAGGGAGCTTGTAACTATAGAGAGCCTGTAACTATAGAGGAGAGCCTGTAACTATAGAAGGGAACTTGTAACTATAGAGGGGAGTCTGTAACTATAGAGAGCCTGTAACTGTAGAGGAGACCCTATAACTACAGAGGAGAGCTTATAACTATTGAGGGGAGCCTTTAACAATAGAGGGAAACCTTTAACTACAAACAGGTGCATAAAAGGAGTTGGTAATTATAGTTAGAGGGGATCCTGTACATTTTGGTGATAACCTGTAAATATTGAAGTGAGCCTGTTACCATTGAGGGGGACCTGTAACTATAGAGGAGAGCCTGTAACTGTAGAGAAGAGCCCGTAACTATAGAGGAGAGCCTGTAACTATAGAGAGGAGCCTGTACATTTTGGTGATAACCTGTAAATATTGAAGTGAGCCTGTTACCATTGAGGGGGACCTGTAACTATAGAGGAGAGCCTGTAACTATTGAGGGGAGTCTGTTACTATAGAGGAGAGCCTGTAACTATTGAGGGGAGTCTGTAACTATAGAGGAGAGTCTGTAACTATAGAGGAGAGTCTGTAACTATAAAGGAGAGTCTGTACCTATAGAGGAGAGTCTGTAACTATAGAGGAGAGTCTGTAACTATAGAGGAGAGTCTGTAACTATTAGGGGAGCCTGTAACTGTAGAGGAGAGCCTGTAACTATAGATGGAAACCTATTACTACAAACAGGAGCATGGAAGAAGTTGGTAATTCTAGTTAGAGGGGATCCTGTATGTTTGGTGATAACCTGTAAATATTGAAGGGAGCCTGTTACTATAAAGGAGAACGGCTAAGTATACCAGAGAGTCTGTAGCAATGTCACCGTGGAGCCTTTAACTGTAGAGATATTAGATCACTATCATAATAGTATCTGTTAAAGTACTTAAGTCATATTAAAGTATTGTAACCCTGATAAAATACAAGCTGCAAAATACCACTCAACTAGAGAGAACTTCTCTTAAGCTTGATTGGTTGAGCATCAGACTAGTAAGCCAGGGGTCTCTGGTTCAATTCCTAGTGAAGGCATTGAAATTAATAATGACCTCTGTTACAATATTAAACTGACAAATGAGGAGAGTGTAACCTGTTACTGTATTGGGAATGGGACATGGATCTTTTATTCTCTCACTCAACTTATTCAATGCTGTTGACTGAAATATTCTTACCATGTTCATATCATCGGGATTGCAGTTTTAACAGATCACACAGGAGGGTCTAAAGAACATGTTGCACTACAGGTACATACCTGACCCACAGTCACCATCACAGCTCGGGAGCTGGCCATAGTAGCACCAGAAAACATCCTCTTGACACCCTCTTCCCGGAACACCCGATACAGTCCATCAAATGCATGCTTGTAGCTGTCATTCACATAAACAACTTAAGTAAACATTCACTCTTTGAGTATTTTTTTTTTATATAGAGTGAGTACAGCAGAAATTCTTACAGAACACAATCCTTAGAATGTTAGTAAGACACTTCTTTAAAATATATACTACACTCATAAACAAAGATAGAGAAATTTCAATTAACAGTAACACTTTCATCAAAATTTGAATTGACTTACTTTCTTCTCTGGTCTTTAGGAAGCTTTACATCATTCTGCATTCTGTAAAAAATGTTTTTATTTTAATTGAGAATGGAGCAGAAATATCAATCTATCAAAGCCAAACTTAATGATGTAAGAGGTCTATAATACATGTATGATGTACACAGAGAAGATTCTCTGGTGTTCAAATATCAAATGGAAATATCTCATGTTCACATGTAATTCAATTTCTTGTTGTAAATATTTTTTTTTCTCTAAAATACATATCTGTAGAAGGACTCTTCAACAGAACAGAAACCTTTAAATGATATTTATCAATATCTGCTTGGGTACAAAAATTTTAATCTTTTTAATAATCAATTCAAATTCTATCTAGAATTTTGAAATCATATATTTTTGTGGGGTCCTATTTTTGTGGTTTTAAAAAAAATACATTTTCAAGGACATTTTGATTTCATGGATAAATTTAAATCAATATAATCTTCTATACTGATTTTAACAGTTGTGGACTTCTGCATTCATATGGAATAGGAGTACCCAAGAAATCAATGAAAACTAATCCCCCATGAAAAATAATGATTTCAGTTAACCTGAGAGTCAATTAAGGGAGGTTTTTACATCTAAATAGGTTAACCACATAATATTAATAAGCATAAATGACTGATAAAGATATGAGTAGACTTATTGTAAGATTAAAACATTACCTAACATTGATGAGATCTGCAGGTGTGCCCACAAATCCCCCTGTAGCTCCTGATACAGCAGCTGTGGCTATTTTCTGGTAAAGTGGCATCACACTACCGTCACTTGTCAACTGTTTCTTTATGGTTTCATACATAGCAAACCGGGTCATAGAGTAGGTCAGCTGGAACAGCATAAATAGATGTTTTCTATTCTATTGTTTTGTAAATACAAATAACATAAAAAAAAACAACAACAACAGCAAAAAACAAAGAAATGCATTCATAATGTATTACTGAATTGTTAAGTTCCATGTAAAACAAAGTAAAATTGTGTCATTGTGAAAGTTACTGGTACTTGTTCACAGTAAAATAGAAGTTAGTAAAATATGTTTTGAGAAGAGGACCTTACCTGTCTACAGACTGAAGCTGACAAACCATTGTACATTCCCATAATGCCATCATTCTTCAGGATTCGACCAACCAGTGTTGTGACCTTCACTTTTGACTGTTGTGTCTGTAGCTGGACCTAAAATAAATTATTATACTTATGTACATATTCATATTGGATAAATGTTCATACTGGACCAACAACATACATAGATACATGTCATACTGGATCAACAACATACATAGATACATGTCATACTGGACCAACAACATACATAGATAAATGTCATACTGGACCAACAACATACATAGATACATGTCATACTGGACCAACAACATACATAGATAAATGTCATACTGGACCAACAACATACATAGATAAATTTCATACTGGACCAACAACATACATACATGTCATACTGGACCAACAACATACATAGATACATTTCACACTGGACCAACAACATACATAGATACATGTCATACTGGACCAACAACATACATAGATACATGTCATACTGGACCAACAACATACATAGATACATTTCATACTGGACCAACAACATACATAGATACATGTCATACTGGACCAACAACATACTTAGATACATGTCATACTGGACCAACAACATACACAGATACATTTCATACTGGACCAACAACATAGATACATGTCATACTGGACCAACAACATACATAGATACATTTCATACTGGACCAACAACATACATAGATACATGTCATACTGGACCAACAACATACATAGATACATTTCATACTGGACCAACAACATACATAGATACATGTCATACTGGACCAACAACATACATAGATACATGTCATACAGAAACAACAGCAGTCAGATTTTTTATCTTGTATCTTCTTCCTAACAATTTCTTTTCCTTACGCCTCACTTGACAATCTCTTACTTTTTGATCTTGCCGTATAGCTAATCCAACCAAATGATGAAGGTTTTAGATTCTGTCCCCTAATTGGGACAAACAAAAGTATTATGTACAAGTGATCTCAGAGGAAACTTTGCATCCATCATCATTTGATCTTTATTTGTTCTCTAAAATTTGAATCTTTTCCTTTTTTTCTTCTTTCCTTTGATAATCCTTTTAATTACATGAAATGTAAAAAAATTCCTTTTAGGAATGAGTGACAATATCTTTAAGTGTCGAACAATAGTTGGTCACCTTTCCTGCTATTTTTTTCCAACTGATATGTCCAAACATCAAAATAGCATAACCAAATAGAACTAGGGAAACCAATCCAAGAAAGATTCATTTTGTGCTTCTCCAGAAATATTGAAAACTATGACTGTCAAAAACCAAGATGGCTGCATCTTGGCCTTATTTTTTTACAATCTTCTAAAAAATGGGACAATGCACAACTAAAGACCAAGGGCAACATACAAATAAAGTTTGGAAATGGTCCGACTAAAACTTATAGCCATAACAATTATTGTTTAAGAGAGGAAAACCGATACAGAGCCATTCCAATTGCTTGCCATATGATGATGGTTGGTCAAACGTTGGTACCAGTAGTTGCTCCTAGATTAAGGTTCTGCTTTAGATAAGTTGACAGTAAAGACAGACTTGCCTACTGTCATTGTAATGTGACCAGATGAGGTGTCATCCTATTATTTATGACATTTCAGTGTGAATGCACTATATAAGCATTCTTTGCAAAGATACCTGACATTCATGGACAATGTCTTCCAGTGACATTAGCCGTTGTTAGGACTAAACCCCAAACAAACAATTTTTTTTATTTACCTGGTAATTCTCAGAGAACATATTACTTAATGATGATTTTATACAACTATATAACAAATACTGATTTAAACAGAATTAGAAAATATGTGTATGTTTCTATCAAAATTAGTTATCATAATAAGTGAGTCTTTCACTGTTCCACATAGCATTACAACTGCCAAAAGGCTGAAAATGAAACTATGTATAACTTCAAAACCATGTGATGTCAGGTGTGTGGTATACAGATATAATCTGTACAGCACATGAGTCTTACTTTCTCCACTTTACAACTCCACACATTACATAACACCATTCAGACCACAATTATTCAAACAGTCATTTAAAAACAGCTGTCCTCAGGCAAGGGCCTAGGTATACAGCGATTTTATCAACTAAAATGTTTTCCTTGATGCTTAAAATGCAGTTACTAGTATATAAATGACAGCTGTGCAACCTATCGTGAAATGATCACTAACAAAACTTATACAATATTGGTAGGTTATGGCATAAAATATTATTGAATTTCAATTATACTATCTTTTATACATAAAGCCAGAAAAATCACACATGAAGTAATTTTATCAGCTGCATCTTTAGTTATTTTAATGCATAACGTGTTAGACATTTACTAATTAAATTCTTAAAAGTGTTCTCTACCCATCAATTTCAGCTAATTACGGATATATGTAGGTTGAATACTCCTATGTTTAATCTCCAAAATTTTCATGGTTACCCAGTTTTTATTATGGGTGTACAACATAAACAGGATTATTACCTGGAAAGAACACATTCTACAGAGCTAAATAAACAGTTACATTCTACAGAGCTAATTAAATAAATAGTTACATTCTGTAGAGCTAAATAAATAGTTACATTCTGTAGTACCTAGGCATATGGGGGTTCAATTCACGGAACGGATGTGAAAAGGTATGGGGATTACCTGCCCAATCACAATCCCCTGGTACTCTGATTTCCTCCCACAAGAAGACACCTCACATGCTTCCATCAGGGCCAACAAGAGTGATTGATATAAGTTTAAAAGCTTGTTTCCCATTTATTGTGAAAAATAATCTAAGTTTTTATACAGAGCTGTAGTGAGGGAACATGGGGAAAGAAATACAGGGTTACATTCTACAGAGCTATAGCGAGGTAACATGGGGACAGGATACAGGGTTACATTCTACAGAGCTATAGTGAGGTAACTTAGAGACAGGATACAGGGTTACATTCTACAGAGCTATAGTGAGGTAACTTAGAGACAGGATACAGGGTTACATTCTACAGAGCTATAGTGAGGTAACATGGGGACAGGATACAGGGTTACATTCTACAGAGCTATAGTGAGGTAACTTAGAGACAGGATACAGGGTTACATTCTACAGAGCTATAGTGAGGTAACATGGGGACAGGATACAGGGTTACATTCTACAGAGCTATAGTGAGGTAACATGGGGACAGGATACAGGGTTACATTCTACAGAGCTATAGTGAGGTAACATGGGGACAGGATACAGGATTACATTCTACAGAGCTATAGTGAGGTAACAGAGAGACAGGATACAGGGTTACATTCTACAGAGCTATAGTGAGGTAACATGGGGACAGGATACAGGGTTACATTCTACAGAGCTATAGTGAGGTAACTTAAGAGACAGGATACAGGGTTACATTCTACAGAGCTATTGTGAGGTAACATGGGGAAAGAAATACAGGGTTACATTCTACAGAGCTATAGTGAGGTAACATGGGGACAGGATACAGGGTTACATTCTACAGAGCTATAGTGAGGTAACATGGGGACAGGATACAGGGTTAGATTCTACAGAGCTATAGTGAGGTAACATTGGGACAGGATACAGGGTTACATTCTACAGAGCTATAGTGAGGTAACATGGGGACAGGATACAGGGTTACATTCTACAGAGCTATAGTGAGGTAACATTGGGACAGGATACAGGGTTACATTCTACAGAGCTATAGTGAGGTAACATGGGGACAGGATACAGGGTTACATTCTACAGAGCTATAGTGAGGTAACATGGGGACAGGATACAGGGTTACATTCTACAGAGCTATAGTGAGGTAACATGGGGACAGGATACAGGGTTACATTCTACAGAGCTATAGTGAGGTAACATGGGGACAGGATACAGGGTTACATTCTACAGAGCTATAGTGAGGTAACATGGGGACAGGATACAGGGTTACATTCTACAAAGCTATAGTGAGGTAACAGAGAGACAGGATACAGGGTTACATTCTACAGAGCTATAGTGAGGTAACATGGGGACAGGATACAGGGTTACATTCTACAGAGCTATAGTGAGGTAACATGGGGACAGGATACAGGGTTACATTCTACAGAGCTATAGTGAGGTAACATGGGGACAGGATACAGGGTTACATTCTACAGAGCTATAGTGAGGTAACATGGGGACAGGATACAGGGTTACATTCTACAGAGCTATAGTGAGGTAACATGGGGACAGGATACAGGGTTACAGTCTACAGAGCTATAGTGAGGTAACATGGGGACAGGATACAAGGTTACATTCTACAGAGCTATAGTGAGGTAACATGGGGACAGGATACAGGGTTACATTCTACAGAGCTATAGTGTGGTAACATGGGGACAGGATACAGGGTTACATTCTACAGAGCTATAGTGAGGTAACATGGGGACAGGATACCGGGTTACATTCTACGGAGCTATAGTGAGGTAACAGAGAGACAGGATACAGGGTTACATTCTACAGAGCTATAGTGAGGTAACATTGGGACAGGATACAGGGTTACATTCTACAGAGCTATAGTGAGGTAACATGGGGACAGGATACAGGGTTACATTCTACAGAGCTATAGTGAGGTAACATGGGGACAGGATACAGGGTTACATTCTACAGAGCTATAGTGAGGTAACATGGGGACAGGATACAGGGTTACATTCTACAGAGCTATAGTGAGGTAACTTAGAGACAGGATACAGGGTTACATTCTACAGAGCTATAGTGAGGTAACAGAGAGACAGGATACAGGGTTACATTCTACAGAGCTATAGTGAGGTAACATGGGGACAGGATACAGGGTTACATTCTACAGAGCTATAGTGAGGTAACTTAGAGACAGGAAACAGGGTTACATTCTACAGAGCTATAGTGAGGTAACATGGGGACAGGATACAGGGTTACATTCTACAGAGCTATAGTGAGGTAACAGAGAGACAGGATACAGGGTTACATTCTACAGAGCTATAGTGAGGTAACATGGGGACAGGATACAGGGTTACATTCTACAGAGCTATAGTGAGGTAACATGGGGACAGGATACAGGGTTACATTCTACAGAGCTATAGTGAGGTAACATGGGGACAGGATACAGGGTTACATTCTACAGAGCTATAGTGAGGTAACTTAGAGACAGGATACAGGGTTACATTCTACAGAGCTATAGTGAGGTAACATGGGGACAGGATACAGGATTACATTCTACAGAGCTATAGTGAGGTAACATGGGGACAGGATACAGGGTTACATTCTACAGAGCTATAGTGAGGTAACAGAGAGACAGGATACAGGGTTACATTCTACAGAGCTATAGTGAGGTAACATGGGGACAGGATACAGGGTTACATTCTACAGAGCTATAGTGAGGTAACAGAGAGACAGGAAACAGGGTTACATTCTACAGAGCTATAGTGAGGTAACATGGGGACAGGATACAGGGTTACATTCTACAGAGCTATAGTGAGGTAACAGAGAAACAGGATACAGGGTTACATTCTACAGAGCTATAGTGAGGTAACATGGGGACAGGATACAGGGTTACATTCTACAGAGCTATAGTGAGGTAACTTAGAGACAGGAAACAGGGTTACATTCTACAGAGCTATAGTGAGGTAACATGGGGACAGGATAAAGGGTTACATTCTACAGAGCTATAGTGAGGTAACATGGGGACAGGATACAGGGTTACATTCTACAGAGCTATAGTGAGGTAGCATGGGGACAGGATACCGGGTTACATTCTACAGAGCTATAGTGAGGTAACAGAGAGACAGGATACAGGGTTACAAAATGGACCCATGTGAACAGGGAAATGATCAACATTAAGATTACAGGAGCGCATTGAAATATGAATGCGTATAAATGGATCGAAGCCTGTATACTTAGATACATGTATTTTTATTTTATCATGCTAATATTGTCAGACTGAAAGTTTGTTTCAGGGTAAATGTTAAAACAATCATTTTATGTTGTGATAGATTTGGTTTTGGTTCACTTAATAACACATGTCAGTGAAAAGAATGCACACATAAATATGGTATAAATAAGAAAATACCCGTTATTTTATATATATATATATATTTGAGAAGAATAAAATCTACCTGACAAATGTATTCTGCTAACGTTTTCAGGCCTAACGGCTATCCTCAGGATATATGTATATGTGTGTGTGTGTGTGTGTATAAAGATATATACCAGTACATTATGAAACTTGTATTGTTTATCTACAGTGATGTTGAACATTCAGCTGTAGGCCTAAAATAACAGTACAAAAATCACATGTCACATAGGAATGACCGACCTCTACCTTTAACATATACTGGTATGCACTAAACAGGGCCATCAAGTTTATCTAACCCTTCAACATCTGTAACCTCCTACGCACTGCCATATTCACCTAAAGTTAATAACTTATGAGTGTGATAGGAACCTGTATACAAGTCATCAAAAAAGTGTACATTGGATGATTTCTATATACCTATAATTCGAATGGAAATGCCTCAAGTTAGTTGTCAGTTAACGTGTCCAGAATTCTGTACATACTACAGCTGTAGTGTACTAGTTAGATTACCTCCCCTTATACCAAGGTGAAATGGGGTATCTCCTAATCAGCATATTATATCAGAGACCTAAATAATGAGTCTCTTACACGTATTCAGGTTTCTGGTGTTAATCCAAAATACACTACCAACTCTGATCAAAAATCTGCAGTTGAATGCCGGACACCTGAATCCTTCTGGTGCCCTTGACCTTTCAACCTTTGTAGATACCCTATATATAGAACAGAGAGCTGATACAACTGCAGTAAGTCTTTTCTATGTCATGGTCATATTTACAGTTCAAACCTTTCTCGAGTAACCTTGATGGTGAATGATACACCTTGCATGCTGTTTCAGAGACAATATATATCTATGTCTCTCCCTCAATAAGAATTTGTTCGCTGAAAGGCCAAAAATCCATAATAGTGCAAGTAAAAGTGTGTTAAATAAACAAGTAAATAAATAAAACATTCAGATTATGTAGGTCGATCTACTGTAGTCAAAGACTATCAATAACTGTTCAAATACGATCTGTGATAACTCTTGTGATAGGCTTTATCCATAAGTACTGGGACCGGTGCACCTCGGGTCACCTTTCCAACAGGTAACCTGTGTATACCAGAAGTAGGTCTTACCTTGATGAGGTCCAAAGGATGTGTGCAGCAGGCAGCCATAGCACTCGCTACACCGCCGAAGTAAAAACGCCCTACTCGTTTGGTCTTGTCAACGGGCATGCTTCCAGTTGCAGACATATCGGCAGTTCAGGTAGGTACTTTAGAGAGGTAAATGAGTTGACGTCAAAAATAAAAGTTAGGTCAGCATCTCTTCTCTAAACAACACACATCATGGCGTGCACGGTGACGTGATGACTACCGCTGCGAGCGTGACCTAGGTCCAGGTGAAGTGTCGCTTGTCAGAGTGAGCTCCCTTTGACCGTCACGAACATTGTAACTTTTTGAAATACATTTCAATACAAAATTTCAATAATGACGGGGTATAAGTCCCTGATAGAGTATATTGTTACAAAATGTCAAGAAAGCATTTCAAGGTAGTATTTAGAAACGTGTAGATATGTACAATGTTCAATTTTAACTACATATAGTTGAATACATTGTATATTTAAGTATATAATATACTTTGTAGATATTTTTTTATCAGATCATCCACTGGCATTCGGCATGCTTTGTTTTAATAAGGATTTTTTTTGTGAAGTGAAAAATATATGAAGAAAATTTGTGTAATAGAGACTTAAATGTGTATCGAAACGACATTAATTATTTATATTCGCTTTATTTGTGTGTACTTACTATAATGCAGATGAATATATCATGACGGGTCGTTCATTAAAAATCTGTTTTTACTTTCATTAAAATGTTTGCTTATAAATTGAACTATTTGAATAGATAAATAAATGTTGAAAGATAGATGAAATGTCAGTTTGTATTTCAATTGCTTACATCACAATATTGTAGCTAAAAAGTAACAGCACGGTACAGTAATGTGCACAGAACAGTAGTATGATAGTACAGCATAGTACATCACAGTATTTAGTAGTTGTTTGCTATCGGGTTAGTCCTGGGATGAAGGATATGACATACCAAAACAGACTGCAGACACTGAAACCTTCATCCTCATGTAACGTACACACCTCGTGGATTGCAAAAAATGGACACTGTAACCTGTATGATGCAGGAGAGAATTGAATCGACAACAAGGGAATTAGAAGACATCAACTCTAGAGGCAGATGTGTTTACGTAAGCAACATCTCAGCTTCCGCCATCAACGGTACATATAATGATTATGCTACAAAAACGAACGTACAGCTGAATGCATAAGACAGGCTCTCGTAAGAAAGGAGTAGGGTATGAAATCTGTTGGAACAACAGCAGTGCTAGCACGAATTGACTCACCAAAACGAGACTTGCAGTTCGAACATGTTGAATTTTTAAAAGTGGATAATATAACAATAATATTCGTACACCGGAATTTTCACAGATAAAAACGAAATTTAAGTCCGTAATATGTAAACTAGTACATATTTTATTCAAACCAATAACCAACACAAAACATGTAATATAAAGTGTTGCTTCTGCACACTATGAAGGTCAACTGGTCGCTTTAATACAAAATGATAGAATTGACCATGTCTTGACCTCACCCTGTCAAGGGCTGTAGGATAAGGAAATCTTACTCTATAGTATATCTAACACTATAAACTAAGTATATACGCCAACTCGTTGATGTGATTAAAAAAAACCTTCCTTCACCACTGCGTGCGAGATGTTTTACTTTGTTCCGATCGCCAGCAAAATTCAGTTCCGTCCTAGAAACATTCTGGTATTCCTACCTGCTTTTCTTGCGGTAGGTAGTTTTACCACACTTTGGATTAAATAACATGAACCTTGCACCTTGATACAGCATACAGTGAAATATTTACAAAAACGCAATCAGTACAAAAATGAAATAAGGTCATATATAGGGTTCATCCAATATAACTCAATATATCACAACTATTTCTGGTCCCAAGCCAACAGACAATTTCCACACAGCACACACAACTTTAATCACATTATTCAGGAACATTATCATGAATCTTTACATGTAAGAAAAATGTATTACAGTTCTGTTTGTATATACGACTGCCCAATACGTGGACGAACAACATTTCAATGAGAGGAGATTTACAATATTCGTTCAGCAACTTGAGAGCACCAACTCGGCAGGGTGTGTTTAACGAAAGCTAATTAATATAAATGAATCTTTCTGATACTTTGCATATAACAGATCACTCAAGCATGATATTTCAATAAAATTAAAGTGGCAACACAAAATTTACATTCAGGAAATAACTACAAGATCTCTTCATAAGCATGCAACTGTAAGGAAGCGCTGGATAAAACAAGATTGCACAAGACAATTTTATTTTGCCATTCATCTTGAATAACACTTTACCACGCTGATTTCGCGCGTTTTGTTTTTGTTTTTTTTTTTTTTGTTGTTGTTTTTTGTGTTTTTTTTTTGTTTTTTTGTTTTTTTTTGTGGTTTTTTTATGGAAAAGTACATTTTGAAATGTGGTACATTTTCAGCAGTCTTCAGGTGATGGCTCAGTATTGTTGTACTGATATTTTAAGTTAATAGACCCGCGTTCATCGCGAAAATTTTACTCCGAGCAACTTTATCTACATTTAGGTTTAACTGTACTTATAGGTCCACATTAGGCAAATCCAATAAAATAAATTTATTTTAAGAGGGACTTAGCCAGCTGCTGAAAATAGACAAGGCGTGCTCTGATATGAAATAAAGAATTCTAGACAACGTGGGAAGTTATTCCGGGTCGTCCCCGAAGTTTTGTCGTATCTGCTCCAGGAATATAAATATGAAGACTGTATGGGGTCCATAACGCACGAATGCTGGAATGAATCCCTGTAGAAGACAAACGGAAATAATAAATTATAGAACAGGGCGTGACTTGTTTTGTGTCTAACAACTATTGGGCCAGAGCACATTTAAGTTTCTTCGATTTCAAAATTATATTGTTTGAAAACAAGAAAATATTAACATGTTAACATAATAATAATCCAAACTCAAATTCATGAAATTTTAGTGAAATATGAAAAAAGAAAGATTTTATATGGAGATTCCTGAAAAAAGTACACGGAGAATAAGACCAGGCGTTCCGAAATAGTAAGCATGCTCTGCTTCATCGACGACAACCGCCATGTAAATTTGATCAATTCAAGTAAGTATTGACACGTTCTCAAACACGCCCAGCTATAACATAACTTTCATGTAACTCATTTTCTGACGACTAATTTCAAGGTCTTTGTAAAAGTATTAAATCAAATTAAATTTGAACTGCAATTAATTGTCCCTTTATAATCAAGTTATTTGAAAGCATTCTGAATAACAGATCCAATTAAGAAGCATTATAACACGTTATAAATCGAGAAAAGAATCTATGTTATTTGAGAATATTGTGTACAGATTTCATCACAACCGACAATACACTTTTAAATAAAGTTTACTTTTCAAACACTGCTATTTCAAAAGAAAAGTATTGATTTCCTTATTTCAAATCTACAAGAATTAACAAAGTCGCATAAACTCTACTGCTGAACTTATTTTCAGTTCAATAATCAATGTTACCTTGAAAAATCCTAACGGTCCATTTTTGGCAATGTCTGTTGCACATGCAAGTAAACCCTGAAAATAGTTTAAATGTCCACACTTTACAGAAATCCTTTACTGATCCATGAATTACACTTAAACTAATCACCGACTCACAACCAAGACAAAAATGCTGTTTAAAATTACTCATGACATTGGATAACTGAGAGTTAGACTGACATACAGTATAGAAATATATGTCACAAGCTTTCAAGGATAACACGATTCTAATTAATTCTAAGTAATAAAATAGTAAAAATAGTGATTAGGACGGATTTCAAATACTTACACTGTACTTTCCTTCTGGAGCGTTCATCATCCGGGTCTTCATCACATCCACGGGGTGACAAATTACCGTAGCTATAGTACCCTGGAAATTCATAACAGACTAAATAATCATAAAATGTTAAGACTTTATTTGTTGATTGTGATATAATTTTCACACTAATTTTTATTGGAATCAAATCGTCATTCGATTTGGTCAAATATATTTCCTGGCCTGATGTTTTGACTTTTTTTATCGTTACACGTTTTCGAAGATCTGGGTGAATACCAGACTATTGAGATAAAGAGCACTGCGGCACCTGTCCATCAATTGGTTATTGAAATTACGCATCATTTCAAAGAATATTGTTCACAATTATTGTCCCAACATTTTGCAGAGAAAAATGCCGTCCTTATTTTAGCAATCCCCAGGGTTTTGAATCAGGCGTGAGCTTCGGAGTACAATATTTTATGTTTTTTCTAACATTCATCCTCGAATGATATTCGTTGTTACATGACTTACAAAACATATACTCACCGCTACTGCACTGCAGGTCACGTGTGTAAACACATTGTCTGAGAAGTACCCGGTGTTCATAAGAGTTTGTTTGATCTGATCATAGCACGCCAACTGTTGACAACAAAGCAGCATGGTGTTTCACACACGAACTTAATACTCAAAAGTAGAACTAAATACAAAATATACTCGAAAAAAACTGCCTTTACAACACAAATTTCTTCTCATAGAACAAACATTTGATTGAAGTATGAAATCTGTTTCGAGTACACGCACCTGTCCGACAGTAACTAGGATCGCTCTAGAACTAGCCATGCTGGCACCGGAAAACATCCTCACGATTCCTTCCTCCCGCAATACGCGGTAGAAACCATGGAAGGCATTCCTGTAGCTACAAATACACGACAAAAGTTATAGACCAGGTCCGTGTGTAGATTGATTAATACATACAGTGAGGAACATGTCACCACAAAAGTTATAGAGCAGGTCCGTGTGTAGATTGATTAATGTGTACAGTGAGGAACAGGTCACCACAAAAGTTATAGAGCAGGTCCGTGTGTAGATTGATTAATGTGTACAGTGAGGAACTGGTCACCACAAAAGTTATAGAGCAGGTCCGTGTGTAGATTGATTAATGTGTACAGTGAGGAACAGGTCACCACAAAAGTTATAGAGCAGGTCCGTGTGTAGATTGATTAATATGTACAGTGAGGAACAGGTCACTACAAAAGTTATAGAGCAGGTCCGTGTGTAGATTGATTAATGTGTACAGTGAGGAACAGGTCACCACAAAAGTTATAGAGCAGGTCCGTGTGTAGATTGATTAATGTGTACAGTGAGGAACAGGTCACCACAAAAGTTATAGACCAGGTCCGTGTGTAGATTAATACATACAGTGAGGAACAGGTCACCACAAAAGTTATAGAGCAGGTCCGTGTGTAGATTGATTAATGTGTACAGTGAGGAACAGGTCACCACAAAAGGTATAGAGCAGGTCCGTATGTAGATTGATTAATGTGTACAGTGAGGAACAGGTCACTACAAAAGGTATGACAGCTCATATTAAATCTTATATTATAAATAAGCTTGTGTTTGTTGATGATACTTCCATCTTGTCCCTTTGTTTTAACACGAAGTGCTTACTTTCTTCTTTGTTCTTTTGGTAGTTTTACATCGTTTTGCATCCTGAAACAGAAATTAGGATATAACAGGAAGCTGAGCAACAGTTAGGTGTCGAAGAACAATTAACTGGAATTCAATGCATTGTTAATCGTAACAAGTAGGTTCTAGAACCATCCATTGCAAAACAAAATTTACTAACTGGAACAGGAACCGAACAGCTCATTCTCTTGTAAAAGTATTGCTTGCTGAACAATACTTACCTTACGTTGATCAGGTCAGCAGGGGTGCCCACGAAACCTCCCATGGCCCCAGACATCACGGCCGTGCCCACCTTTTGATAGAACGGCATCACGCTTCCATCCTTAGTCAACTGTTTCTTTATCGTCTCGTATATGGCAAACCGTGTGGTGGAATACGATAACTGGAGGGATAAACACAATGGCTGGTTATCACTGGAGAGATAGGACAATTGGAGTGATAAACATACTGGCTGGTTATCACTGGAGAGATAGGATAGGACAATTGGAGGGATACACACACTGGCTGGTTATCACTGGAGGGATAGGATAGGACAACTGGCTGGTAGTCATTGGAGAGATAGGATAGGACAACTGGAGTGATAAACATACTGGCTGGTTATCACTGGAGAGATAGGATAGGACAACTGGCTGGTAGTCATTGGAGAGATAGGATAGGACAACTGGAGTGATAAACATACTGGCTGGTTATCACTGGAGAGATAGGATAGGATAACTGGAGGGATAAACACAATGGCTGGTTATCACTTGGGGGATAGGATAGCACAACTGGAGGCATACACACACTGGTTGGTTATCACTGGAGAGATAAGATAGGACAACTGGAGGGATAAACACAATGGCTGGTTATCACTTGGGGGATAGGATAGCACAACTGGAGGGATACACACAATGGCTGGTTATCACTTGGGGGATAGGATAGCACAACTGGAGGGATACACACACTGGTTGGTTATCACTGGAGAGATAAGATAGGACAACTGGAGGGATAAACACAATGGCTGGTTATCACTTGGGGGATAGGATAGCACAACTGGAGGGATACACACACTGGTTGGTTATCACTGGAGAGATAAGATAGGACAACTGGAGGGATAAACACACTGGCTGGTTATAATTGGAGAGATAAGATAGCACAACTGGAGGGATAAACATACTGGCTGGTAGTCATTGGAGAGATAAGATAGAACAACTAGAGGGATAAACACACTGGCTGGTTATCACTTGAGAGATAGGAAAGGACAACTGGAGGGATACACACACTGGCTGGTTATCACTGGAGGGATAGGATAGGACAACTGAAGGATAAACATACTGGCTGGTTATCACTGGAGAGATAGGAAAGGACAACTGGAGGGATACACACACTGGCTGGTTATCACTGGAGGGATAGGATAGGACAACTGAAGGATAAAAATACTGGCTGGTTATCACTGGAGAGATAGGAAAGGACAACTGGAGGGATACACACACTGGCTGGTTATCACTGGAGGGATAGGATAGGACAACTGAAGGATAAACATACTGGCTGGTTATCACTGGAGAGATAGGAAAGGACAACTGGAGGGATACACACACTGGCTGGTTATCACTGGAGGGATAGGAAAGGACAACTGGAGGGATACACACACTGACTGGTTATCACTGGAGGGATAGGATAGGACAACTGAAGGATAAACATACTGGCTGGTAGTCACTGGAGGGATAAGATAGGACAACTGAAGGATAAACACACTGGGTGGTTATCACTGGAGAGATAGGAAAGGACAACTGGAGGGATACACACACTGACTGGTTATCACTGGAGGGATAGGATAGGACAACTGAAGGATAAACACACTGGGTGGTTATCACTGGAGAGATAGGAAAGGACAACTGGAGGGATACACACACTGACTGGTTATCACTGGAGGGATAGGATAGGACAACTGAAGGATAAACATACTGGCTGGTTATCACTGGAGAGATAGGAAAGGACAACTGGAGGGATACACACACTGGCTGGTTATCACTGGAGGGATAGGAAAGGACAACTGGAGGGATACACACGCTGGCTGGTTATCACTGGAGGGATAGGATAGGACAACTGAAGGATAAACATACTGGCTGGTTATCACTGGAGAGATAGGAAAGGACAACTGGAGGGATACACACACTGGCTGGTTATCACTGGAGGGATAGGATAGGACAACTGAAGGATAAACACACTGGGTGGTTATCACTGGAGGGATAGGATAGGACAACTGAAGGATAAACATACTGGGTGGTTATCACTGGAGAGATAGGATAGGACAATGGAGGGATACACACACTGGCTGGTTATCACTGGAGGGATAGGATAGGACAACTGGAGTGATAAACACACTGGCTGATAGTCATTGGAGAGATAGGATAGGACAACTGGAGGGATAAACATACTGGCTGGTTATCACTGGAGAGATAAGATAGGACAACTGGAGGGATAAACATACGGGCTGATAGTCATTGGAGAGATAAGATAGGACAACTGGAGGGATAAACACGCTGGCTGGTTATCACTGGAGAGATAATATAGGACATCTGGAGGGATAAACATACTGGTTGGTAGTCATTGGAGAGATAAGATAGGACATCTGGAGGGATAAACACACTGGCTGGTAGTCATTGGAGAGATAAGATAGGACAACTGGAGGGATAAACACACTGGCTGGTTGTAATTGGAGAGATAAGATAGGACATCTGGAGGGATAGACTTACTGATTGGTAGTCATTGGAGCAATGGATACATAATAAGAGAATAATTAGTTTGTTGTGTTTTCATTTCAATTGTATATCAAAATGTGCGTATTGCAAAGCTCGGGTTAGCATATACACGTTTGTAAATAAGTACACTTAATACTTTATCTAAACCAACTGTCATATTGATCAGCAAAAAGTGACTATGAAAAGTATATTACACTTGGGTGAAGTGACCGCTTCAAGTAACAATTTGTTGGAAATCTGGACGAACTGATTATAACACAGTCGATGTGGGTCAACTTATTGATGGTACCGTCGTTATATGTAATAGTTGTTATCTGTGCCACATCCTCGATACTGTGTGGGGTCCTGGAACATGTTATGGAGAAATTGAAGGCACAGGCGAAGCTATTTTACTGGATTCAGTCGAAAAGAACTGACCAATCTCATACTGATACGCTCCGCTTGAAAATTTAAAAGGAACAACTCCCAACTTCAAGGCCATTACCATATACCGTTATGCAACCTCGATATTCGTCTGATGTACATCTTATCCACAACTTCTTGCATAAGGAACCTTCAATGTGTGCCTTCCAGTGGTGCAGAGAGCGGAAGTGATCGTAATCCCTGGGGTATCGAGGATGAAGTCTTTTTTTATATCTTACCTGTCTACAGATAGAGGCCGACAAACCATTAAATATCTTACCTGTCTACAGATAGAGGCCGACAAACCATTAAATATCTTACCTGTCTACAGATAGAGGCCGACAAACCATGAATATTTACCTGTCTACAGATAGAGGCCGACAAACCTTTATATATTTACCTGTCTACAGATAGAGGTCGACAAACCATTATATATCTTACCTGTCTACAGATAGAGGCGAACAAACTATTCTATAACTTACCTGTCTACAGATAGAGGCAGACAAACCATTACATATCTTACCTGTCTACAGACAGAGGCCGCAAACTTTTCTATAACTTACCTGTCTACAGATAGAGGCAGACAAACTATTCTATAACTTACCTGTCTACAGATAGAGGCCGACAAACCATTATATATTCCTAGGATTCCATCATTTCTAATAATACGACCAATTAACGACGTGACCTTGACCTTCTCCAACTGTTGGGTCTGTAGGTGAACCTGTTACAAACATTTAATGATACAAAGTAATAGGTAATTGAACTTTATGTTTTCGATATTTTAATATAATTTCTAAAAACATTTAATACATTTTCAAGTGAGTTGTGTATCGGATATATTTATCAATACAAACACGGAAGTTATCAACAAAAACAAACAAAACAAAAGCCAAATATTGATAAAGATGTCCAGTCAATGACCAGTATTATCGACATACATAAAAAATCAAATGAAACCAACTGAATCGACCAAAGGAAATATTCGTACGGAGATATTTATAAAATACAAGAACAATTGTTTCAAAATGGGCGAGTGTAGTTTTTTTTTATCCACGACATTGTAAGCCTTATAATGCCAGCATTCCCTACTACATATCCAACAAGGAAATCGATATTTTTAAATGAGGTTATGTGGTGATTATAAACTTTTCCAGTAGTATTTTTCAGCCATAAGTCCTTGATCTGTCATCATCTCTCTCGGAAATCGTCATATTAGGAGCAAACCCTTGGCTATCGGGTCAGCTGTTTGTGACATTCCTTAATATAAACAGTTCTAACACAAACTCCCAAATAATAAATTTAAATTCAAAGTACACATAATAGATAAGAGAAGTACGGGTGTTACTACCTTAAATGAATTATTCACAAAATGAGAAATAGAAACAATCACTCTTATCACACAGTTTAGTCTGGGGCTATCCCAGTTAAATTGTAACACATATTTTTTGTCGCTAATTTTGGTCGGTTTGTTTGCGGGGCAATTTGAATCTTGTTACTTTGAAACTGGACGTCATCAATATGATTTCAAGTAAAATCGAAGGTTTTGTCAATATGATATTATCCAATCAGCTAACAGTAAATATTGATGTTGACTGTGGCTGTGAAAAACGCTGTTTACCCCGAAGTAGCTATGCGGTACTGCCTTATGTATCGGACTATTTCTGTTGAAGTTGTGAAACGTCTTTCCGTATGCATTAACAATGTTCAAATATGTAAATAGTCAGTGGTGCCAAATATATGACAAATATTTGGCACTGCTTGTTAGTTGTATTGTATTGGTCTATATTGTGTTACACACAGTCTGATTCTAAAGTAAATTGGCGTACACATGCGTAAATATGTAAATTTTAATACATGCGGTGTAGAACTCACCAGATTCATTTATAAAGTTAAAAACGGAAATCTGTATCCAAAGGTTGCACGGATAATTCTAAAGATATGTATTTTCTCCAAATGACACTTTTTGGTACATTTAGTTTCCACTGATCTGCTCGGTGCACACGTTAACATTGGTACACCTACCTTGATTAAATCTGCTGGATGTGTGCAACACGCGGCCATGGCACTAGCTATTCCACCAAAGTACCACCGTCCTATCCGTTTTGTCTTGTCGGGTACACTGGTTGCAGACATGGTTCCGATATAAATTCCTAATATATCAAAATCTTATATATTTCTCTAAAAACATACAATATAGTTGTACTACGGTGACCGTGGCCGGCAAATTCCTAACTTGGGCTGGAAACGTTGGTAGAGGTTTAATTAATGACCCGTAATCAGAGTTGTTATCTTGTGTTATTATATTGTAATCTTTTTAAGGTAACGTGTGTGATTTATTTTGTTGTTGGTTGTATTCTATACACATGCTCTTGGTGTTTGAGGGTCTTCGTTGCACGAGTTGCCTCCCTTCGTTTCTCTGGTTTTTTTTTTTTAAAATATAAATATATACTGGGGAACTTTTTTCTAAAACAATGTTCACTTTGCCACATTGTACTTCAGTCCCGGTATTTCAGGCAGGTGAGTGTAATGTTGTCACTGATTAAAAAGGATACATTTAGATTTCCAATATGGATTTTTGCTACTTCTCATTAACTAATGGTCACTTTCATAACATTTTGGAAATTATGGATACGACTAACATCAACTATTAAGCACCAACTTTATTTACTACGCAACCAATCAGGACAACTTTCAACTGATGTGTTTCATTTTTCCTATGTTTTGTTTTAGGTCGCAGTTTGTACTAAATGACTAGGTTGTTCATAATATCACGATTTCCTTGGATACATATTGACAAGTGAAGCAGAAAACTTATAACTTAGGGTTGCGATGTATATTAATGGAAAATCTAGGATTTTTTATGACCGACAATATGACCATATTTGGAAATGATTTGTTGTCTGATGCGACAGATGCCAATTATATTCGATGGTGATAAATCTGACTTGCAGTTTAGTTATCATTAACCTGGTATCATATTGAGAACGACGCATTGTTTGGGAGTACATAGATAGATGATGACGCAGAAAACGCTCGTACCTTTGAATCACCTAGTCTTACTCTCTTGTACTGTTTCAAAATGTCTCCGCGTAAATCTTTTTTCTTCTTCATCTTCGACTTTCCGTTTACAAGACTAAGTTTTGTTTATATACTTATATGTATTGTTTATTTATTTACTTGGGTAGGGTGGGGGTCTACACTGAGCTTTCCTCGTGCTAGCTCAATATTACATCTTATTCGGCTAAGTCTACAACTGACAAGGACAGATATATTGGTGTACAAACACAATGTAAGTCTTTACTTAGCAGGCATTGCGGGTACATTGTAGGACATAAGGATGCTACCTGCTATCCCCAATTGCGTGATCGAAAGAAGCGATTGAACTTCAGTTTTTTCACTCCTTCTTACTTTTAAGACCCTCACGTTTAAGTATTGAGTGTCTAAACGAGGAATACTGCCTTCAGGCCGCGAAATAAAATGGTACAACGTACTTCCTGTTTGAAGATAGCACTAGCCATCGTTTAATGACGGTCTCCAGGTGTACTTATGTTTTTCTTTCTTGTAAGCCTCTTTGTGATAGTGCGAGACTGAGGCTGACTTTATAGTGCTACTACACTGACCAGTAACACTATACTGACAACGTGCGAACCACGAACTATTACTGGGACTTGGTACACATTTCCAACCCACGATCTATATTATGTGTATTATAGTAGGCTGAAATTTTGTGCCAAGTCCCCGTCGTTGTCAATATAATGTGACTATTTTATACCGCCATGTCCATATGATATTTAAATGCTGTTGTCAGGACGTAAAACAAAAAAGAAATAACTTACATTCATATTATTAAGGTTTCCGAAATTTGATTGTTACGTAGATCATCGTTCAATAATTATTCCTATAAGTAAGGAAAATAAGACTTGGTAAGCGTGTCGTGAACAGGACATCGCCATCCGCTCGTGCAAATACACAAAATCAAATCATCCATACACCCTTATGGTTTTAAAAGCAATTACAGTAACATTTCGGGATATCTGTTTAAGTAATACTCAATGACCTTTCAAGCAAATCCGCATCTGCGGTAGGTACCTACCGACATAGCTGTAATTAATTCTGAGGGCTGGGCTTCAGTGGTCTATCATAAAACTGACCAACGCCTGCTATCCAACTGTGTAAGTAAACACATCACCACATGCTGTCTGATGTTTAGATTCTGTGTGTACATATGTGTGATTTTTAATAGGAATTTGTTAATGTCCAATTAGATTTAAATAATGTATCCCTGTTAAGTACTAGCCGAAATATACCGCTCGGCTAAAAAGAGAGTTTCTCTTTAGCTCAATCGGTGGAGCGGCAGATTGTGAGGCCAGGGGTTCCGGGTTCGAATCCTAGCAGATACAATGAAATAAGTAATTATTCTGTTACAATAACATAAAAAATTGTGTCCATTGTACTTGTGTAACAAAAACTTAAAAGTTTGAATTTTGAGATTATCATGTTTTAACGACAAAACAGTCTTAGAAAATTATCATTTTTATTATAGTAAAAGTTACCGTATTGTGAAATCCGTTCCGTGTAGATGCAATAATTGTGTAAGAGTTGTCTCCCGTGCTGTCACTCGGGTAAACAAACATGTCTGCTCGGTATTTTTAGGTTATAACTTGTCCAGGTATGTTTTGCTTTTGTTTGATTTGTTCAATTTCTGTTAATGACGGTGATTTCCACGTTTGTCGATATATGTGGAGACATTATTGCTAGTCATTTTGATACTTACAACACTAACCAAGAAACACTAAACAGTCGAAATGTTCGCTCATACACAAACCACATGGCATTGTTGATGTTTGCTGGCAAATAGATCCTCGCACGTTGGGAGTGTTTCGGCGGTAAACTTTTTATATCTACTTCAAAACTATGACTCTCTATAAAAAAGTAAAGTTTTCTTTCGTTGCTCTGGTGTGTTTATAGTTTACAACACTACACTTATCAAACACGTACAGTATTACATGTACACTGTATTACTGTACACATACAATACATGTACACTGTATTACTGTACATGTACAATTTACATGTATAATTGTTCGTGTAAAATGTTGCATTATGTAAAATTTGAAAGTGTATAGTGGTTTCTTAAACATTGAACTAATTTTATCATACTTCATTCTCTCACTGAAGACTTAGGTTCGACTCCAGGTCGGGGTATTCAGCAGGAGTGCCGAAATTTATTAGAACTCATGTTTTATTGTAATCTGACCACATGATGGCTGTCATTAAATCTTACTAATGTTTTCTCCTTTCTTTGTTAATGTTTCAATTGCACCTTTTCCCCCAAATGTTTTGTTTGATATATCCTACGAAATTCAACCCGCATGTTTTCTTACAATAATGCAAAGATGAATAAGCCCTTAAATCATAATGTTGATTAGAAAATGTACTTAAAATAGGACTTTAGAATACTAGCACTTCTACTGAAACTGCAATATATAGGGCTGGGCTTATTATCGGACATTGACATGCAGGCAGAGAGATATGGTATAAAGATAGTGCTTCTAACCATTGCACTTCCCACTAAAATCAAAGTATTGATGATAATTAATTATTAATTACAATGATATTTCAATGAAATATGAAATTAGTGTTATTATTTTGTTTGTTTATTTTAATATATTTGTCACTTTTTATTACAGATTTAGAAGACTGGGACTCCCACAGGTCCAAACAAAAGAAAGGGATGGCATCCCAAACCAAAAAGGCCCCACCAGGTGAACTCAATTTTCAAGCTTTCTGATTCGTGATCAAAACTTACATGTATTAGATTTGTATCTAATTACTTATTAATCATTCTTTTTATTACTATTGCCTTTTTAAATTGATTATGACTTTAAATGGAAATGCAGACAGTACCTGATCAAGTGAGCTTATCACCCCAAAACTTTGAAATAACTACTACTATTATACATACTGTGGTTTGAAAGAAAACCATTTTCCTGTTTGTCTGACGAGAAAGGAAAAATAAATGATTACATTTTGCTTGTTGTTTAAATTATTACGAAAATTAAACATTTTTAGTAATCTAGAAAGTTTCTGTTTTGTTTTCTTATTTGGTTACACAATAGAACAAATATTCAGTAATCTGCCTATATATTTTATATCTACTTCAGAAAATTGTTAACTTTTTTTCTCATTATTTTGTAGTCTCCAGTAATAACAAACAGCATTAACAATACACATATTTGTTCTTTTTCCCTTTTTTAGATTCCAAAAGAGCAGTATTGAAAAAGCATGACTCCTCTTTTAACTTACTTCAGGTACGTTTTTTTCATTACATATTTAGCCATAGTTCTTGTATTGTATAGTTATATAATCTAGAAGTTTTATCAATTTTTTTTATCTTCAGAATTAAAATAAAACAGAAAAAAGACATTCAGTAGACACTTCTAAACCTAGTTTCTAATCAATCTGTATGATTACTTCAGATTGACTGCAGACCATAAAGCACAGCTTACATGAGGAAGTTAAATGTGACAGTTGTTAAATATGTTCACATTAAGAACCTTATCATTATCTGTCTTGTTCAGAAATGACCTGATATATATATAATTTGTCAGATAACTTTAGAAATTGGTTTGATTTTGTTTTTAGGGCAAATCCCAAAATGCTACCACTATTTCAAAACCAAAATCTTACCAGGCATCACAGAAACCAAAACAGGACAAATCAAGGTAAGTTTATAGAAAAGGCATTATTGTGATTATTGTGTGAGTCCCTGCAGATAATATATTAGTGTTACCCAAGATACATTTCCAGGTATTCTATAAAACTAATCAGAGAAGATATATCATGTAAATAGAGAAATCATTACAAGTATTATGTAGGTACAATGTCGGTGTATCTATAAGATACAAGGGTTAACTATAGAGACGATGTATTTTATCTGATAAACATTTGAAATTAAATCTTATTATCATTTCCATGATCGATGCCTATGAATCTTGTAACACAGTATCCTAAATTTTCTGTTCTTCTGGGAAACCAATTGATAGATAGACTAGTTATTTGTAGTTGTAGAGGGTTTACAGATTTTTGATCACATATTTTAACAGGACAGCAGACAGGAAAGAAACAGCAAGTGACAATACAGGTAAGATGTTTCATTCTTCTGTGGTCTTGTTGGAGAAACACAACTTTACCCATGTCTATCATATCAGGCTATGCCCTACTCAGACCCATCATGGTTTTTTCCAGGATTGTTATCATTACTCTCGACACTTCATTTCGGGTTTTTGGGTTATAAAAATACCCAGGATGAATTCTTCTTTCGCGATTCCAATGTCAACGTCACAAATGCTTCCTTCAAAGATCTGTTTATTTATTAGTATATTTACAATTTCTTTTTAAAAAAAGAATGAAATTAGCTTGTTGAAGTCATTCATATCTGAACTAATAACAGTGTTTTTCTTCCATTTGGAGGCCAAACATAACTTCAATTTTGTAGTCAGAGATTAGAGTAAATCTTGCTCCCTGAATATAAAACATTTTAATGATGATTCATAGAAGTTATACTCCAGTGTAATTTTTATTGAAAACTCACAGATTATGCAAGGAAATATTCACAAGTGTACCCAATGACTTTATACAAGTATATAGTAATAATATTTATGTTATCATTGACAGTGAAAGAAGGTTTTGACAAAGAAGCAGAGCAGCAGTTTGAAAGGATGTTACAAGGTCAACTAGACAAACATCCCATCTGTCGTTCCCACACATTCCTAGATCTATCTATCAGCTCAACATTCTCAGGTCAGGTATTGTTTGTGTCTCTATGAGCATTCCATATTCCTAGATCTATTGTTTGTGTCTCTATCAGCTCAACATGCTCAGGTAAGACAACAGACAACATCCCACATATTCCTAGATCTATTGTTTGTGTCTCTATCAGCTCAACATGCTCAGGTAAGACAACAGACAACATCCCACATATTCCTAGATCTATTTTTAGTATCTCTATCAGCTTGACATCCTCTGGTAAGCTTCCTGTTGCTTTGTTACAGACGAACAGGTTAGAGTTGTTGTTATGTTAGATTAGTCAAAAGTAATCAGGTTTCGTTTAATGTCACATGATTAATAAACTATGGAATTTTTTGTAATTCATCATTATTAATTTATCAGACATGCGGGCAGAACGGAATGCAATAGTACGTGAGGCTACACCAAAGCTGCGTGACTTCTGTGCAGAACATGACCTAGACTTTCAGATGGTAGACATGAGGTGGGGTGTGACCGACGATAGTCAAAATGACCACACTGTGGAGAAGATTTGCTTGCTGGAGGTGGAAAACTGTCAGAAAATCTCCCTGGGACCTAACTTTGTGGTAAGTATTGTATACATCTGAGATTTAGAATTAGAGCTTGTATAATTTGTACGATTTTATTTTCAAGAATAGCATTGATAATGAAATGACACTATATCTCATTTGCCAACTACTCAATTTATCATTTCTGCTTCAGAAATGTCACTCAACTTCGTTTAAGGACAAAATTAGAAAATTTGATATGCAACAATGTTCATTTCAGCTTATTAAAGGATCCAGATATGGCTTCCGTCCCATCCCCACTGAACTATCTACAGAAGATTTCACACTGCTTACTAATTACACCACCAACCCTGAACATACAAAGTTGCTGAAAACCTGGTACCAAAGGGACGACAACAGTAAACCTCCACAGTATGTCCTTCAGGTGTGTATAACCCACAGTGTGTCCTACAGGTGTATATAACCTACAGTATGTCAGACAGGTGTGTATACCCCACAGTATGTCCTTCAGGTGTGTATAACCCAAAGTAAGTCCTTCAGGTGTGTATAACCCACAGTATGTCCTTCAGGTGTGTATAACCCACAGTATGTCCTTCAGGTGTGTATAACCCTAAGTATGTCAGACAGGTGTGTATAACCCACAGTATGTCCTTCAGGTGTGTATATCCCACAGTATGTCAGACAGGTGTATATAACTAACAAATACCTAGGTACACATTGTAGTAGGAGTTTTGTCTGAAAAAAAAAGAAAATATAGATACAGATGACCTTATGTTATCTTTGCAGCCAATCAGGTCACAGTTCACATTTTTTGGAGATTACTCACCAGGATGCGAGGAGAAACGAATCAAAGACACAAACAACTGGCACCAAACTTTTGAACAGTTACAGCTAATCCTCAGACATGCTGCCAAGGCTGCTGCGGAGGCAGGGAAAATGTCTCCTCAAGCCCTACAAAAGTATTTCCAGTCTGGTATGTATCACTAGCATTGTCCTCATCACATGTACATTGATTTTTGTATGTGTATTCTTCAAGAAATCTTCTCATTTCTTTTAACTTTCAAAATGATTTATACTTTAGGATTTGTCATATGTTGAGTTGAAATTTAGATGTAGACCTTAAAATCAGTAAAACATTGCTCCGTGAAACTGGTTTATGTAAAATTACTTTTAATTGTTTTGATTTCAATGAAATTTCCGATAATTAGATGTTGTGGAATGCACAATATTTTATAATTTTTTCAAACATATATTAAATCAATGTTGAAACGTGCAGAATGCCTTTGTTGATGACAATTTTTTTCAAATCCATTGAGTTTTGATGCTTATGTAAAAATATCAAAATCACACTTTATATAAAAAGTTCAGAAAGATTGTGAAAAGTGGAAATGCACGCTTGCAAAAGAGTATAGCTGTACTAAGAACATAGTTTACACTTTTGTTTCAGTAACAGAGAAGGAGATTAAGACAGGATTACTAGATGTCAATGATCCAGTCGCCCACACTGTTGTTTACTGTCGAACTTTGACTGGGGTTAAAGAGGTATCTTTGGCAGAGAAAAATATCAAACGATACATTGATATCAAAGATGAAAATGGCAAGGTATGTAACAAATGGTTATCTATTCATTAATGTGCAAATATATTGATACTGATATTTGATTCTAATAACTGCATAAAAATCAGTATGAAACAATACCATACTATTAGCTCTCCATTATTTGCTCAATTAAGGCATATTAACCCAATCAACCTTCTCAAAACATTTTGATAACTTCAATTTTCAGTCATGAGCATTCCTTTCCTGCAAAATAGTCTCTTCCCCTCTACTCCATATACATGGTGAAATGCTTCCACATGTAATGATTTCATATTGAGATGGTCACCACACTGTTTCGAGAAGCGTTGTTTGGTAAAGTCTATGTATTTGATAACCAGTATTTAATATGAGAATTCATTTGTTCATATCAATTTTGATCATCCTTATAAGCGTACATTTGACTGTTTTCAAATTTCAATACTCAGGTAGAGAAAAAAACAAGCCTTACTTCACACAGAAATCTTCTTATAAAGCAGTTTTACCTATCTTTGTAGCTTGAAGTTGATAAAGAAGTAGAGAGTCTACAGAATGAACTTTACAAGAAAATATTGAAGAAACTGAAAGGTTTAAACCGTCGTGAGTATGGAATTCCCTGGATATCTGGAGGTATTGACCCAAACACGAACGAACATCATGCAAACTACATAAGTAGCTTCTGTAACGACTTCCTCTCCGACATGAAAGTGTTGATAGAGGAAGCAATGTCCGACTACCTCCCAAATATTCGCTGGTCTGAGTGGTACACTGATTATGCAGAGCTAATTCACCATCTCCAGTTCTGTAATACAAAGTGTGAGACGTTCTGTGGGCAGACTGATGTTCTTAAAAGTGTCCAGTCTTACATCCTAATGGACACATCACGTAAGCCTCTAGTCATTCACGCTCCTTCAGGGGCAGGAAAGACATCCATCATGGCCATGATCATGAAAAATCTGTCACCCTGGTTCAAAAGGAAAAAGCATGTTGGAGTTATTCGCTTCCTTGGCACAAGTCCTTTGAGCACCAATGTTTATAATGTTTTGTTTGGTGTGTGTGGACAACTAGCAGACATTGCCAATATCATTATGGAACCAGTCTCTTATAAGAGCATGAAAAATTTAGTGGAATATGTGCCAAGATTTCTGCGGCGTGTTGCTATGGCAATCAAAGATCCAATTGTCATTCTTCTAGATTCTTTAGACCAGTTGACACCCGACCATGATGCATATTCTTTGGCATGGCTACCTATCACACTGCCCTCAAACATGAAACTGATTGTGTCCACATTACCAGAAGAACACAGCATCCTTGACACCCTTAGAGACATACTGCCTGCTGATCAGTGTTTTGTGGCAGTTCCCCCACTCTCAATAAAAACGGGCAATGAGATAGTGAGTAAATACCTTGGTAAGAGGAAGCGATCATTGACTGACAAACAACTCAAGTTCCTTCTATCTTACTTCACAAAGAGACCAGGACCACTTTATCTGAAGTTGCTGTTGGACGAAGCAGTAAAGTGGAATTCTTACACACCTGAACATGATCATGTTCTGACAGATACTGTCTGAAGTGCTATCTCACAGTTATTTCAGAACTTGGAGGTTAAGTTTGGAAAGGTATTGACAAATCATGCCCTTGGTTATATCACTGTTGCCATGAATGGTGTGTCAGAGATAGAGATGGAAGATGTCCTCTCCTGTGATGACGAGGCTCTCAATGATGTTTACCGTTACCACGATCCACCTGTAGAGGGCATAGTACGTATACCTCCAGTACTTTGGGCTCGTCTTCGTTATGATCTTAAGGAATATCTTGTGGAGAGAAGGTCTTACAACAAGTACACATTAAACTGGTACCACAGACAGTTCACTCAGGCTGGCCGTACATTGTACACACAGGGAAAAGCTGGGGAAAAACTTCACAGGAACTTCTCTGAAATCTTCATGCCCCAGTCAGTCAGGCGCAACATTGAGCTTAAATGGAGGAAAAAAACTATAGTTGATGCTGACAGACAAATCACACCACAGGCGATGGTGAGCAAGAACAAGAGAATGCTGTCTTGTCTGCCGTACTACATTAATAATGCCAAAGAGATGATCTCATCAGATCTTGCTAAAGAGAAATGCTACTGCAATTTTCAGTTCCTCAAAGCAAAGGTTGCTGCTTTTCCTCTGACAGCACTTCAAGAGGACCTAGCAATGTTTGTAAATAGAACAGAGGATGAAGAAGTTCAGAGGCTCAGATACTTCTTTTCAGCTTGCAAAAGAGAGGAAATTGGTAACGCCGATAAATTCGCTGTCAGTCTGCTTGCTAAAGTATCACCGACAGAAAGAGAAGTCAACCTTAAGAGATTACTGAGTGCAGCTCTAGAACACTTACAATCTCAAAATAAGCCTTTGCTTATTCCGAAATATGCCTGTATGGCTCTTGGTGCCGACACTACCAGTGCAATGCAAGACATGCTGAGGAGCTGTGAAGAGATCATGGACGTAGGTGGGGATTCTGTTCTATTACGTTTGAGTAGAATGGAGTTAGATAAAGAGAACAAATATCAACATGCAGTGTATAGTGTTATCACTGAAGAGCAACAAGAAGTCAGTCTACCGAATTTATTCAACAATGGACTGCTACCAAAAGTAGATCGAGCTAGCAAGTATATATATCACATTGAGAACGGTCGAATGAATACTGTGAATCTATTCAGAAAAACTACTATGAGCAAGACGCTATCAGAGGTGTCCCCGAAAATGTCAGGAAAGACCAACCCTGTCATGTCGGCGTTCGACACTGAACCTTCACACGTTGCCCTTCTGTTTGATGATAGTAGTATTCTGGTGATCGAACTCAGTACCATGAATCCGGTGATATTGGCGACCTTATCCGAAGACGCATCTGATGTTTCCAATTTGGTGTGTACTGGCTGGGACAGTCCCACTGTCATAGCAACAGGCATTTGTAGAGACACAGGGGAGGACAAGAATGATAGTGGATTCGTTCGAATTTTCACAACCTCTGACAAAGGCAAGGATTCTCAAATGAAAATACCTGTTTCATTCTCAAGTGGTCTAGTACATTTGGGAGCATCAGAAGACTTTCTTGTTGGGCTCTGTAACACTGATAACTCGTGCACGCTGATTGCTATCAAACTAGAGGAGTTTACCAAAGTGAGTGAAATATCTCTGCCAGATGTGATGATTCAGATGTCTGTTGCTAGAAAGCAACGTTTGGCTGTGGTCCTGTCCCAAAAAGGCGTTGCCACCTTATTGAACTGGGAAGAGCAGACGGTCCTAAACGTGCTTTCTACAAACGATCCAGCATCGTGTTTGTATGTCAACTGGTCACACAAACTGGCAACGATTGGAGACTCTCAGGGGCAAATTGTGTTATACGACATACACACAAACAGCCACTGCGGCAGATTCCTTGCCCATGAAGGTGGCATACAACAACTAATGGGCGCAGATGATCATATCTTTTCCCTTGGCACCAACAAAGAACTGAAAATCTGGTCAGTGCCTACCCTTAGACAGAATACAGATCAAACTAACAACCCGAGAAGTATTGCAAGCAGTATCGGTCTGCTTGGCCAAACTGAGGTAGCCAGTGTTGACATTACCTTGGACAGTCTTGAGCTTCTGACAGCATCTCGGGATAACACTATTAGCGTTTGGTCATTTCCTGATATGGTACTGAAAACTGTCTTTGATATTGGAATCACGGGGAATAAGATTCAGGTGATTTCCAATGAAATATGTGTGGCTTTAGATAAAAACAAAAAGGAAATGAAAATATTTAGATTAAAGAATGGTGAGAGCGCTGTTGACTATGATCTCCCAAGAGGTGCACTGGACTTCACTGTTAATCAGGACCGTTCACTCATGTGTATTATTTGTCAGAAGGAGAAGGGACATATGATTGACGTCATGGATCTTAAAGTCCGGCAATCAAAGAAAACGTTTTACCTGAAAGGTGTCCCTGAATATGCAGCTATTGATATCAGTCTTAGTGCAAACAGTAGATATGTTTTGATACGTACAAAAGTGACTGACGAGTACTTCAAAGTTGTAGAAGAAACTTGGAAGAAGGAAGAATCCTTCTACCAAAAACCCCGCCGCTATCGCTTTAGTGCAGCAGACCTGACCCAAGCCACAGGTGGAGTTGTGCATTGCTTGAGAAGTGTGACCAAGTTTCCTCAACTAGGAGAGGCCATGACAGCCTTTCAAGGGAATGTTGTTATGCTTACAGCGCGGCGTTGGGTGTTATTCTGGGACATCCCAACTGGAAAATGTGACAAGAAGATGAATAAAGTGGATAGGAAAGGAATGATGTCTCGTCCAGAATGGCTTGGCCAAGACGTCACCAGCACACCTTTGACACTTGTCCAGAGCAACAATGGGAAGTATTTGGCTTTAGGGACAGAGGAGGGTTATCTCTTCATCTACGTCGCCGATTCGGGACAGCTTGTAACGAAGAAGTCTTCGTGTTCAAAACACACTACCGCGGTAAGCAGAACTGTGAAATTTTAATTTATTTGTAAAAGGTGCCATTACAAAATTATCATTATCCACTATCCTACATTTTATTTTGCGATATTGTTCTGATTTCCACATTGTTTTAAAAGTTTACAACAGTGATAAGTTTCCTACATTCTTTGGTTCGAAACTCCTCAGATCCAAACTTTCTTTTTTCTTAAATTTATATAAATTTCACCTTGTCCTGTTCATTTTAGTTTTTTTCATTACCCCTGTTTTGGGAGGGAGTGTTGGCGATACACATATTTACAAGTTCGCAAATCTTAGCTTAAAATTTTGAATAAATATTGATTACTGGGATTAAAAACAATATACTCACAAATGCTTGTATTTGGTAGCGATATTCTATGTTCGATATCACATGTACACGTGGAGATCAGTTTTCGTGGTTATTGATATATCAAAAATTTGTATGTCTTGCTTTTCAGTGTATAATTTACTAGTCTTAAATGGTATGGAAACATTGATAAGACATTATTCACAAAACTACATATAGTGTTGTTTTTCTAAGTAGTGTTGCGGAAAATGTGATCTTTTGAGGTTTTAATTCTACGGTGAGAGGCGAGCTATGAAACGGTCATAGGTAAACTTTGTAGGATAAACAGTGTTTCGATATAAGCATGTTCTTAATAAAACATCGACTGTAATCCAGACTTTCTATAAAGACTTAAGTGTAGTCATAGAAGTTCCTTGTAATTCTGGAAGTAATTTTTTTCAAAAAAAGTCCTAAAGTAATTTACATCATCTTGTGTTTTGTAGGTTACACTGACTATATTTTCACCAAATAGTGAATGGGTGACCTCTGCTTGTCGTAACAATACTGTCAAGATTTGGGAAGCCTGTTCAGGGAAGGAGATGTTCAGCATTAAGGCCAATTTCGAGGTAGTCAGCATGGGATTCTCAGCCAACTCTCAGACCCTTGTAGTATCCATTGGATCCAAAATCTCAAGGATACTACTCTATACTCTCCATACAGGCTGTTAGTCAACACCATGGGTATTGCGTAGTGAAACATTCAACCGTATGACCATGGAAATCTAGCCCTGGCAAAATGCAAACTAAGGGACACCTTTGAAGTTCAACATTGTTGCCTGAAAAAATCTCGACATCATTACCATGAAGATAGCAGTACCAGAGTGAATCTTACATGACGGTGTTTCCATGACATTTTCTACCATGGCGATCCAATATATCAATATATGAACACAAGACGGGTTGAACGTTTCAGATTACTGAGTGCTTCGCCGGAGCTTGATGACTTTTCACCAGCAAAAAAGCATCATTTAGGACAGTTCTTTCACCATGACCATGGATTATTATGATGACGAGACCAGCATTTACTAAGATTAGAAAATGTTACGTTTTATCAGGAATATAGACTAGGAAAATCGCCACTGAGTTAACATTGTCCTCAATAGCTATAGGCCAACAAATCATGTTCATCTAAACTGGAAAGAATTAATAGACGTGTGTGTCTGGGCCAGTGACAAGTTAGTTCGTGCTAGACAGATGCCACTCAATTTGAATCGCGTTCTGAGGAGGGAAATTTGATCTTGGGAAACAAAAATTAATGTTCGTTTGTTAGAATCCTGACTAGCATGTAGAAAGAAATTATATAGGATATGCTGTTAAAATTTGGAAAGAGAGTGTGAATAGCTTGTCTTTCAAGCACACGTATTTAAGTTTTTCAATATATTAATTCTAACGAGCTTATTACATTAGATATTATTAGACATTTGTCGAAATTTCCACTTAGTAAGTAAAGGTAATCAAATCAAAGAGAATGGGTAAAATTGTCAATGAATGCCTGAAATGTTTCCTTTTCAAAACCTAACTTATATGTATATTTGTTTTAACATTACATTTCGCATCTCAAATAATAAACGATTTAATTGTTTCGTATTTTAAGGTTCTCTCACGAAATCAAAAAATGGAAATTCGATCCAAAATCTTTGGAGCGGAGAACATAGATCTCACCACTGTGCTATCGTTAAGTTATTGATTCCATGCACATAAATTGTAGAGTTTGAAATGTCAATGTTTATTTCAGAAAAGAAAAAAAAACAATCTTTGTGTGTCTCTGTGCACTTCACATTTATGCTAAAAGAATTTACATGTCTGGTGTCATTCGATCACTTTGAATTTGTATAAGGCGACCCCTAGGTTTTAAAAATTACTCTCTTAACATCACTGACGGGTGCGAGGAGAACCACTTGAGTAGAGAGCGGAGATATTACCACTGTGCTATCATATTACACATATTAAATATGTAATCAAACACTGAACCCATTCTGTGTTTCTATTTGTGTGAAATGCAAATTATATATGTATCTCATTTTTAGCATTTACCAGTAGTTTTCGGTGAAGATTATACAAAAGACACACAAGTGAAAAACACTTTGAATGCAAACTTAGACCTAGATTAAGTAGATCCAACAAGATAACGCAAAGCGTGAAATTATACTCGCGCCCCACTGTTCAAAAGAAAGACACACAATCGTATATATAGGTTGATATTACAACAGGTTAAATTTCTATTAATCATTTTTAATTGATCCTACAAAGTATTGAAATGGAGAACTTCTACTAGAGTACTAGCTTCGTGCCTAAATAAAGTTTTGAGAACCGGATAATTAGCTTGAATGGCTTAAGAGAACTGGTCTGGAAAAAAAACTGAAATTTGTTATTTGGCGTATCTGTTTCTATGGTAACAAAAAAAAATACCTAGGGCACTAACCTAATATATATTGAAAGTTTTGTGCAGTTGAGTGAAATGTTTTCGAAGTTATAGCTCGAAAAGGAAAGTGAACACTCATTTTGTGGTTTTTGGAAACTTTGTTTCCATGGTAACAAAAACAAATTATCAAAGAGAAAAAGTCAATAGCAAAAAGGCACAACTAGGGCACTAACCTTGTATATACAGAAAGTTTTGTGGAGTTGAATGGAATGGTTTCTTGGTTGTAGTCCGGTAAGGAAAGTTTACACTAATTTTGTATTTTTGACTATGTTTCCATGGTAACGGAAAACATATTAAAATGAAATGTTGTCAATAACAAAAGGCACAACTAGGACACTAACCTGATATCTACAGAAAGTTTGTGAAGTTGAGATGAACGGGTTTTGAAGTGATAGTCCGGAAAACCCTCGGATGCACGGACGCACGGAGTCCAAATTAATATCCCCGCAAACGCCTTTCGCGGGGAATAATTAATGGTTTTAACTGCATTACACTGGAAAACAAAGTCGGCTTCACAATCACTGTCCAAAAGAGCTGTATATGTAGCTCTTATTCAGATCAATAATGGAATAGGGAGCAAGTATATGGGCCCCTACACAGCCAAAAACACAGAACGCACACAAAGACGAGGTGCAAGATTCATAACAAAAGGCTACAAATCCGGAGAGGAAGGAAGTAGGACGGAAATGTTACAAGACCTAAACCTTCCTACACTTCAAACAAGAAACAAGAAGACTACACCAATATTCTTTGTAGAAGGGCAGATACCAGCAATGCCGTTAATTACTTTCCAAAACATAAAGCATGGAATCAAGGCAAAAACATATCAGAACTGTGAAACATTCCAACACCGTGACATCCTCAGTAAGGAACAATTGCAAATCGGTAGTCATTCCACCAGGCAAAACTGCACCGTATAGAAATTCATTTTTGCGCGCTCTGTCATCGACTGGAGCCAACTAAGTGACAGTATTTTTCACACATCAAGGAAGGGTCTTTCAAACTTGCCCTGGTGAGGCACCGTGACCGAAGCGCTCCCCCTGTCATATGATAATACTAATAAATATGTTTACGATTTAGTATACGAGAAATATTTTTCGGTCTAAGTAAAATGTCTGATCTTGTTAAACGTGGACAAACATGTGTTGAACATTATAATATTGATCGACGTACAGGATTGGTTTATCTCCCATATGGGTTTTGTCTCGTGTAAATCTTTAAAAGAGTGATATTCTGAATATAATGAAAATTTAAGACCTTGGATTTTAAATATTCCAACCGCTTCAACTCGGTGACACTGTATTTCTATTTGCCACCGAGATGCCACCATGTGGTGGCGGCTAGCATTCCATGAGGTATGTAGTCGAAGGCCAAGGACAGAACTCACGGCGTCGCAGCTGAGGAAACTTGCATCAGTATCATTTTAAGTAAATTCGGTATCCATCTCTGAAAGCAGCAAGAAAAGGTTTTAATACATGATTTTGGAAAGTTACATAACGGATCGTGTACTTTCAGAAGTAAAGGTACATTAGTTTGTTAGTTTGTTTGTCATGTGAACATTCTTTTTGCAAATGTTGCGAATGTAGACGAAGTGAATTTATTAAGATTCCGTCTACAATAAGTGACCGTTTGCAATAAGTTCCGGATAACCTTGGGGAATACGTGAACTGCAGCCTTCGCAATAGCTTCCCTTGATATTAGTTATTATATGTCACTGAGAAAGATTTGTAGAATCACCTCTGGATTTCATTTGATTTGACAGAAACTATTCAAGCGATTGGACATTGACATCATGAACACCAATATAACAAAGTTAGCCCCATAATCTAACAATTCGTTTCCATAGTTCTCGCTACACTTGCATTTTCTCTATTGATTAGAAAATGTTTTCTACAAGCTGTTTTTGTAGCGCAGTGTTAAAATGGGGACGGGTGTGTTAAAACGTTTAGGATTTTTTTTTTCATTTTCAAAAACAATTTATGGAAAGGTGTAAAAAAAAAACAGATCGTTGACAATCTAAACTGACCTTTGTTATTTGACCTTAGGAACTGCACCTTTAATTTGAAGTAATTAGTACGCTACATTTAAAATTTAAAGTATTATAACCAAAAGGAATCATTAGTTAAGAATTCGATATATTGGTTTAAAAAGGACGGTACACAGGAGAAGAATGGCCAACAGGTTCAGTGTCAGTCTGAAAGTCTTTCAATTTTCTAAATGTTACGGTTGTGTGTATGTGCGTATGTTAATTCTCATTCACCTTTGTATCGACATTTATGTAATTCGAGAAGAATATCAATAGTTTCTCTCATTCATCCAAACATCGCACAAAGTATAAAACTTATCAGAAGAGATATAAAACAGACATTTGACACGATAGAAACTATCCTAACTACAGCACTCAGACAAGTACAGGACAATTCTATATATCATTGCATACGTTATTGTGTTACAATACTTGGGTTATCTACCCTGGCCTCTGTCACCCGGGTAAACAAACATGGCTGCTTGATGTTACCTGTGGAGCTTTTGTCTGTCTGACAGAAGGTAAGTTTGGTAACCAGTGTGTTTAAGTATTTAGTATATCATCTTCACGTATACTTCAATGTTTGCAGCTTCATATGCACGTCACAGTGAGACAGTACGTAATTCTACCTGTAAAAATATACCGTTAAGTTGGCAGAAGTAGGTTATCTGGAGTCTGCTAGTGTGTACGGACAAAATATACAAGTGTACATGTATGTGTGTACTCTGCTATAAGTGTTCGTGTGTATGGTCTTTTGATAGTATAACATTGTTCCTATATCAAAATTTAACAGGACGATTGCCATAAATGGAAAATGTGCATTCAAAACACAGTAGGTGTCATTTGTATGTTTAGGGTCTGAATGACACCTACTGTGTATTCATTTTGTACAATGTATAAATTCATATATGGCATGTGTAAGATTCAGAACTCTACATTTTATAAATCAGTGAGAAACATGAATTCACTTTATATTTCGAGGAATTCAATATTGAAATGCATTTCTTTTTGAGACTATAATTCATCTCCTGAAAGTCCATTCAATTTCATCCATTTTAAATAAAAAAAAAATATTCTTAATTTCTTATCACCACCAACATGTATTGCTACATTTACTTATAAATCTTCCTGTGCAAATTTACATTCTCTATAGCAAAAAATTTTTCGTAATTTGAACAATTAGTTCTGAAATTGAATATTTGAAGGTTTTACATTTTATTTGCATGAGAAGTTGAACAATTCTGTATTGTTGTTTGATGTAATATTTTGAGGGTTTTTCTCACAGATACACTATAGAAGTGATGTCTTCCAAAACCAGGAAGATGCCGCCGGGTATGTTTTTTTTTCTCTTAGTTTTCTTTTTAAATTGTTCCTAATTGAAATGGAGAATCATTTTGTGGATGTTATTTTTATAGATTGTCTCTGAAAGTTTTTTATTGATTTATTGAATGCTGATTGGCAATGTCTTTGCATTAAAATACATACAAATTTGACGATTAAATCTTAGAGGGGGGATTTTTATACAGTTATTTACGTCTCGAATCTTAGTACTATAAACATTTTACAAGACATTTTACGAGAATTGAAATTGGAAAATACCAATAAACTAAGTTTCTTTACATTTCAGTGTTGTTAATCATTAAATGCTGTACTAAGTTTAAAGAGAAAATCCAGTGATATGCAGTGCTCTCTTTAGATGAATTAATATTAGATAACTGAGCAAAATTATAAAAGTGACCTTTCATCAGCATTTTCATCAATTGATTTCATAATTTTCATAATAGAATTATTTGAACATTGTTAAGAATCTTTGTTATTTATTTTTCAGGTCCAAAGACCGCAGGATTAAAAAGACACAACTCCTCGTTTGAATTAACTATTACGGTATTAGTATTATAGCACCCTATCTTCTAAACACCCTTTGTTCGTCTAAAAGCAAGTATTGCTACCCAAAAGTGTTTCTGAAAAGAACATTTTGTTTTGTTTTTTTTAATAATCTGCCAGTGATTTACCATAAGCACTGCCAGGACTTTTTTTTACACTATAGAGTTTAAATCTAAATTTCATCTCTAGGGTAGGTACAAATTATTGTATCATATCTTCAGGTTCAACTCCTTGAAAAGTTGATAGGTTTTAATATGATAGCAACACACCTTGTGATAATGTGTGTATTATAATCAAACTGTTAATATACACTTACATAGCCATTATTAGATATTATTGTAGTTTCACTTTATTATTAGGGAAAAGCTAAGAGTGCTACTCCAAGAACAAATCAGAGTCAGTCATCCAAGAAAACAACCCAAGACAATTCAAGGTAGGTCTTTGTATAGAGAAGATACCATGACCATGAAAGATTGTTTGAACTCAAGAGATGAAAATGTTCTTCATTGAAGACTAAAAATCACAACCATCCAGAAATTGATTAGAAATGGTAGGGATAATAAAAAGATTATTTCATACATGGTAGGGTTTATGGTGGATTATCTCATACATGGTAGGGTTTATGGTGGATTATCTCATACATGGTAGGGTTTATGGTGGATTATTTCATACATGGTAGGGTTTATGGTGGATTATCTCATACATGGTAGGGTTTATGGTGGATTATTTCATACATGGTAGGGTTTATGGTGGATTATCTCATACATGGTAGGGTTATGGTGGATTATTTCATACATGGTAGGGTTTATGGTGGATTATCTCCTACATGGTAGGGTTATGGTCGATTATCTCACACATGGTAGGGTTATGGTGGATTATCTCATACATGGTAGGGTTTATGGTGGATTATCTCACACATGGTAGGGTCATAGTGGATTATCTCATACATGGTAGGGTTTATGGTGGATTATCTCATACATGGTAGGGTTATAGTGGATTATATCATACATGGTAGGGTTATGGGGGATTATCTCACACATGGTAGGGTTTATGGTGGATTATCTCATACATGGTAGGGTTTATGGTGGATTATCTCATACATGGTAGGGTTTATGGTGGATTATCTCACACATGGTAGGGTTATGGTGGATTATCTCATACATGGTAGGGTTTATGGTGGATTATCTCATACATGGTAGGGTTATAGTGGATTATCTTACACATGGTAGGGTTATGGGGGATTATCTCATACATGGTAGGGTTATGGTGGATTATCTCACACATGGTAGGGTTATGGTGGATTATCTCATACATGGTAGGGTTATGGGGGATTATCTCATACATGGTAGGGTTTATGGTGGATTATCTCACACATGGTAGGGTTATGGTGGATGATCTCATACATGGTAGGATTATGGTAGATAATCTCACACATGGTAGGGTTTATGGTGGATTATCTCATACATGGTAGGGTTATGGTGGATGATCTCATACATGGTAGGGTTTATGGTGGATTATCTCATACATGGTAGGGTTTATGGTGGATTATCTCACACATGGTAGGGTTATGGTGGATTATCTCATACATGGTAGGGTTTATGGTGGATTATCTCATACATGGTAGGGTTATGGTGGATTATCTCACACATGGTAGGGTTATGGTGGATAATCTCACACATGGTAGGGTCATAGTGGATTATCTCATACATGGTAGGGTTATGGTGGATTATCTCATACATGGTAGGGTTTATGGTGGATTATCTCATACATGGTAGGGTTATGGTGGATTATCTCATACATGGTAGGGTTTATGGTGGATTATCTCATACATGGTAGGGTTTATGGTGGATTATCTCACACATGGTAGAGTTTATGGTGGATAATCTCATACATGGTAGGGTTATGGTGGATTATCTCATACATGGTAGGGTTATGGTGGATAATCTCATACATGGTAGGGTTTATGGTGGATTATCTCACACATGGTAGGGTTATGGTGGATGATCTCATACATGGTAGGGTCACACATGGTATGGTGGATCTCATCATACATGGTAGGGTTATGGTGGATGATTTCATACATGGTAGGGTTTATGGTGGATTATCTCATACATGGTAGGGTTTATGGTGGATTATCTCATACATGGTAGGGTTTATGGTGGATTATCTCACACATGGTAGGGTTATGGTGGATTATCTCATACATGGTAGGGTTTATGGTGGATTATCTCATACATGGTAGGGTTTATGGTGGATTATCTCATACATGGTAGGGTTTATGGTGGATTATCTCATACATGGTAGGGTTTATAGTGGATTATCTCACACATGGTAGGGTTATAGTGGATTATATCATACATGGTAGGGTTATGGTGGATTATCTCATACATGGTAGGGTTTATGGTGGATTATCTCATACATGGTAGGGTTATGGTGGATTATCTCATACATGGTAGGGTTATGGGGCATTATTTCATACATGTATATGATTGTTGTGTTATTCTGTTCCTTCCTCTCTGAGTAAACACAATATTTGCATCATCACTCGATGATGTCATTTCTGATGAATCCTCTGTTATGCTAACATTTCAATATTTGTTACAGGACTGCAGCAACGGCTCATGCATCTAGTCAGTCTATATGTAAGTGTTTTAGATAATAATCTTACAGGAAGTTATTTCATGTAATACATGTTGTAGGCTTAAGATGTAGATCTGTCTGTATGTTGTGTTACATAAGAAATCAGACATTTTACATCATGTTGACCTTTATCCTGCAACTGGCAGTGCCATTGTCGGAATGCGCCTGACACATATATTTTTGCTGTATTCAGCAGTGATGGAAAACAGATGTATTTCAGCTCGTGCATGAATTTGACGGAAATAATTTCTGAATTAATTTTAAAGTTACTCTTGACAATGTAGATAAATGTTAAAATAAGTGATTTTATATGTTGTAATGAAAATTCATAAAATGACTGTCATATTCGTTGAAGTTTGGTACTATATTTCTGCATGTAACAATTATTTTGGCATACATCATCAGGCAACATTTATTGTAACATTATATCAGGTAAACAAAGATTGAACTAAAAAATACTGAAGTTTTGATAGGCTGATTTTCAGTCAATATTGCATGATAAATAAAATATATGATCAGTGCCTTAAAATATAAGCTGCATTTTAGCTCTGGACATGAAAACAAAAATGGCTTAAAATAACTTAAGACCCTGCATCCTCTGCCCTAGGTGAAAATTGCGCTATCGTTTACTTACCCTTGGATGCTTGGTCTACATCTTCTATGTTTCTTAAAAACATTCATGAAATTTGCTAGCCAATGATAAACGAGAGTGTGGTTTTCATTTGGGCCGAGGATGAGGACCCTGTAGAGTTGTTGAATATAGTTCAACTATGTTATTAAGGTATCCATTTACATTCAGCCTAAAATCTCTTAATTAAGATGGAGTAAATGCTAGTGACTGACAAGGCATCACAGTGTAGTGGGACCAGTTACAATTAAAGGCTCATAATTACATTCACCATCAAGCTCTCTTGTAATGGAACAGCACCAGGTAAATGTGAATGCATGTTTGAAGTTGCCCCAGAATAGATACAAATCTAAATATCATTTCTGTATCTTATTGACAGTGAAGGAGGGTTTTGACAGAGAGGCTGAGCTACATTTTAATAGGATGATAGAAGGTCAACTAGACAACATCCCCCACATTCCTAGATCTATTGTACGAATCTTTATCAGCTCAACATTCTCAGGTAAGACAACATTCCACACATTCCTAGATCTATTGTTTGTGTCTCTATCAGCTCAACATTCTCAGGTAAGACAACATTCCACACATTCCTAGATCTATTGTACGAATCTTTATCAGCTCAACATTCTCAGGTAAGACAACATTCCACACATTCCTAGATCTATTGTTTGTGTCTCTATCAGCTCAACATTCTCAGGTAAGAGAACATCCCACATATTCCTAGATCTATTGTGAATCTTTATCAGCTCAACATTCTCAGGTAAGACAACATCCCACACATTCCTAGATCTATTGTTTGTGTCTCTATCAGCTCAACATTCTCAGGTAAGAGAACATCCCACACATTCCTAGATCTATTGTTTGTGTCTCTATCAGCTCAACATGCTCAGGTAAGAGAACATCCCACACATTCCTAGATCTATTGTTTGTGTCTCTATCAGCTCAACAGGTAAGAGAACATCCCACACATTCCTAGATCTATTATTCGTGTCTCTATCAGCTCAACATTTTCTGATAAGCTATATTTCATGCTAATTTGAGGTGCACCAATGTCTAGTGAAAATATGTTGTGACTGTGACAGGTTATCATAGGATCTGTCAAGATATGGTTTAGATGTTCAGGTAAGGGCTAATGTATGCACCAGTCAAAACAGGTAAGGGCCATGTATTGACCAGTCAATACAGGTATGGCCATGTATGGATAATTAAAACAGGTAAGGGCCATACCTGGATCAGTCAGAACAGGTAAGGGCCATGTATGGATCATTCAATAAAGGTAGGGGCCATATATAGACCATTCAATAAGGGCCATGTATGTCAAAACATGTCTTTGGTACTAAACATAGCATACGGTGCTACATTAAATAACGTGTCTTTATTTGTCAGACATGCGAGCAGAACGGAATGCAATAGTACGGGAGGCTACACCAAAGCTGCGTGACTTCTGTGCAGAACACGACCTTGACTTTCAGATGGTAGACATGAGGTGGGGTGTGACAGACGACTGCCAGAATGACCATACAGTGGAGAAGATTTGCTCTTTGGAAGTGGAAAACTGCCAGAAAATCTCCCTGGGACCTAACTTTGTGGTAGATATTGTTTATTATGCATCAGATGTAGTTTTCACACCATCAGATGTAGTTTTCACACCATCAGTTGTAGTTTTCACACCATCAGTTGTAGATTTCACACCATCAGATGTATTTTTCACACCATCTGTTGTAGTTTTCACACCATCAGTTGTAGTTTTCACACCATCAGTTGTAGTTTCACACCATCAGTTGTAGTTTTCACACCATCAGTTGTAGATTTCACACCATCAGTTGTAGATTTCACACCATCAGATGTAGATTTCACACCATCAGTTGTAGTTTTCACACCATCAGTTGTAATTTTCACTCCATCAGTTGTAGTTTTCACACCATCTGTTGTAGTTTTCACACCATCAGTTGTAGTTTTCACACCATCAGATGTATTTTTCACACCATCAATTGTAGTTGTGTGTGTACAACTGGGTAGATTTTGGTATCATCTGGTGTACAACTTGATAAAGTTCCCCAAAATGGTTCGTATTTGCTTTAGTTTGTGGCTTTGTGGAATATTCCACTGGTGAAATAGAGAACATGACCCCGCCAACCATCATCAAATGTGAACAAATCTTTGTCTACTATAACATATTGTACTTGAGATATCAGTAAATGATAATTTATAATGACCTGTTAATACTTTATCAACAATGTTCATTTCAGCTTATTAAAGGATCCAGATATGGCTTCCGTCCCATCCCCACTGAGCTATCTACAGAAGATTTCACACTGCTTACTAATTACACCACCAACCCTGAACATACAAAGTTACTGAAAACCTGGTACCAAAGGGACGACAACAGTAAACCTCCACAGTATGTCCTTCAGGTGTGTATAAACCTAAGTATGTCCATCAGGTATGTATAACCCACAGTATGTCAGACAGGTGAATATAACCCACAGAATGTCCTTCAGGTGTGTATAACCCGAAGTATGTCAGACAGGTGTATATAACACACAGTATGTCAGACAGGTGTGTATACCCCACAGTATGTCCTTCATGTGTATATAACCAACAGTATGTCAGACAGGTTTATATAGCCCACAGTATGTCCTTCAGGTGTGTATAAACCTAAGTATGTCCATCAGGTATGTATAACCCACAGTATGTCAGACAGGTGAATATAACCCACAGAATGTCCTTCAGGTGTGTATAACCCGAAGTATGTCAGACAGGTGTATATAACACACAGTATGCCAGAGAGGTGTGTAGAACCCACAGTATGTCCTTCAGGTGTGTATAACCTACAGTATGTCCTTCAGGTGTGTATAACCCGCAGTATCTCCTTCAGGTGTGTATAACCCACAGTATCTCCTTCAGGTGTATATAACCCACAGTATGTTCTACAGGTGTATATAACCTACAGTATGTCAGACAGGTGTATATAACCTACAGTATGTCCTAAAGGTGAGTATAACACACAGTATGTCAGACAGGTGTGTATAACCCATAGTATGTCCTATAGGTGTATATAACCCACAGTATGTCAGACAGGTGTGTATAACCCAAAGTATGTCCTACAGGAGTATATAACCCGCAGTATGTCAAACAGGTGTATATAACCCACAGTATGTCCTATAGGTGTATATAACCTACAGTATGTCCTACAACTCTTTTCCTTCATCCTCTATCACTTAAATTCAAAATGTGGCTGACAGCCCTTTTCCTTCATCCCCTATCCCCTATCCCAACCCCATCCATTTAACTTACAACTGAGATTGAGGATTCATAAAATAGATGTTTTTTTATCCCCCGACATTTCATAAAGTATTAACCTTAACGTACATTATCATTCTGTCGTTATTTGGTATCAGCTGATTTTACTCTTTAACAGTCACAGATATAGCTGGTGATTTGATATGATATGTATTATAGTAATCTGTAGGTCAGGTTCTTGTTCGGTTATACCAGGTAATCAACTTTTCATACAAACAGCCAGATGAAAATTGGAGAGCCTTGCCTAACTCCAGTGGGAATTGAATAAAAAAAAAATCACAGAAAGAAAACTGTATTATATTTCTAGGGCATAACTTCAGGATGTAGAAAGATCTGGTACCCAAAATTTCTAAAATACCTTTTGTTTTTGTGATGACATTTTGAAAAGTTAGATTTCTGAAAATGATTAAAAAGGCAAAAATCGAAATGTTTCTACACTTGCTTTTTCTGATGTAGAATTCAGATGATGTGTAACTGGAAATAATTAATTTTCACATATTATTTCGTTAAACTATTAGTTTTCATGAGTAACACACATATTATGTTATTTTTCAGGAAACCTCTTTTAAAATAAAATTTCCTCTTTCATTAAAAATTATTAAAGTGATGCTTGGATATGGAGAGCAAATGTGAAAATGCTAAATTTGATTGAATGAGCATAAAACTGCATAGCAACCGAAAAAGGAAAATTTTGGAAAAAAATGACTTATTTCATCACGATTTATGTGCAAAAATTTATCAACTGACGGACAAACTCAGAACATAGGGTTTCAAAAGATGCAAGTGAATGAAAGTTATGTTGAAGTTTTACATGAAGCAAAAAGGACTTACCTAATCCTTTCGAACCTGTAGTCTTATTCTCATTGTACTTTTTAAGAAGTCTCCTTGTAAACCTTTTGTTCAAATTTTGCCCCTGCTTTATTGAATTTGAGTTTGTATTATTATTATGTTGACATGTTGGTATCTTGTTGTTTTTGGACCGTCTTATAAAATATCACATTTTTAAAGACTTTATGCATTGCTAGAAAATTATAATTTTCATGCTTGAAAAAGATGTGGCCACTGTGCATGATATTTTTGCAATTTTCACCTGAATAGCCATTTTTCCAAGATCAAGAAACTTTGCAAATTATTTGTTTTCAAGTCCTGAATACCAAGGATAGTGATCAACCAAGTCAGAACTCAGTTATTTGTGATGGAAATTTATGCAAAATTTAGTTGAAATCTACCAAAAACTTTTGATAGTTACACTCAACAAAACCTTCTTCATAAAAATTGTAGAAATTAACCTGCAATTAGCTGCCAACTACTACAGATAATTTAGTACACAAGGGAAATTTCTACAAAACATTATGTAAATACCCTATTTCTGTTTACACAATTTATGTACAGTAATATGTTACAAAGTATCGGAAAACACAGAGGTCCAAGATATTACATTGGGATTCATTATGTACTGAATTATATCCTAATTCCAGTCAAACGTGACCTTCATGCAGCTTTAAGTGACTTCACCTCAAATAGAATGTTAACCAGACTAGCTGGTAATTGACCGTGATAGCCATCCTCTGTTAATCTCTACTTAACTTGTTCTGAAAAGTCATTAGTCGTAACAAAGTCAAATATAACACTGAAAACCAAACTTCTCCTTGGTTGGCAGTTTGGGCATTCATGTGACTCCAACTCATCTAGTTTTTCATAATTTATTGTCGTATACTGTGTCAGCCATCAAAATTACGACATAACAATTGAAATGATGACCCTTTTTCTTTGGTCTGATCTGGAGGAGTTTAAACATCTAGCTGTTGAAAATATGTACCAAAAATATCTCAAGAGCCCTAAAAATATCAATGTTTTTCTGTTAGGCTCTTATACATCAAAAGAAATTCTACAGTATTGACTCCCCTCATTTTGTATTATGTTTGCAGCCAATCAGATCGCAGTTTACATTTTTTGGAGACTACTCACCAGGATGTGATGAGCCACGAGCCAAAGATTCTGAAAACTGGCAACAGACATTTGAAAAGTTACAGCTAATCTTAAGACATGCTGCCAAGACAGCTGCTGATGCAGGCAAAATGTCTTCCAGTGTTCTTGAGGAGTACTATCAGTCAGGTAGGATGAACCACGGGTTATTGTCTCCCCATATCTTCAACTGGGACATTAGTCCAGCGGGGATTACAGATAAATGTCTCCAGGATTGTTAGGCAGAATATCTCTTAGCATTCCTCAGAAGTACTGAATTAGTTAGTCAGGACAAACTACAGGTAATTGTCTCCTAGCATCCTTCGGTAGTGCTGAATTAGTTAGTCAGGACAAACTACCAGCAATTGTCTCCTAGCATCCTTCAGTAGTACAGAATTAGTTGGACTGGACAATCTGTCTTTGTTCCGTTACACATGGATATAATTAAAATTGACAAAATTGAATCCATATGAAGCAGGCAAGATTATAACAACTCCATAATATTATTTTCATGAAATTAAATGAACTCAACAATATGCAAGAAATAACGACAAGAAATGAAGCAATATAATGGGATTGTATTCTAGATTTTTTTTTCTTTCTGTTTCAGTGACAGAGACAGAGATAAAGAAAGGTTTACTAAATGTGGCTGATCCACTTGGCCACACCATGGTATATTCTCGATCACTAACTGGACTCGACAATGAGTCTGTGGATGACAAAGATGCAAGAAGATACATTGATATCAAAGACAACAATGGAAAGGTTTGTACTTTGGATTTTGGGTTATCTACCCTAGCATTATCAGCTGTTTGTGTAAGGGGAGTAACTCCTACGTCTGTATGTAATATCTTAATTACACTTGTGTGCTCAAATTGAAACATAACATTTTTTTACTTTACTATATCCACTAGATAAAGGAGTGGTGGAAGTGTATGTAAGTAATCAGTAAGGAGTGTTGGTAGTGTATGTAAGTAATCAGTAAAGAGTGTTGGTAGTGTATGTTAGTAATCAGTAAGGAGTGTTGGTAGTGTGTGTAAGTAATCAGTAAGGAGTGTTGGTAGTGTGTGTAAGTAATCAGTAAGGAGTGTTGGTAGTGTGTGTAAGTAATCAGTATGGAGTGTTGGTAGTGTATGTAAGTAATCAGTAAGGAGTGTTGGTAGTGTATGTAAGTAATCAGTATGGAGTGTTGGTAGTGTATGTAAGTAATCAGTAAGGAGTGTTGGTAGTGTATGTAAGTAATCAGTAAGGAGTGTTGGTACTGTATGTAAGTAATCAGTAAGGAGTGTTGGTAGTGTATGTAAGTAATCAGTAAGGAGTGTTGGTAGTGTAAGTAATCAGTAAGGAGTGTCGGTAGTGTATGTAAGTAATCAGTAAAGTGTTGGTAGTGTATGTAAGTAATCAGTAAGGAGTGTTGGTAGTGTATGTGTGTTATCAGTTAGGAGTGTTGGTAGTGTACATGTGTTATCAGTGAAGAGTGTTGGTAGTGTAAATGTGTTATCAGTAAGGAGTGTTGGTAGTGTATGTGTGTTATCAGTTAGGAGTGTTGGTAGTGTACATGTGTTATCAGTGAAGAGTGTTGGTAGTGTAAATGTGTTATCAGTGAGGAGTGTTGGTAGTGTACATGTGTTATCAGTGAAGAGTGTTGGTAGTGTAAATGTGTTATCAGTGAGGAGTGTTGGTAGTGTATGTGTGTTGTAAGGAAGGAGTGGTGGTTGTGTATGTGTGTTATCAGTGAGGAGTGTTGGTAGTGCATGTGTGTTATCAGTGAAGAGTGTTTGTAGTATATATGTGTTGTCAGTGAGAATGTTTGTTGTGTAAATGTGTTATCAGTGAGGAGTGTTGGTAGTGTATGTGTGTTATCATTGAGGAGTGTTGGTAGTGTATGTGTGTTATCAGTATGTGTATTATCATTGAGGATTGTTGGTAGTGTATGTGTGTTATCAGTGAGGAGTGTTGGTAGTGTATGTGTGTTATCTGTGAGGAGTGTTTGTAGTGTATGCGTGTTATCATTGAGGAGTGTTTGTAGTGTATGTGTGTTATCAGTGAAGAGTGTTCGTAGTGTATATGTGTTGTCACTGAGGAGTGGTGGTTGTGTAAATCTGTTATCAGTGAGGAATGTTCGTAGTGTATATGTGTTGTCAGTGAGGAGTGTTGGTTGTGTAAATGTGTTATCAGTGAAGAGTGTTGGTAGTGTATGTGTGTTATTAGTGAGGAGTGTTGGTAGTGTATGTGTGTTATCATTGAGGAGTGTTGGTAGTGTATGTGTGTTATCAGTGAAGAGTGTTGGTAGTGTATGTGTGTTATCAGTGAAGAGTGTTGGTTGTGTAAATGTGTTGTCAGTGAGGAGTGTTGGTAGTTTATGTGTGTTGTCAGTGAAGAGTGTTCGTAGTGTATGTGTGTTATCAGTGAAGAGTGTTCGTAGTGTATGTGTGTTATCAGTGAGAATGTTGGTTGTGTAAATGTGTTGTCAATGAGTAGTGGTGGTAGTGAAGATTGGTGGTAGTGTATGTGTGTTATCCATGAGGAGTGTTGGTAGTGTATGTGTGTTATTAGTGAAGAGTGTTGGTAGTGTATGTGTGTTATCAGTGAGTAGTGTGGGTAGTGTATGTGTATTATCATTGAGGATTGTTGGTAGTGTATGTGTGTTATCAGTGAGGAGTGTTGGTAGTGTATGTGTGTTATCATTGAGGAGTGTTGGTAGTGTATGTGTGTTATCATTGAGGAGTGTTGGTAGTGTATGTGTGTTATCAGTGAGGAGTGTTGGTAGTGTATGTGTGTTGTCAGTGAGGAGTGTTGGTAGTGTATGTGTGTTATCAGTGAAGAGTAGTGTATGTGTGTTATCAGTGAAGAGTGTTTGTAGTGTATGTGTGTTATCAGTGAGGAGTGTTGGTAGTGTATGTGTGTTATCAGTGAGGAGTGTTTGTAGTGTATGTGTGTTATCAGTGAAGAGTGTTGGTAGTGTATGTATGTGTTGTCACTGAGGCGTGTTGGTTATGTAAATCTGTTGTCAGTGAGGAATGTTTAGTGAGGAGTGTTGGTGTATGTGTGTAGTGTATGTGTGTTATCATTGAGGAGTGTTGGTTGTGTAAATGTGTTATCAGTGAAGAGTGTTGGTAGTGTATGTGTGTTATTAGTGAGGAGTGTTGGTAGTGTATGTGTGTTATCAGTGAGGAGTGTTGGTAGTGTATGTGTGTTATCAGTGAAGAGTGTTGGTAGTGTATGTGTGTTATCAGTGAGGAGTGTTGGTTGTGTAAATGTGTTGTCAGTGAGGAGTGTTGTTTGTGTAAATGTGTTATCAGTGAGGAATGTTGGTAGTGTGTGTTGTAAGGAAGGAGTGGTGGTAGTGTATGTGTGTTGTAAGGAAGGAGTGTTGGTAGTGTATGTGTGTTATCAGTGAAGAGTGTTGGTAGTGTATGTGTGTTATCAGTGAGGAGTGTTGGTAGAGTATGTGTGTTATTAGTAAGGAGTGTTGGTAGTGTATGTGTGTTATCAGTGAGTAGTGTTGGTAATGTATGTGGATTGTTGGTAGTGTATGTGTGTTGTCAGTGAGGAGTGTTAGTGAGGAGTGTTGGTAGTGTATTTGTATTATCAGTGAGGAGTGTTGGTAGTGTATGTGTGTTATCAGTGAAGAGTGTTGGTAGTGTATGTGTGCTGTCAATGAGGAGTGTTGGTTGTGTATATGTGTTGTCAGTGAGGAGTGTTGTTTGTGTAAATGTGTTATCAGTGAGGAATGTTGGTAGTGCGTGTTGTCAGTGAGGAGTGTTGGTAGTGTATGTGTGTTGTAAGGAAGGAGTGTTGGTAGTGTATGTGTGTTATCAAAGAAGAGTGTTTGTAGTGTATATGTGTTGTCAGTGAGGAGTGTTGGTTGTGTAAATGTGTTATCAGTGAGGAATGGTGGTAGTGTGTGTTGTAAGGAAGGAGTGGTGGTAGTGTATGTGTGTTGTAAGGAAGGAGTATTGGTAGTGTATGTGTGTTATCAGTGAAGAGTGATGGTAGTGTATGTGTGTAATCAGTGAGGAGAGTTGGTAGTGTATGTGTGTTATCAGTGAGTAGTGTTGGTAATGTATGTGTATTATCATTGGGGATTGTTGGTAGTGTATGTGTGTTGTCAGAGAGGAGTGTTGGTAGTGTATGTGTGTTGTCAGTGAGGAGTGTTGGTAGTGTATGTGTGTTATCAGTGAGGAGTGTTGGTAGTGTATGTGTGTTATTAGTGAAGAGTGTTTGTAGTGTATATATGTTGTCACTGAGGAGTGTTGGTAGTGTATGTGTGTTATCAGTGAAGAGTGTTTGTGGTGTATATGTGTTATCAGTGAGGAGTGGTGGTAGTGTAAGTGTTGGTAGTGAATGTGTATAATTAATGAATAGTGTTGGTAGTGTATATGTGTTGTTGGTGAGGAGTGTTGGTAGTGTATGTGTGTTGTCAGTGAGGTGTGTTGGTTGTGTAAATGTGTTATCAATGAGGAGTTTTGGTAGCGTATGTGTGTTGTCAGTGAGGAGTGTTGGTAGTGTATGTGTGTTATCAGTGAAGAGTGTTGGTAGTGTATGTGTGTTATCAGTGAGGAGTGTTGGTAGTGTATGTGTGTTATCAGTGAAGAGTGTTTGTGGTGTATATGTGTTATCAGTGAGGTGTGTTGGTAGTGTAGGTGTGTTATCATTGAGGAGTGGTGGTAGTGTATGTGTGTTGTCAGTGAAGAGTGTTGGTCGTGTATGTGTGTCATCATTGAGGAGTGTTGGTAGTGTATGTGTGTTATTAGTGAAGAGTGTTTGTAGTGTATATATGTTGTCACTGAGGAGTGTTGGTAGTGTATGTGTGTTATCAGTGAAGAGTGTGTATGTGTGTTATGTGAGGAGTGTGTAGTGTATGTGTGTTATCAGTGAGGAGTGTTGGTAGTGTAAATGTGTTGTCAGTGAGGAGTGTGGTTGTGTATGTGTGTTATCAGTGAAGAATTATCATGATAGAGTGTTGGTAGTGTATATGTGTTGTTGGTGAGAAGTGTTGGTAGTGTATGTGTGTTGTCAGTGAGGTGTGTTGGTTGTGTAAATGTGTTATCAATGAGGAGTTTTGGTAGCATATGTGTGTTGTCAGTGAGGAGTGTTGGTAGTGTATGTGTGTTATCAGTGAGGAGTGTTGGTAGTGTATGTGTGTTATCAGTGAGGAGTGGTGGTAGTTTATGTGTGTTGTCAGTGCGGAGTGTTGGTTGTGTAAATTTGTTATCATTGAGGAGTATTGGTAGTGTATGTGTTCAGAAATGAATGGATATTGCACAATATTGATCTGAAGCAAGCTTGGGTGTAGGGGAAACAATATTGTATAAACTGTAGGCCTCAGGTCAGAAGAGGAGAAATGAAGTAAATTCTTTAAAAGTAAATTCTCTAGAAATTAATTGATAAAAAGAAACATTCTTTTGTGAAGGGGTATCAATCTGATAAAGATGAAGGTATTAGTCCTCCTGGGGCAAGAGGGGCAGAAGGGACAGAAAGAGAGGGGCACAATAGGAAAAATGGAAAAAATTCTTTTAAATCCTATTCCTCTGTAGAAATTATTAAATTTTGTCAAAATTTAGTCTGAAGCATTCTTAGGTGAATAGGAAACAAGTTTGTTGAAGTATTTGTTTTTGGCCACCATGGATCTGAGGGACAGAGCCCAAAAGGGGAAATTTTGCATTTTCTTTAAAACTATTCTCCTCTTATAGGAAAGAATGGATATTACATAAATTTGGCAGCATTCTAGGGTGAAGGGGTATCAGTTTTGTTTAAATGTTTAAATGGTAGGCCTCATCCTCCTTGAAAGGGAGGGTTGTGGCCCGACAGGAAAATAAAGCAAATTCTGCAAAATCCACTCCTCCTGTAGGAATGATTTGATTTTGCCAAAATGTGGTCTGAACTATTCTTGGGTGAAGGGGAGTTCTGTATAAGTGGTGCATCTGGTCCCTATAGGGGCCAGTAGTAGAAATGCAAGTTCTTGAAAATTCCTTCTTCTGTACAAGGATATTGTCCAAGTTTGGTCTTAAGCAATTTTTATGTTACACCACGAGGCTGAATAACCAACATAGCCAGATGAGCGATGCAGGCCCCTTGGTCCTCTTGTTAGTCTATGTTTCATGTTTGTAATGGTGGTGGGGACCCTAGGGGTAGGGAAACAAGGCACGGGGTTTGTATTACAAATTCAAATCTATATATCTATTTTTCCACTTTGGACATCTTCATCGATGTTTTATTTTGTTTTTTCTACAGCTTGAGGTTGATACTGAGATAGCAAGTCTACGTGAGAAACTTTTGAGAAAAATAAAGAAGAAACTAAACGAAAAAAGCATTCATGAATATGAAACTCAGTGGATATCTGGAGGTGTAGACCCAAAAGCAAATGTCTGTCATGCAAACTACATAGAAAGTTTCTGTAACAACTTTCTGTCAGATATGAAAATGCAAATAAAGGAAGGAATGTCAGACTACCTGCCAAAGATCCGCTTTTCAGGTTGGTATACTGATTACGCAGAACTGATCCACCACCTCCAGTTTTGTAATGCAAAGTGTGAAACATTTTGTGGTCAGGCTGATGTCATTGAAAGTGTTCAGTCCTACATCCAATCAAGCACGTCACGTAAGCCCCTTGTTCTCCATGCTCCTTCAGGAGCAGGAAAGACATCCGTCATGGCCATGATCATGAAAAATCTGTCATCCTGGTTCAAAAAGAGAAAGTATGTAGGTGTTATTCGCTTTCTTGGTACAAGTCCTTTGAGCACCAATATTTATGATGTTTTGTTTGGTGTGTGTGGACAACTAGCTGACAGTGCAGAGATCATAATGGAACCAGTTTCTTACAAGAGCATGAAAAATTTGGTGGAGTATATTCCTAGACTACTTCGAAGGGTAGCTAATGCCATCAAAGCTCCAATAGTGATTCTGCTTGATTCTTTGGATCAGTTGGCAGCCAAGAATGATGCACACTCCTTGTCATGGCTACCGACAGTACTGCCATCCAATGTGAAATTAATTGTGTCCACACTGCCAGAAGAACATGGTATCCTTGACACTCTGAAAGACATGCTGCCGAATAATGAGTGTTACATTTCAGTTCCCCCACTGTCCGTGACTACAGGCAAGGAGATAGTACATAAATATCTTAGTCAAAGAAACAGAACTGTGACTGAAAATCAGTTGAAAGTCCTTATGTCCTATTTCACTCAAGCTCCAGGACCGCTTTACCTCAAATTGCTGATGGATGAGGCTGTCAGATGGAAGTCTTACACACCCGAACATGAACACGTTCTTTCTGGTGCAGTTCGTAGTGCCATTTCACAGTTGTTTCAAAACTTAGAGATCAAGTTTGGTGAGGTTGTGACAAATCATGCTCTTGGTTATATCACTGTTGCCATGAATGGTGTGTCTGAGACAGAGATGGAAGACGTTCTCTCCTGTGATGACGAGGCTCTCAATGATGTTTACCGTTACCACGATCCACCTGTAGAGGGCATAGTACGTATACCTCCAGTACTTTGGGCTCGTCTTCGTTATGATCTCAGGGAGTACCTTGTGGAGAGGCGAACACACAACAAGTACACACTGAACTGGTACCACAGACAGTTCATCGAAGCTGCACGTGCCTTGTACACACAGGGAAAAGCTGGTCATAGACTTCACAAGAACTTCTCCGAAATCTTCATGTCTCAGTCAGTCAAACGCAGCATTGAGCTGCATTGGAGAAAAACGACCATAGTTAATGCTGACAGACAAATCACACCACAGGCGATGGTGACCAAGAACAAGAGAATGCTGTCGTGTCTGCCGTACTACATTAATAATGCCAAAGAGATGATCTCATTAGATCTTGCTAAAGAGAAATGCTTCTGCAATTTTCAGTTCCTCAAAGCAAAAATTGCTGCATTTCCTCTGACAGCACTTCAAGAGGACCTCACTATGTTTGTAGACAGAACAGAGGATGCAGAAGTCCAGAAGCTCAGATACTTCTTTTCTGTATGCAAAATAGAGGATCTTGGCAATGCAGAAAAATTTGCTGTCAGCCTTCTGGCTAAAATATCACTGACAGAAGGGGAAGCGAATTTAGAGATATTACTGAATGCGGCATTAGAACACTTACAATCGCAGAATAAACCGCTGCTAATCCCGAAATATGCCTGTATGGCTCCCAGTACGAACACATCAAGTGCTATGAAGGATTCCCTCCAGGGTTCAGAAAAGATTCTATCGGTGGGTGGAGAGTCTGTCCTGTTGCGGTTATGTGGAAAGGAAATAGACGAGGAAAGCAAAGATCTACATGCAGTATACAATATTGATACTGAAGAGCAGCACCAGGTGAGTCTTCCCGACTCCTTTTGCAATGGTCTAATGCCAAAACTGGATCGAGCAAGTAAGAGGATTTTTTATGTCATCGCCAAACAGATCAACACAGTAAATATCTCGAAGAAAGTTACGACGAGCAAGATGCTATCAGATGTATGTCCAGAACAGCCTACAGAATCCAACCCTGTAATGTCTACTTATGACAACGAATCCTCACTTGTGGTCATTCTGTTTGATGATAGTAGTATTCTGGTGGTCGATCTCGGCTCCATGAAACCGGTGAGATTGATGACCTTGTCCGAGGATGCATCTGATGTTGTCAATTTGGTGTGTACTAACTCGGACAGTCCCACTGTTATTGTCACTGGCAATTGTGGAGAAGCAGACGAGAACAAAACCATGAAGGGATTTGTACAAGTGTTTCATCCGTCAGATGAAAGCAAGGATTTACGTATAGAAATACCTGTTTCATACTCTGATGGCCTGGTTTATTTGGGATCAGCAGAAGAGTTTCTTGTTGGACTTTGCAACACTGAAAACACATGCACACTTATTTCTATTGAACTTGATGAGCTTAACAAGATGAATGAGATGTCTCTACCAGATAGAATTATTCAGATGTCAGTTGCCAGGAAACAACAATTGGCTGTGGTCCTTTCTCAAAACGGCGTGGTCAACTTGCTGAACTGGAAGGAAGGGGCGATCCTGAACGAACTGTGTACTAACAACCCTGTGTCTTGCCTTTTTGTCAATTGGTCACATAGACTTGCACTGCTTGGGGACTCCCAAGGCCAGATTGCGTTATACAACATACACAAAAACAAGCACTGCGGTACATTCCCTGCCCATGAAAGCAATATTCAGCGACTGATTGGTGCAGATGACTTTGTTATTTCTCTTGGAATTAATAAGGACATGAAGACTTGGTCCCTTGCTGCTCTAGAACAGAGTATCACTCAGCCTAATGACAAGAACAGTGATTCAAGCACTCTCGGTTTGCTGGGCCAGACACAGGTAGCCAGTTTTGATATCACCCTAGACAGTCTACATCTGGTAACTGCATCACGGGACAACATTGTCAGAGTTTGGTCACTATCAGACATATCCCTAAAATGTTGTTTTGACATTGGCATCATAGGGAATAAGATTCAGGTGATATCCAAAGACAGCTGTGTGGCTGTAGATAAGACCGCAAGAAAAATGAAAGTTTTTAAATTGGAGAATGGTCAAAGTGCAGTTAACTGTGCTCTTCCAAGAGGTGTGTTGGACTTCGCCATCAGTCAAGACCGTTCACTCATGTGTATCATCTGTCAGAAAGAGAAGGGACTCATGGTTGATGTTATGGACCTTAAAGTTGGACAATCAAAGAAGACCTTTTACCTGAAGGGTGTTCCTGGTTATGAAACTGTTGACATTAGCCTTAGCGCAAACAGTAGATTTCTGTTGTTACGTACCAAAGTGACGGAAGCAGACTTTAAGGATATTGAGATATCTTGGAAGAAACAAGGATCGTTCTTTCCCCAACCCCATCCTTATCGTTTCAGCGCAGCTGACCTGACTCAAGCAACAGGGGGACTGATGCACTGCGTTAGAGTTATGTCCAATATTCCTCACCTTGGAGAGGTCATAACTCCTTATCGTGGAAATGTTATGATGATCACAACTCGGCGTTGGGTGCTGTACTGGGACATTCCAACCGGCAAATGTGATCAGAAGGTGTGCAAAAGCGAGAAGAAGGGAATGATGTACCGCCCAGACTGGCTGGGACAAGATTGCAAAGGCACTACTTTGGCCATCACTCAGAGTAGTAACGGCAAGTATACAGCTGCGGGGTCAGAAGATGGTTATCTTTTTGTCTACAACACCGACTCCGGAATACCTGTGCAGAACATGGCTCCGTCAACTAAACATACTGCCACAGTAAGTACAAATGTACTCTATTTTATGAAAGATAGATAATTAGCGCAGTTTAAATGTATAAGTGATGAAATTCAATTTACATCTTGGTCTTTAAGTGAATTATTTTTATGAAGACGTGATTAACTTACCATTAAAAACATTATTAATCATGTAGCTGTATTGATTTTTTTCGGTTGTTTCCTTGTTTTGAAAGCTTAAAATTTCAATACACTGTATTGTGATCCTGTGTTTTTCGTAGGTGATACTGGCAGTGTTTTCACCAAACAGTGAGTGGGTGGCCTCTGCCTGTCGCAATAACACAATCAAGATTTGGGAAGCATCAACAGGGAAGGAGGTGTTCAGCACAAGGGCGAACTTTGAGATAGTCAGCATGTGCTTTTCTGCCAATTCTCAGACTCTGGCAGTTTGTATTGGATCCCAAGTAACTAGGATACTACTCTATACACTCCACACAGGGTGTTAAACATTAGCATGGATACTAAGACTCTTTGCTAAGTATTGGATTGTTTACATGGAGTTCGAACGCTGGCATTATTGGATCTAGCATATGGATCATGGAAATTAAATTATGTAATAACTTGGACTCGACAATGAATTTACTATGTTATTATCGTTTTACTATCAGCAATAGACATTGAGATAAGTAAAGTAGGAGAACCATACTACTAGCACCAGGTCTAAAAAATACCTTCATTTGGAAAAATGGAGCACAGGAAGTGAAGAAAGTGCCATTCTCTTATCGGACCAGCAAATATGGATGAAGTCAACGTCTAGATTGAAATATAAACATAACGTCATTCTAGAAAAACAAAGAGAAAATCAAACCCCCAGTGAAATGTTATTATTGCAGAAAGAACATGTAGAAAACGTCACCATTGATAGCAGAAGATATTGAAAATGTTGTAACCGAAACTAGAAAATAACACTTTTCAATCAGACAAAAAATGTGGATTGCGTCATCATCTGAACTGGACAATACAGAAAACATCATCAACTGGACAATGTAAACCTCGTTATGACTGACACTACAAAATGTAGAAAACGCCATTATAAGGAAGGCTAAATTACATACAAAGACACTGATATGCCATTAACAGGAGAAAATGCGAACTGATGAGGTACTACCGTATACAGGTGAACGGGCAATTGTTTTACCTGTTCTTATTGTTAGGGCTGATGATGGTTTACTGACAGGAGATCAGTACCCAACTAAGCGTATCCTATTTACTTGTGGAAGCATGATTCTAAATGTCTAAAATATTGTATTATGAATTCAGTATGAAAAATGGAAACTAATATATGGCATATTAATGTCTCCGATTATTTTGTATAAGGTTTATATCGTCAGGTATGTAACGTTTATCCTTCCGTTATTAAGGATGCATGTTAGTTTCTTAAAGGCACTTAATTGAAGTTTTGTAATTGCGTGACAGGTCTTTGAGTTTAAATGAGGTTTACATCTGAAGCTAACAGTAAGAATCACGGAGGATGACTTGTAAGGCTAAAAGGTAGCCGATCATATCTACAGTATGACATACTTATTGTGTATTACCTGCACAATCCTTTTATATTCAGCTTTCGTTATAAAATGTGCGTAATTCGTCCTGTGAAGTGGCAGATATGGAAATTACTGATACAATCTGCACTTGCTCAGCTAATGTAGAATACATGTATATTCCTGTATTGTAATGCTCTTGAGAAGCCTGTATCCTTGCCCTGTAGCATTGGTGGCATTGGTACTGTGCATTGCGCTAACATTTATCTATTGTGTTGACATTGATCTGTTGTCTTGAATTCTATGTAATGTGCTGACACTGATCTAATGATATGACATTGATCTTTTGAAATGACATTAATCTATTGTGCTGACACTGATCTATTGAAATGACATTAATCTATTGTGCTGACATTGATCGATTGAGATGACAATGAACACTGATCTATTGTGCTGACACTGATCTATTAAGATGACATTAATCTATTGAAATGACATTGATCTATTGAAATGACATTAATCTATTGTGCTGACATTAATCTATTGAAATGACATTAATCTATTGTGCTGACATTGATCGATTGAGATGGCAATGAACACTGATCTATTGTGCTGACACTGATCTATTGAAATGACATTAATCTATTGTGCTGACACTGATCTATTGAAATGACATTAATCTATTGTGCTGACATTAATCTATTGTGCTGACATTGATCGATTGAGATGGCAATGAACACTGATCTATTGTGCTGACACTGATCTATTGAAATGACATTAATCTATTGTGCTGACACTGATCTATTGAAATGACATTAATCTATTGAAATGACATTGGTCTATTGAAATGACATTAATCTATTGTGCTGACATTAATCTATTGAAATGACATTAATCTATTGTGCTGACATTAATCTATTGAAATGACATTAATCTATTGTGCTGACATTGATCTATTGAGATGACATTGAACACTGATCTATTGAAATGACATTAATCTATTGTGCTGACACTGATCTATTGAAATGACATTAATCTATTGAAATGACATTGGTCTATTGAAATGACATTAATCTATTGTGCTGACATTAATCTATTGAAATGACATTAATCTATTGTGCTGACATTAATCTATTGAAATGACATTAATCTATTGTGCTGACATTGATCGATTGAGATGACAATGAACACTGATCTATTGTGCTGACACTGATCTATTAAGATGACATTAATCTATTGAAATGACATTGATCTATTGAAATGACATTAATCTATTGTGCTGACATTAATCTATTGAAATGACATTAATCTATTTTGCTGACATTGATCTATTGAGATGACATTGAACACTGATCTATTGAAATGACATTAATCTATTGTGCTGACATTGATCGATTGAGATGACAATGAACACTGATCTATTGTGCTGACATTGATCGATTGAGATGGCATGGTCTATTCGTTTTTTAGCATTCTGATAATGAATTATACTGCATGAGTGACAGTACTGTGATGACATTATAAGTGCACTGTGATGATATTGTTCCATTGTACTGTGACGACTTCGATCGAAGTAATATATTCCTGAATTCATTTTGTGTACATCCTAATAACGACACCGATTATGGTATTTGTTAAAATATAGTCAGTCTCCAATCCTTTAAAAGTTGTGTTTATATATGGGGAATCATTCACAGTCATGCTCAAGCTTATAACATCTACTAATTTTAACTACATTTTCAAACTGCGGTGGTGGCAAGAGAAAGGAGGTAGGTTTTTCCCTTTTTACATTACATATTTATATGTGAATATGTATATATATTTATTGGTTGGGAAACCCTGGTTTGAGGAACACATATCCTTGATCGTGATAAATAGAATGGTGCAATTTAGAAATAAACCCTGCTGCCATGTCAATAGTTGTATTTACACGCAAGTGGGATACAGACTTCCAGATGGTCACATGATCTAGGATGTAGACTAGGGGTCGGGACCGGTTACACAGATACATATCAGAAGCCATCGTTGGTAATTGATTTCAACCAGTGTTACATCAGTACTGTCCTTGCCAACAGAGATTAGTTATCACAACAATTACTGCTAATTCTACCGCTAGAAATTTTTATAAACATGTGTCAGACAAATACGAAGATAACACTTCTTTTGTGGCCTCATCTGTGATTAGTTTCACTTGTGCACTTTAAACAAACACCGTCCTTATTGATTGGTAAATGAGAGAAAAAAAGTAAGTTATGAACACATTATTGACTAGATTGATGGTGATGTGCATGATAAAATGCACCTAGGAGACACCCGTCTGTTAATGTTAGTGTCATACTCCGCTGCTTCTTGTGTAGAGTGATAGAATAGCTTCCTTTGATCGGCCGGGCATGACTGCTGTACAATTTTACATGTCTCTGGTTTGAATGGCTATTTCATTGGAACAGTAATTGGACTGTACCGATTTACTTTCATCTTTTAGACATGCACCAGTAGAGGAGCAGGATTGGAGTTAATACAATTTACTTTTTATTTGCTGGGGCTTTCTAGATATTTTAAATTGTCACATGTCCTTAGATGACAAAGCTGGTGTATGGCTCTGTTTTTTGTGTCACTCTACCTACTGCATCTGTTACGATACTCAAGGCTTTGTGTGCTTCTCCATCTACCGCATGAGGATTTAAGTGTCTGTAAATAACCAAACGTTTGTGTAACATCAGACTTTATGTGCATCCCTACGTATCCAACTGTTTGTGACACTCCGGAAGACTTTCTCTTAGCTTTGTCTTTCATCAAGCTCCCCTAGCTGTCTGTGAATATTTTTATCTTGAGTATATCCTCCCTTCCACCAACGATTAAGATGTACTTCTCGACCAACCCATTTTTAAAAACTGGATATGCTCAGGCATCAGTCCCATTCATCAAACTGTTTGTGACTCCTTGCTTTATGACTTTCTATACATTCCCACTGTTTGTAATCCAGCCTTCGTTATTTTTCCACCGTCACAACTGATTGTGACACTCCATGCAGCTGGGCCTTCCCGAATTAGACTCTCTACATTTGGTCACTACATCAACCGTTTGTAATATCTGCATCCTATTTCTGTTTTTGTTGACTTCATGTATTTCTTTTTAAAATCACTATTTACCATTTGTCAGCGTTATTCTCATATCGAAATATTTACTGTCCTTGTAATTGTTTTTACCTACATTGAATATGAAAATAATGAGATTCCTGTTGTCATTTTATTAACCTTCAATTGATCTTCCACCAATTTTCTTTTACTGCAATCTCCTTCTGGATCCCTTTGTAAGTTTCAGTGAATAACTCTTTTCTTAATTGCAGGTGCGTAGGATTGTCTGTTTCTTCCAGTGGAGGCCTCGTTTTAAATATCTATATAAACTTACGTTCTGTTTAATTTTCTGTAGAACCTCCCTTGCCATGTTCTAACATATATGTTTGATGGCTTGTTTTCAATACGAAAATTGCTTGCATTTCATTTCACTCTGATATGGACGCGTCTTAATTTCACTCAAATTGATAAATTGGTGTCTTACTTTCGATATGAACTCCCGTTATTTATGTTTGCCTTTAAACCGGTATTGAAGGTGTCTTACTTTCATGACAATACGAGTAATGTATCCCATATCTTAACTTTAATTGTGGATGACAAAGTTTTTTTTACAGATTGATACTGTTTTTGATTTTGTTGGTTTAGTAATGATGTTTTCTTAGATTCCGATTTTATAGTTTCCATTTGTTTCTCAAATTTGGGTCCTCAAGTGTTCCTCATCATCATTACAAGTACGTATCGTCAGCCTTCTTGTCCAGCCGTCCCCGACAGCAATATTTCTATCTATGCTTCTATCAGTATCAAACATTTAATAGTGTGTTTACCAGTTGCATGTCCTCTTTGATGTTTACGATCTGTCTGTTCATCCCACAGTTTGTGCTTTTTTTCTGTGAG